CACGCACGCACACGCACCCACACACACCCACACACCCACACACCCACACGCACGCACGCATGCACGCACGCACCCACGCACGCACACACACACACACACACACACGCACGCACGCACACACACACACAAACACACACACACACACACACACACACACACACACACACACACACACACACACACACACACACACACACACACACACACACACACACACACACACACACACACACACACACACACACACACACACACACACACACACACACACACACCCGCAGGCAAACGCACACGCACACGCACACGCACACCCACACGGTCACGTGCGCGGGCACGCGCACGCGCACTTACGCACACGCACACACACACACACACAAACGTCTCGGGCTTTCATTCCCATTCTTTTCAAGCGTTCTTGTTCAACAAGCCGCCAATTTCTCCCTTTTTTCTCCTTGCTGTGTGATTTCTGGGTTGAGGCTTAGAAGTTGCGTTTCTTTGCATGTTAACGATGGGAGGGTGTGCTAGTTGTTTATTGGCACCCTTTGCCATATGGTGCTTCTTTTGGGTGCAATTACAGGGAAACTCAACATACATCGAATTCCCTGTGCCCACGGCAACACCGCTACTTCATTTGCATCACAAATCCGATCCTCATGGAGATCGTGGCGCCTTTCCACTTCGACGATGAACTCAGAGCAGGCAGCAGGCCCAGAAACGGGTTCAGGGTTGGAAACCAGGTGGATCTGACCAAAACGGACAGGCCCCCCAGCAATCGCAGAGTTTGACCGATCGGCTATCGGGGGTGCCCGCTACCTCTCTAAACGCTAGGCAGGGTATCACCTTTTTGTCCCATTCTAAGTGAGCTTTCTGGGGCCAATATGGGGATTTGTCTCTACAGAGCAGCCCAAAAATGGACATGGCTTTCGGTTTTTCCAAGCGCTTTTGAAGCGTGGTTGGTGCACCCCCTCTACCCAAAAACGGGTTCTCACGAGCCCTGCCTCTGGGCGTTTCGGATGTCGATCGCCAGACTTGTTGCCCTGGGTCGCAGTGCATTCCGGCGCGGGGCCCCGCGGGCAGTGGGGCTTCGGGGAGCTTGGTGTGTTTTTTGCTGCGGAGGGTTGGCTTTTGCTGGCCGTGTGTGTGTGTGTGTGTGTTTTTTTTTGGTGGAGGGTACCTTTTTTTTGGTTGGTTTAAAAAGGAAAAGGACAACTACCATTTTGTGCCATTTTGAATCTTTTTTTACTGGCATCCCCACATGGTTCGAAGGGAAATCGCCCGCCCGCCCTCCCCCCCCCCCCCATGCAGCACTTTGAAAACCCTGCAACCAACTTTAAGGAACTCAGTGAATCTCCAAGTGCGAACCTCTACCATCTCATGTGCCATGGTCAACTTCTTGTCTGGACCCAGCCACCCAGACCCTCTCCCAAAATCCCCGATTTCCCTTGTTCCAGCAGTTTTTTGAGGGGCCCTTCTCTCTCCCCACCTCCTTTTGACAAGTCGCAAAGAGTTTGAACAGACACGCTGTTCAATCAAAACGTCAGCACAGGCACGATTTTCTCCCAAGTGACAAATCGCCTGTTTTGTTTCTGTCAAACATGTGATGTCAGTTTTTTTCAATCCCTGTGGGAACGCCCATGGAATATACCTCTTTGTTTTGGGGTTGTTCAGTCAAAGAAGTGCTGGTTTGGGCGTAGGGCGTCTGTCTGTGGTTTTCCGCAGAAAGCACGGCTCCAATGTCCAGTCAGAGGTTGACATCCTCCCCCCCCCCCCCCGCACCCCTTTGGCCCGCAGAATGACTCTTCCCATATGGTGACAGTCAAGTCTTTTTTGGTGGTTTCCATTGAATGCTCATCCTATGCAGAGAACCTTTTGATCAACCCCCGCCCGGACGCATTCTCCTGAGCCCCATGATTTGCTTTTGGTAGTTCCAATGGTTGCCACATTTGTTTATTGACCTTTTGATCAACCCGACCCACCTGCACACAAGGTCCCCTGCGCACCCCGAACCTTTCGATCAAACTCCAGAATCTCCGCTTTCTGGTTCCCCCATGTTTTGCGGGCCTTTCTCCTCCAACCCGGAACAAAGAAGCCCACAAGCAGCTCAATTTTTTTGGGGCGCCAAGTCCAGAAAGTCCCAGAGGCAATTTTTTGGGGGCCAACCAGATCGCCGGGCGAAAATAAAGAAAAACAAATCTCTGCCTTCGGAAACCTTCCGAAACCGAAACCAATCTCTGCCTTCGGAAACCTTCCGAAACCGAAACCGAAACCGAAACCCGCCGCGTCGAAACCCGGCGGTCGCGTGGATCGCGAGGGCATGGAGCTGGTGAGCGGCTGCCAAGAGGAGCGCGGCGTGGTAAGCTGCGAGGCCGCCGAGGCGCGGGGCTGGTTGGGGGGGGGGGGTGGGTGGGTGGGGGGTGCCTTGTGGGGGGGGGTTGGTGGGTGGGGTTGGGGGGGGGGGGGCTTGGGGGTTTTCTTTGGGGTGGAGGTGGGGTAGGGGTGGTGGTTTTAGGGGGAATCACTCTATCACTACTGGACATATGTTCTGCAATCTGATTCCAGGGGCAAAAAAGCAGATGGAAGCATGGGGTCTCTCTCCAGACATCTTTTAGATGGGGTAGGTCTCCCTCCACACATGTTCTTAAATAGGAGGGAAACGAACATTTGCAGATTCCAACCACTTAAGACAATATCCCGGACGGACAGGTTGCAACATAGATTTTGAGTGCTCTTTTCAAGGCCAGGAAAAGTTCGGTCAATATCTTTACATAAGTTAATTGACTAAACTTGATCAATTTTATGTTCGGAGGCCAGGAAGACTACATGAGTTGAAAATCATTGCAATGTGTTTGATGAGTTTCATGGTTGCAATTCTTTTCACTCCGAATTTGGTTTGATTTTTTTCCCCTGGACTCAAGTCCTGAAGGAAGTTGAGTTCATTAATTCCGGGCTCCAGGCCCCAAGGAAAGAAGTTTGGTTCATCCCTTGGAGGCCGGGAACAAATCAATTCATTGACAGATGTGAATTAAGTTGATTAGTTTACTTGGTTCTACTTTTGGACTCCAGGACATTTTTCTGAAATGTCTTGTATAAATTGAGTTAATATCACTTTTAAGTATGTTTCTTCTAGGGCGAGGAACATTGATTACCCTATTTCAAATCATTTAACAAATGTGCTTAGACAATGAAACCTATTTCATTTTACTACCATCATTTTTATTTTTTCCTTTTGGGAGGCCTGGAATGATATTCGGAATTATCTAAAATCGTCTACTTGAACGTTTTAAATATTCCCTCGTCCCCCCCCTCCCCCACATGAGCCACGTTCTCAAAACCCGGGCATGTGAAAGTTCCCCGCACGGTCCTACCCATTTGGTGGTCTTTCGTGGGAAAAATCTGCATTCCCAGCAGTCTCAGGGCTGTCTTGGTGACATGACTGTTGTTGTTGTTTTTCTTGGTCTCAATTGTGTTTTTTCTGTTTTGAGCGATGTCAAGTGTTGTGACGACTTACGAAAGTCTATATGTCGGGTATTCGAAGAGGGTGGTTGTTGTCCTTCTGTTGATTTTGCGTTGTTTGCACGCTACATCCCCTGCATTCCCTGCCTGCCTGCCTTTCCTGCATTTGCATTCCCTGCATTCCCTGCATTCCCTGCATTCCCTGCATTCCCTGCATTCCCTGCATTCCCTGCATTCCCTGCATTCCCTGCATTCCCTGCATTCCCTGCATTCCCTGCATTCCCTGCATTCCCTGCATTCCCTGCATTCCCTGCATTCCCTGCATTCCCTGCATTCCATGCATTTCCTGCATTCCCTGCATTCCCTGCCATCCCTGCCATCGCTGGTGCCGGCCAACTTTTTGCGTCCAAAGTTATGACACTTTGGGCTTGGACATTTCTGGCTGCATCCTCCGCATTCTTAGCATATGGGAGATCCCCCTTGCCCCCTTGAGGCCCTTTTTACCAGTGCCAGCATACCGCGCGTTCCTTCCTGCTTGTGGGCCAATGGTTTCATTTTCCTATTTGTACCAAACATATATTCAGCTTGCTGAAGACGCTCCAGCGTTGCTGACATGTCTTGAATGAATCGAACGATACTTACTGTTTGCATGATGAATGTAGGCTAACAACAAAAAATCACCTGGCTGTGATAGAGCCAATTTGGCTTTTAAGTAACCTGCCGGTTTGAACGCGGTGTGTCTCTCTCTCTCTCTCTCTCTCTCTCTCTCTCTCTCTCTCTCTCTCTACGAGTACGCGTTTGTTTGCATATACGAGTCTGTTTGACGTACTGTGGTTCCTTGTTTTGCTTTTTTCGTTGTTTTGCTTGTGTTTGTTTCTTTGTTTGTTTCTTTGTTTGTTTCTTTGTTTGTTTGCTTGTTTGCTTGCTTGCTTGTTTGCTTGCTTGCCTGCCTGCCTGCCTGCCTGCCTGCCTTTTTCCAGTGCTTACGTGGTCCGCTTCTGTTTAAGTTTCATGTTGGACAGTTCGTTTCGTTTCTTTGTTTGCTCGTTTATTTTGCTTGGTTGATTGGTTGATTGGTTGGTTGGTCGCCTGGTTGCCTGGTTGTCTGGCTGGCTGCTCGGTTGATGACTCAAAGCCAGGACATGTCCAATTGGCCGCTGAAAAACGGCATCTGCCGCCTGGGCCCTTGGCAGATGCACCAAAGGTTGCCGTATAGGAGATGCGGTCAAATCGCTGCTCTGATGTGGGTCTGGCTCAAAATTAGACAGGAGGGGCAAACCGCAGGTGTTGGTCCATGTTTCCACTTGCCAGGGTTCCGTTTTGGTACCGGCTTTTTGAGCCCCAGCCATGTGGGTGTGTTGTTTTGTGGAGGGCGCCAACCTTTTTTGGTTGGATAAGAGAAGCCAAGAGGACTGTCTCAATTTTGGGGGTCCCGGGACCCGATTTTAGAGGAGCAACATCTGGACGTTTCCGAAAGTTGGCCATCCGAAAGGGGAGGACAAGAATTAAAAGACCCCGCGCGGGGTGTCACAAGGATGGAGAACAAAAGCGCCAAACATGCGTCGCGCTTTGGATTAGAAGGAACTTAGCCATTTTTTTGAGTCCGCTATTTCAGGCACCCGCTGTTGTTTCCAACTCTTGCAGCGCTCTTTGTCCGCGCTTCCTTGGCGTGCGGCGGAGCTGAAGGGAGCCCTTAGATCTTTTGGATAACCGTGTTTCATCTCCACAAGGTGATCGATGTGTTGCAAGTGTTCAGGGAGATGGTTTCCCCACCCACTCCGAGTCTTCTTGTTTGCTTCTGTCTCGGACCATCTCTTTGGATGTTGGGCTGATTCCGTACACGACTTGAGATCCGTTGTGATTGGCCCTCGAGTCTCGGGTGAGGTTTGGAGTGGGCTTTACCCCAAGGAGGGTTGCAACCCCCACTATTTTCGCTGGCCTTTGTGGAAGTACAATGTTTAGCCCATAAGTTGCGGGGATTTGCGGGACGCCGAGGCTGCGCGGCTGGTTATTCCTGCGAGACGGGCAAGTGCCCGAACCTTAGGAGCTTTGCGGCAGCTTCAAAAGCACCACAAGGCAACCAGAGGTGATCGAAGCTGGGGCCGAAGATAGCCCCTGGGATTCAAACCATGAAAACACTGGAGGTTGATCTACCCGCCATGGTTCACCTGAGGAGTGCATCATCTAAATATGTTTGTTTTTCTTGGGGGGGCTGACAACCCCGGGTCTTGTTTTGCCAAGCTGGGGCATTCTGACTCAACCATGATCCCCACTTGTCTATCCTGTGGCCTGTAATTTGCCACAGGCCAAGGCTTGCTCTAAACCTGAACACGGAAGATGGCCCCCCAGAAAGTACAACCCTGCCTCGGCAAGCTTGTTTTGACCTGGATAATCTTCGAACCTTTGGCAACAAGGTGCGCTGATTTCCTTACTCTCCCGCAAGATGTTACTCACTTTTGCGGATCAACACCTCGACAGCCCAACTTTTGCGCCAGGCGATGTTTTTTTTGCTATTCAATGCCATGAGGGTGGCCAAACTAAAACGAGGATCGGTTGAGCAGCGTGGGACACCATTGGAGCTTGCTGTTCGGCCTCCAAAAGGTTGTTCTGTGCCAAAGGGACGTGGAAGACACTCCTCACTTCGAAGCTGGGTGCCAGTGGTGATCATAGGTGTCCTTTTTGGTTGTTTTGGTCGAAATATAGATGGCCCTGGTTTACCTGGTGGTGTTTTCTCATCTACCAGGGAAACCCATCTATTTCCTCGAGAAGGACGCCTATGGGGGTGACTTGCAGGGCTGTTTCTCTGCTCCACTTTGCAAGATACAACCAGGGATTCCACTCCGGGAATCCACCAAAAGATGGGCTTGTCAACGACTGTGTGCCAGTTTTTGTTTTTCCTGGGGCGCTTCTTCAACGGAAGTTCTCCTGGCTTCCATTTGCTGAGATGAGTATTGTTTAGTTTCCCTTGTTGGCTTTAAAGGGAATCGATTTCACTACCGGACATATCTTTTTTCCAGCGGGCGAAAGCGCAAATGGAAGCTGGGAAACTGACTATGAAGGGGTGCAGAGCCTGGGTCGGAATGCCATGAGCCAGATGTTCTGTGGAGCGTGTGGCACTCATTGGCGGAGCGGTTGGCACAAGGGTGCGGGCAAGCCCAACCCACCCAGAGTGAGCTTGGAAAACAGGGTTTGCAGGTACAACTCACACTTCATATCTTCCATTTGTTGAAATGAATAAACATTGTATTTTCCCTTGTTAGTATCTACTACTACTACTACTACTATTACTACTACTACTACTACTACTACTACTACTACTACTACTACTACTACTACTACTACTACTACTACTACTACTACTACTACTGACATATTTTATTCCTTCCAGGGGGCTTAAGCAAATGGAAGATATCCGTCGGTAAGATGACGATGCCCTGGCGGTTTCCAGGCACAGCCTCAGAGAGTTTTAGGTCAAAAACGTGTTGCCAAAGGGTCAAGGAGCCGGCTCCGTCAGACCGGTCTGAATCTCCAAGTGGCTAGGCACCATGATTCTAGAAAGCCGGATCCGTTTTCCATGGGTTTCCGGAGGTTTTCTAAGATTCGGATCCCTGGAAAGAATGGACATGGAAGGTACCCCTGGAATGATACATTTCTGCCCTGAAACCTTGTATCTCTAAATTTTGAGAACCCACGGCCGACGAACCCGAACCCATATGGGGAAGGTAGCCCTGGAATGATGGTAGCCCCTCAAAGCCATGGGAAGTCCTCCAGGTTGGGATGACTGAGGCCTGGAGGATGGCGACAGCGACTCGCTGTCGGAGCTGCCACAGCTGAAACAGCGAAACCTGACAGAGGCCAGTGGGGGGAGAGGGGGGGGGGCAAACCGCCGCAGGTCGATCATAGCTTGATGGTTTGTCATGCAGGTCAACTCTGCCAGAAGTTCCGGCTGGCTTTTTCAGGCATCAACTCCAACGGCGCTCACTAAGTTGATGTCAGCTGGTGTCACAGTGCTGAAATTGACCTCTTCTGAAGTCAAAATCTGCCAGGAGCGGACAAGTATCCAAGTGACGTTGATCAAGCGGACAGATGGTGCCACCATCTTCAAAAATGTGTGCTGCCCCGACGAAGTGAAGTCCGCGCAGTTGAAGCAGATTAATTCATGGCGAGGCCCAAGTCAAGATCAACCCCAACTAACTGTTAGTTTAACTCTCAGTAAATTCCATACAAGCCTCGACAATTCCACAAAATCCCAAAATACCCAAAATGCCCAAAGTCTTAGCACCTATGTTTGGGATGGACGTTCCCAAAAGAACCCTCAGTAAATGCAAGATTCCAAAAAGACCCGAGAATTCCACAAATATCCAAACATACACAAAATCCCCAAAGTCTCAGCAACTATGGAAGTTCCAAACAAAAAACTCAGTACATGCAACATTCCCAACCAACCCACCATAATTGCGGAAGTTTTCTCAAAATTCCCAATATTCCCAAAACCTCAGCAACCATACCTGCCCTAAACATGGCCTGGACTCTTTTTGGAATTCTTGAGGTGTTTGGGGAATTCTGGGGAATTCCAAACAGTATTGAGGCTTTTCCGGGCATTTTGCACGTCCCAACACAGACATATTTCTGACTAATTTTGGGTCTCAGCGCTCACAGCCGCTGCTTTGAGGAGGTGGACATGCCACGGTTTGCGGGGGGCGAAGGGTGGGTGAAGAGAATGGCCCACCCCTTCTCACGGACGGAAGTTCAAGCCGACGAACTGGAACCAGCTGAAGGGTGGGGCAAAATTGGATGAACTGGTCGCTAAAATCATGGTTTTAGACCACTGGTCTAAAACCCCTGGTTTTAGACCACTCAAAGGGTTGTAAGTGCCCTAAGCCAGAGTGGAGCACGATTTGTTTGAGAACTCTACCTGGCTCCCCATACAAGGAAGTCTTCCAAGTTTCGTGTCTGCTGTAACAAGGAAGACCCGCAAAGCGCAGGTGCGGTTGTACCGCAAGGCCGCTGCTGTGAACTGGGCCTCCATCATTTTAGGCCGGGCTGTCGCAGTGGTCTGTTTTCCTCCGGGTAGACCTTCAACAGGGGAGGGGAGGGGGGCAGAACCTTCTGGACAAGATGACGTAGCACTTGCGCGAATTATACCGGGCCTGGCTATGAAGGTGCCTTGCTTGTGGATGAATTCCAGCAACTGGTGCAGTATGGTGTGCCTTGATCGCAGTGTGACCAACCAGAGGCCCCGAGCCTCACCCCACCCTTTGGTATCAGAAAGGCTTAATTCCCCACTATCATTGCAGTTTGGTAGTGCATTTTCAGCACATGCAACCAGAAAATTCTTGGCCACCCCCCCACCTCAAGGTCCTTGGACCTGGCCAGTCCCCTCCAGTCCTCTTCAGTCCTTTCCTTTGCGGACAGCTGCACATTTGATTTGCCATTGAAAAAGCCAGGATGAATCAGAGGGGTTTTTGTGTTATTCAGGTTGGGGGGGGGGCACTTTGTCAAACTTTTTTTCTTTTGAAACATATTGTAAGATGAAATTTGCTGTTTCCGGCTAGCCTCTTTGTCCTTGATTTCTGGAATGGCAACCCTTGCAGATTATGAAAGGAGTTAGTATTGGCAAAAGTATTGGCAATAGCTTTGGTAATGTTAACAAATTGTTGTGTGCTAATTCTTGGGCCGGAAAGGGACGTCTTTAATCCGAGGGGGTTATGAATCATGTGCCGAGATGAAGACTTCCACCAATGGCAGCCAAGCCGCCCAGCCAACCCAACCCATCAACCCAACTCACCCGCCCGCCCGCCAACCCACGTCAACCTCGGCTTTCAAGATGGCTTTGGCTTAGGTACCCTTGAGCGCCATCTCAAGCAGGGTTCAATTAGCCACCAGCGGGGGTACGAACTCAAAAACCGGTTCCCGTCATACTGGCCATCAGGTTCCCCGAACAGACGGCGACAGCCATGGGTTCCTCAATCCTATTCCAACAAACTGCCCAAAAATGGATTGCAACCTAACTAGCCCAAAGAACAACTGTCCTACTGCACCTGCGAAGCATCTTGTTTGAACCACGGGTGTCTCTTGCGTAGTAGCTTCGCCCACCCAATCCCAAGCCCCAACCAAAACCACGGCGTCCCCAAACCCACCGGTGCCAAACAGATGGGGTGCCTCTATCATGGATCTGCCAATTTTAGAGCGAGCTCACCGATTCGGTATAGCGAGCTCACCGTAAGGTCGTTTACTCGGGGATCCAAATCTCAATTCGGCTTTTGGAATTGTCGAACAAATGCAGATTATCGGGTAGGGTTTGTTGGGCAAAGTAGCCAAGAAGCCTTCTGAATCCTCATTCCCCAGCTTTACCCAAGAAGCCTAGCATGCTTTGGTTTTTTAAGGGACCCCCTCATTGGCCCTTTGCTTTAGTATGAGAAGTGCTGCCAAACAAAAAGCCGGAGGCCTGCTGTGCCTGCTGGCGCTGACGCATCTGGCGCTGCGGCGCATCTGGCTTGGCCCAAAACGGGAAACGTCCCAAAACTGGGCTTGCCGGTGTGATGGGTAGGGAAATGAGTTGGAATGAGTTGGAATGAGTTGGAATGAGTTGGAATGAGTTGGAATGAGTTGAAACGGCCCAAGATGGGAAACCATACGAAAACCATAGGTTGTTTTGTGGGCTCATTCTAAACAAATTCATGCCAAGAACGCACCAGCGAGCGTTTGGTCCTCAGCAGGATTTTTCCACGCAGCAAAGGAGTTCCCAGCCGACGACCCCCTTGGGCGAGCTTCCTCCAAGCAGCCATAAGAATTTTCAATGGACAGACGGACATCATTTAGGCGGGGATTCATGTCAACCAATCACTCGTGAGGATGTTCCTTTTAAGAAACATGGGCCATTTTTGGATGGTTTCAAAGGGAAACCAAACGAAAACCACATTTTTTGGGGGTCCCCTAAAACAAGCCACACCCAAATGGTTCCCAAATGCGAGTTGCCATCAGGGCCTCTTCACGGCGAAAAACAAATGGGATTCTGCACTTTCTTGCACCGAGCCGATCGGGACGACGAGCTCACATGAATGTCCTTTTTCAATGTTGGTTGGCGAATTAGTAAATTGGTGCAGGCGGCCTCACCCATCCTTGGCACACACAAAAACACAAACACACAAACCCGCCAACACACACACACACAGAGGCACACAAGCACACAAGCAAACAAACACTCAAACGCGCAACACACACACACACACAGGTTCCGCATGAACATAGCCGATAAGGAACAGGCTTGAGCTGCGACCCGTTCCGGGCGCAGACATTTTGGACATGCAAGAACTGTTTCAGAGCCATAGCAAGGGGTGCCATAAACAGCTGGTGAGTGTTAGTGACTAACCCGGGGTGTTGAAGGTTAGAATTGGGGACACGCCCAACCAGGAATTGGTGCGGATATCTGTGTTTTGTTTTTGTTAGGACTTTTTTAAACCATGAGCAGTTCTGGGTGGATTATTTTAGTAGCAGGTTTGGACCATAATCCCTTCGCCCACTTTCAAATGAGGGTAGCGGTGGGTGAAAAGCCTTTTGAATCAACTTCGAAGTGCTACGGAAAATATGTGCCCCATACACAGTACCTACTGTTATAGGAATTACTGCATTATTATTTCTTTACTCACACATGCATGAGGTCATGAGGTATGTGCGTGCGCGATACTGGCATTCTTGCTATGCGGTGAGGTTGTAGATCGAGGTGAGGCGATTCAGTTCAGGAGAGACATGTACGCCTTCCATCAGACAGTTCCGGCAAAAAAACCTTTCAAAAGGGGCTGGAAGGGCCCCGTTTTGTGTTTGTCCCAAGGTGTGCTGGTGGAACACTATCCTTGTCAAGTTTGCCGATCAACAGTGAGGAGCTGCTGTTCAACAAGGATCTTGTCATCCTCACATAATTGCCCATCTATGACCGAAGACTTGCCATGTAATCCTCAAATTAACATGAAACTCAGGAAAGGCCCCCCTTTTCGGGGTCCATGTGAATTTGTAAGCCAATTTGTGGGTGAGTCAATCCAGATGCCATTTCCCCAGACCCACAGAAAGCTTCCATTCCTGCCGCATGGTTCTTATTCCAAACAGAAATTGGTGCCCAAACCCACAACAATCCCTCACCCACAATCAGCCCTTACCCACAACAATCCCTTACCCACAATACGCTTTCACCGACAAGAATCCCTTACCCGCAACATGCGCTTCCCGACAACAACCCCTTACCCACAATACGCCTTTACCCACAACAATCCCTTACCCACAATACACCCTTACCCACAAAAATCCCTTACCCGCAACATGCGCTTCCCCGCAACAATCCCTTACCCACAACAATCCCTTACCCAGAATACACCCTTACCCACAAGAATCCCGGCAACCCTACCCGTAGGGTATACCGCTGATGTGTTTTGTTGCACCAGAAGCTCCTCCTCAGCATCCCCTGCATCACCTGGACGCAGGCCAGCCCAGACACTTGGACCCCAAAACATCCCGACATCCCTGGCCTTGCGACGGGCTCCTGATACCATGTTGCCCAACCTTCAATAACACTGTAAATAACGTGCAAATCGCCCCCGACACGCGCCAGCATTCCTCCACATCCTCGCGCGCTTCACCAGCATCCCCCCTTGCCAACCCGGAAAATCGCCCTCTTGACAGTAGGTCTCGGCGGTGGGCGGACATCGTCATTTTCCAAGTTTGTTGTGGGGCTGAGAGGGAATGCCGGGAACGCAGTCTTCGTCTGATTGGCTTTGGGTGCGCGACACGCGCGCGCGCAAGCACTCACGCGTGTTGTACGCGCGCAAACGCGCGCGCGCGCATGCACGCGCTGCCACGGTAGGGTGGGAAGTTGGGAAGGGGTGGTGGGAGGGGAGGGTTGGCGGGCGGTGAAGCCCTAGGATACGCCCATACCCACAACAAGCCCTTACCCACAATCAGCCCTTACCCACCTACGGCTTCTATTTCCACCAGACACCCTCGCAAAATTCGCCAGGTGCCCGCGCCCACTGTCTTTCGCCAGGTGCCGGCGCCGGTCGGAGGTGCCGGTGGAGGAGGATGAGGAGTTGCGACAGGGCGCAATGGAACTCACCGGAGAAACGGCGCCTCTTCAGAGCAAAACACGAATCCAGCGCTCCCCATTTTAGGTGCTTAGGGGGGCTTCTGAAACTGAATCTGGTTTGATTTCTTGGTATGAAACCTCAAGCTGGGCTCTCCGCAGGCAATCCGTGGTTTGCCGCTGGGGATTATGGAGATTTGGATTGGCCGCCCTCCATTTGTGTATGTGTCAAAATGCCAGGAGCCCAAGAACAGTGGAGGTCCTTCTACTCCAACCTTAAAAGGGGTACTCGCAAAAAACCACACCCATTTTGAACAGTCCAGTCAAAACATCCAACGTCTTGACCACCCCAAGCCGCGATCTCGCTCGTAGGGTTTGTCTCGCCACTTTCTGTGGCTTTTCCCCGGGTGTGTCTGTTTTTTGAGGGTGCCCCCTTTTTGGTTGGTTTTAAAGGAAACCAACATCTTCTCGCTTCCCTTTGCCAAGGAATTCCAGAAAGTTATCAGGTCTTTGAAGCAGTGGAGCCCCCTTGGACACGGAAGCTTTGCAGCCTCTTCATTTTTGAGGGATCCTCTTTGTTTTAACCCCAACTTGCTTTGTGGGATCAAGCCATAAGCTAAGACGGAGTGAGAATGGACCAAGATGCCCATGTTCGATGGAGTCTATACCCTCAATGGGGGCTCATAGAACCACCATGGTATGCCCAAGAGCTACAGATCTAAATGGATTCTTTTAAAGGGGGGTTGAACCCTGGGGACGCTCTTCAGGACTACCATGCCGAGCTGTCAGAGAAGATCAAGGGCTTGCGTGCTCAAATGGAGGCGCGAGAGATTTTTTCGCCACACCCGGAAGCTTTTAGAATGTTCAGAGACACCCTTGGAGACACCCTTGGACTTTTAGATGCTGACTTGAGATTGAATTATGACATATCCCACTAGATTGAGCTTTAGCAAATGATCCAGGGAGCCACTAAGGAACTAACACCCTAGGAATCTATCTGCACCTTTGGTCTTGAGAACCCCCTTGTCAATGAGAATCCCAAATTCACACAGACCATTGCCAGCAGGTCCCTCTCGCACATGAACATCCTTGAGACTTCTGTGGAGGATGCTGAGACTTGAGATTGAGTTATGACATAGTACAAAAAAGTGTTACCTTCAGAAAAGGATCAAGAGACCCACTCGGAAAAGGAAGTGGAAAAGGCGCCTGGATGGGACGCCCCTCGTCGGTTTGTAGCAGAAAGACGGCGCCACCTCCCGTTTCGACGGCTTCGATGGCTTCGGGGCGTGGGCATACCTCCGCTTCCCAAAAAACGTGATTTCCCCGCCGCCACGGGCAATGCTCAATATGTTCTTTGTCTACTCAGTTGCCCAAAGCCGACCTTTTGACCTTTTGGTTTTCCCGTTTTGGTTCACTTTTAGTGGAGGTGCCAAAAGGTTGACCTTGTATTTCTGGGTCCTTTGGGCAAGTGAGTCTATTGTACTGAAGAGGATGACATGGACCACACACCAAATGGCGATCAGTTCGGGAACGGGGGTTACTCACCAAGCTCCCATTGTCGCTTGTCAGTTTGGGACACAGGAAATATAGGCCGCGGCTCACATCTTGTCTTTGCTTGTACGAGGCATTCCTCATGTGGGGGGGGGGGACCAAATCGATCGGGTTGGATCGATTGGGAAGATGTCTTGTTCATATCAAATGTCAGGCTCCCTTTGGATGTCCAGATAGTAATTCAGATCCCAGGCCTGTGATCGTGCTTCTCCATGTTTGGAGAGGGGGTTGCCTTCAAAGGTGACTGCCCAAAAAGGTGTCGATCCATTTTTTCCCGTCACTGGGGGGCCTCTGGATTTGCCATAGCGAGCGAGTCCAAGGGTCTCGTCATCGGTCTTCCCGTCAAGAAATCCCGGCTTCCCAACGAGGCCCTCATGTTTCCCGTTTATGGGTGGCATAACCATCACTTTTGGGAATATGACGTTGACTTGGCTTTTGGGGTGACAGGGGACAGACCGATCCCTGTTTAAAGTCTCTCTATGCGTGACCAGCTTGCTTTCCCGGAATGCTTCAGGAAGAGCATCGGCAAACAAGAGGAACCTTTTGGTGCCTCCTTCGCCCAACACCCACGATGCCAACCCCTGACGAAAAAGCGGAGGTATTTGCCAAAGACACCCTTAGCAAAGGTGGATGCTCGGAGTAGGGGGTGGATTCTCTGAAGGGTGAACAAACGGAAAATCAATCTGATCCACGTCCCATGGGGGGCTCTATGCCACCTGACCCCTGCTTGGTCCGGTTCCTTAGCTTTGCAGCTTTTTCTGAGGGCAGCCCAGCTTTTGCAGATTGGTTTGCATGCATACCTCGCCACCATTTTGATACATACCCTAGTGGTTCTGGGTTTGTATGGCATGTCGTAAAACACAACAAACATCTCTTGACAATTGTGGTGGCGAACGTCAAAACTTGTGAGGCACCAGTGACGAACCAACACGAGCCTTGGTCTAACGGAAATCTGTCGCAAGAAGATTTGCTTGCGTCTTTTGCCACATCTCGGAGATCGTGGGCAGCAGGCCAGACATCCTGTCGCCAGTACGCCTGAGGAGTTTGGCGCTTTATGGCGCAGCTGGCGCGGGCACAGACATTGTCCGGTGATGCCAACGTGCCGTTGCCGACCATGCCCAGAGTGGTTGAGTCCCTGTCATGGCCGAGACAGCCGGCAGTCTCGTCCGCCTCGTCGTCCCATTGTTGGGACAATATGACGTCGCTATGGTGAATTGGTTGTTACAACAATAATAATAAACAAAAGCCAAAACACCAATTTCTCGAAAAAAAACACAAAACAACAAAAAACCAAAAAACCAAAAAGCAAAGGCATCGATTCATTGTTCATTTCCCTTGAAAGGCCACCAATCGAGAGCTGAGCACACAGGCGGACTCGGAGCCAGCGTGCCGGGGCCCCGAAACGGTCGAGCGACTTACCCGAAATGAGAAGCCCAGTGGCGGAGTGTTGGGAAACCGGGATTGGGTTTAGAAGACCCTTGGACAAGGGCTGCACTGCTTGAGTTCCTAGCTAAACCTTGAATGAAGTTTTTTTTTTGTTTGGGTGGGGGGGGGGCTTGGGGTGGGCGAGGCAGTTCTTTGATACTTTTTGGGAAGATCATTCTTAGTGTCAATCCAAGTGTTTGGACATGAAGTGGTCAACCCACTCAGGAAGCAAGTCAATACAACCTGGTTGGGTAAAAATCCAAACCTGGCTAAACCTTGAATAGTTTGTTTTTTCATTTTGGTTGGGGGGGAGGGGGGAGGCTGGGGGGCTATCCTTGAACAAGCAGAGGGGTAAAGAGGTATCCAAAGCTCCTTCCCCAATTCATTCACCTTGGAGATCCTGGACCAAAGGTGAGGGTCGCTGGTGGGAATGGAATGCTTTTGTGGGTAAGGGATGAAGATCGGGAACCAAACGGCGAGCTCCAAGGCCAAATCGACAAGTCCAGCCACAAACTCCGCCCGCAGTTGGGGCAGTTTTTGGTTTGGCCCGGTGGGTCCCTCAATGGTTGACTCCACAAAGGGCTTCCTTTTCTGATCAGGATCAGTGGGCAGCCGGGAACGTGGCTTGGCGCACGCACAGTGAAGGAGCTCTCTTCCCCAAATCGGCGAGTTCTTCAAATTCCCAAAGGGGTCGAAGGCGCACCAGCCCATGTTGGTTGAAGTAGAGCCCATGTCCTTCAATGGACAAACTCCTGCACCAGTTGGGATGGATGAAACCCTAAAGCTGGGTCAGACCGGCAGCAGAATCCTGCCCATGGCCAAGGGTCAATCTGGAGCACGCTGTGCGATTCTGGCAACTGGAGGTGTCCTTTTGGGTGGAAGAGATCGCAATCAAAGCCCAGGTAATTGGAGGGTAGTAAAGGGCGATCCCGGCCATAAATGAGTGCTGCCGCATTGGGTTCTGGGTAGACCATCTTGACACCGGATTTTGCTTATGACTCAACTGGATTGTTGCTAAGGCGACTTACTGAACTCGCACGCAGACCACTTCGCATTCGCGAATTCCGAGGCTCGGCGCGCGTGGGCTTGCTGGAAGAGGCGCCTTGCGTTTTTTTTTGTTTGGCCGAGAGACGGGTTGCTTTGGTTCACCCGTGAGAGAGGGTGCTCCGGGATCTTGTGATACGATTCACAGCTATGGTCAACCTTTCCATGTTTAAGAACTCACCTTGAGTCCAGTCAAAAAGTTCGGACATCTTCCAAAGGGCTGGTCTCAAACGCCCTCCCACGAGATGTTGAACAAGTTGTGTGAGCCCAAAGAGCATCACGCGGAGCCCAAAGTGCCTCTTTCACAAACCGTTGCGGTCTTTCTTGAGATTGGGGAAGCATCCAGCCGGCTTTTCGTTTTCTCTCTGGTTCTCTTCCAAGCTTGAGTCCTAAACCATAGCCTGGAACGGCCCTGTTGTGATCCTTAGCTGACCTTCCTAACTTGTTGCCTTTTTGGTGACTTTCCGCTGGGAAGCAGCAGCATCGCAGTTTCTTTTGGTGCCTGAACGCACACATCCTTGTGGCCACATGGCGACCGTTGGGTTTGCTACGGGTGTGCCTCCGTCGGGAACCCCGACATCAAAGCCTGTGATTTGTATGTGGTGTGTCTTATCGGAACCCCCAAAGTGGGTGGTGGACTGCTGGCTTCCCTGCCCTCCAAAAACCACCCGCACGTCGCAGGAATTCTTTGCAGGGGATCAACGACCCAACCTGCTGGAGTTCAACGGGGTACTCGCGAAATGATCCGGCTTCCTTCCCAAGTGGAATTTTGCCTTTTCGGGGCCGATGAATCTTGGGTTTCATATTTTATGCTTAGGAACTGTGGTTGCCAGAAGTCGTGTTTGGTAGCCAAGCTGGCGAGGACATGCAATAGTTCAGTAGCTAGAATATTACAAATTGTCCTTTGATTCTTAATGAGACCTGCAAAAAGCCCGACTCGTATTGTTTTGCAACTGGAGAATCCTTGTGAGCTGTTTTGTTTCGACATCAAGGACCCTGCACCCCCAAACGAGCTGCCGTTTCGCCCGCCCGAAAAAGTGACGGACGCCTTTCTGGCGTTTTGCTCGAGGATTTCTCAGATGGGGACCGCAGACTTCCATCCAAAAGGTTTCAATCACAGACCCACCACCCTGAACACCTCGCTCCCCGAGTTCCTCGACTTTCGGCTTTTTTGGTCCGGGCCATTTAAATTTGGCAGATGCCTCAAACTTTTGGACTTCCAACCCAAACCTCTTGGCCCCGTCTGGAACCAAGCCATCTGGCGCGCTCCCTGGCCTCCGCTTCTCCCTTCTTGCGCTCGCCGCTCGCCAGGGCGTGGAGTGAATCGAGGCCCGCGCCGGAAGGCACCCGGACACGTGGTGCACTGGTTCTTCCTGGTTTGGAGGGCTTCCCTTGCGATTTTCTGACCAAAAGGACGGATTTTCATGCCTGGAGGTCTGGTTCTCAAAACAAGTCAGACCAAAAAGGAAGAATGTTCATGACAAACTGGAGTTCTAGGTGCAAGGAGGGATGTGTTGTGTTTTTAGGTGAAGGATTTTTATCATTCACCCAGGCATGTGAATTTCATGTGAGCGGAAAACATTATATATATATATTGCATATTTATGGGTAGTCTTAGTGTTGGCTTGGGTCATTGAGAGGAGGTGAAGGGGCCAAAGCACCTCGATGTGTTTTTCGATGATCTCCCCAAACCCCGAGACTGCCCGGCGAATAGGTCTTGGCACGACCCCCCCCCAGAGGCCCAAGGAGTCGAGGCGACGTTCGCCACAGCGGGAACCCGGCTGTTCGCGAAGCCGAGCTATTTGTCCAAGGGTTTGTTCAGAGGTTTCTTTGTCTCCGCTTTGACATCTGTTCCTTTTTGGGGCATCCGTTTGGCCAAACATATGCCGTGAGTCTCTTGTTGCGGGGCCTCCACCGTTTACGTTTAGATTCATCAAACATAGAACGATGAGCCAGAACGTGAAGATGTCATTTGCAGTTCGGCGCAACCTCGGTGACTCGGTGGGCTCGGTTCGCCTGGGGTTTGGCATTGGCATCGATTCGCTTGGCCAGGGCGAAGAAAGATGTGCGGGCACCTTTTCCGGCGGGCTTGTTCAGGTCTTGGTTTGAAAGGTGTGGATGTTTGTACCAATACTTCCATTTGTTTTTTCTTTTTCTTTTTCTTTGTTCTTTTTTTTTTCTCCTGTTGATTTTAAAGGGAATCTATCACTGCTGAACATATTTTTTCCAGGGGACTCAAGCAGATGGAGGAGTAGACACTTGCAAGGCTGTATATATCGTTTATAGAGGTAGATCATCTTCAGACCTCGAGAACCCACGCCTGAACATGCCCTTGACCTTTTAACGCGTTCCAGTCTTTATGGGGGCGGAATCAGAACGCTCCTGGCCGAGGGCATGGTTAGCCCCGTAGGCGAATGGCCAGCGACATGCAGTGTGGAAGGTCGGGTAGGGAAGCTGTGAATGTGGAGTCTTTAATATGATGAAGTAGTTGCCCACTTGGGTTTGTCAGACAGTGTTACTGATTGCCAAGTAGCCTATGTACCTTTTGAGACCTCCCAAAAGAAACCAACCGGGAATGGATCATTTTTTCTTTTGTCCAGACCTGTTTCTCACCCAGACCATTTCCCCGTCTCATGGCGAGCAGACAGTTTCACCGCACGCCGCAGAGCAGCGCCCAAAACCGGTTCCTACAGATACTCAGCCACAAGACCATGGCAGCGACATATGGTCAAGTTAAAGGGTTTCCTTGCTCCCGTCCTTGCAACATTTAGGACATCCACCAAGGTTTTACCACCTTTTTGAGGGGATTTTAGGGCATCCACCGAAGTTTTCCCACTTTATGGGATTCTTGTACCCGGATATACGGCAACCTTTGTAACTAGCTTGGCAGGACCAGGTCTCAATCGGTCTTGGGCGCGGCTCATTGGGTGTTTCTCGAAACTGGGATCGGTAGCAAAAAACGGTACAAAGTTCGGCACTCTCAAAAGAGTCAAAGTTTGGGAAGACTCTTTTGAGTCAATCCACTCAAGGTACCGATCCCCAGTCTTTTCGGAAACATCCGCTTGCTAAATGCCTTCGACTGTTTCAAGTCCTGTGCATCAAGACCGCCGCTAGACTTCATGCTTGTTTGGGGAGTTGTTTCTCTGAATGAATCACATTGGCTATTCATTGGCAAATCCCATCGAAACAAGAACCCCTGGATTGATAGATAGCTGGGGGTTGAAGCAGGGGTCGACAAGGCCACGTCAGCATGGCTCGTTGCATTGCTTGATGCTCGGAAGGAAAGTACACCAATGGTCCGGTCTGGGATGATTCCGACCGCTGGGTTGGTCGAAAAGGGGATTCCTTGCTTTGGGACACTTTTGTGACCTCGTTTAGCTTCATAGCTGCAGCAGGATCCCAATTGAATGGGATCTTGCTTGTTTCATCAGCCCTAAGTAACAGACCATCCCACCCACCAATGCGTGGTCCCAGTTGCCACGGCGAAGTCAACCGCCGGAAGCAACTCGATGCTTGTCTCGCACCCGAAAAATGCGGAAAACCTGTCCTAGGTCTGCGATGCTGACCAGGGAGCCAATAGTGACTATGGGGACTTGTATATGGACGTGTCTCAAAATAGGGTACCCCTCCACACAGGCGTTCCCTTTGGTGCCCTTTGAAATCATGCCAAAAGGGGTGCCCTCAACAAAAGACACTCCCATATGGTGGCTGCGAGTGACTATGAGTGACCATGAGCGACTAGTAGTGACTATGAGTGAGGACATGCAAGGATCAGCGGGCTTGTCCCCTCGACCCTTGGACGAGTTCTCACTTCTCGAATTCCTGGCCTCTAGTCACTTTGGTTTGGTTGCCAAAACAGCGTGGATGGTGAATCCCAACTGGTGCAAAGCGGATTTGTCCATGGACTGGTTTCGGCCAATCCACTCTGGAAGTGATCGGTTTCACTCCGCGCGACTCGCTTGAGGTGTTGGCTCCCAGGCCCATCCGTGGATGGGGGTGCATGCTTGAGATGATTTGGAACGTTTGCCGAAAGAAAACGCAAAAGAACGGGACTCTTTGGGCGTCATTCGACCACTTTCGCGTACTTGGTTTTAGCGCCCAAGAAGTACTTTTGCGTTTCTGCATTGTGATGTTGTAAACCTTGTTTTGGGTGGCATAAAGCTCATGTGTCCAAGAGGGGCGAATCACATGGGAAGCAAGGATTTCAACAGCAACCAGAACATGGAGCAGCACCCAACACCGTCACTGGCCATTTTCGCAGGTGGTTCCGGATCTGTTTCATCAATGATCGACCTATATGGGTATGGGTCAAACTCAAACCACCAGAAAACCACAGGTTTTAGTCATGGTTTCCATTTACCAGGGTTCCAGCCATTGTGGGGTTACCCGATCTTTGCCCCACGCCCATATTGACTCTTGTCACCGTGACCAATCACTTAGGTGAAACGGCTGCGGCTCACTTCTTTAAGGGGGTCGAGAAGGTGACCACAGACGCGAGACAAATCTCGCGCGACCTGCTCGCCATGATCTGCGGAGTGTCGCGGACCGCTGAGGAGGCTGGAGGGGAGTTTCGGAAAAATATTGCCGGCTTTGCGACATCACCGAAGGCTCCTTTCTGGCTCAGTTTGGCGACCTACTTGGCTGGTTTTTGGGGGCGGATTGCAAATGAGCAGGGGGCCCGCTTTCTATTTTACTACAAAACAACCAGCAAATTGGAGATGCCCAAGCAGCCTTGGATTTGCAAATATTTTCTGCCTGGCCCAGTACTTATCACGGATATTCAGGTTTGGAGTTTGGTGTTTCAGGCAGAGGCAAGGGTAACACATCCGGCAAAGTCTAGAGGCAACTGGAAGCACTTGGCTATAATGGGAACAAAATCTAGGGTGTTCCCTCCAAATTTGATGACCACTGAAAGGGGACACCCCCTATTAATCAACCAGGGCCAGGCGGTGAATTGATCTTCGCTTCCGGTAACTGGAAGCACTTGAATATCTAATTCAGGTGTCTAGACAGGTCTAACCCTCTTTGTTTTATAAGTGACATACACATGCACACACACACACACACTTTTGCTCTGGGCTGTCTCTATGACTCTGCCCTCTTTCCAATCATAGAAGTGGACAGGGGAACGTTCTAAGATGATGGTAGTCTTCCAAAACCCTTTTGTGCACTTCCATGATTGTTGGAAAGAACGTGTATATGGGTATGTGTCAGGATAGGTGGACCCCCCCAAATCAGTTCCTCGGTTTCCCTTGAAGTCAGCTCTGAAATGGGTACCCACAAAAAACATGGACCCATATATACATATATAGAAATATATACACCCATATATATATATATATGTACACAACGTCCACAGGTATAGCTACTTGGGTAGCAAGCTCCAAGGCTTGGGCTTACAATTTGTTTAAACCAGACCCTAAGGCTCCCTGAAACGGGGACCAACGTTGGTTTAAGACCCTCTGGTTCCATGTTAGTGCACCAAACCTGTGCGACGGGCTCAGCCTTCAGCCGAGCCTCGAACTTCAAGCGAACTGCTGATGTCTCGGGGCTGCAACACGTCCAAATCCTGGTTGAAGCAGAACAGGTGCCCAGCCCTCCATAGCCTCAACCGCATGAACGGCTTGGGATTTTGGTCGTCTTGGACAGGCAGGAGCCGCAAGCCCCAAGAAAGTTCGACCGTTCGATTGCAGGGCCTCTGGTTTCCTTCCTATAGGGACCTGTTGCACAAGCGAAGACTTTGTGAAGGCCGGACGCGGCAATTCCTGCGGCCTTCGGTTTCATGTGGGGCGATCGAAATCGGGGCACCCCCCAAACCGGCTTCGCTTTCCTTTGGGCAAAGGGAGTTCTCCCTTTGGTTTCCGCCCGAAACTCCCCAAAAGGGTACCAGCTCGCCGCATGAAGCACCTGTTTAAGGGCCCCAGACGACCATTTTCCGTCAAGGTCTCGAGGAAATGAACCCTTCCGTGCAAATGATGCTTGAAGTGAAGCTTCAAGCTCAAACTGATTGCCCTGCCACTTGCTGGGCTTAGTAGGGAATGACCTTGCTGGTTTGGGAATGAACCGTTCGGGGTTCCCTGAAAGGACACCACCAGTTGGATGTTTGAAAAGGGGTCGTTCCCGGAGTCCTTCCCGCATTTTTGCGGAGAACACCAGCAAGACTAGTAGTTTTCCAGATTCAAGCAACGCAGGGCACAACCAAAGAGTGCTGCAGGCGAAGAGGCGTCATGTTGGGATGATCACAGAGTGGGATGAGGACCAGCAGATGGGGTTGGGGCCTCAGTGACCCGTCCGGCTCTGTGTTCTATTCGTGTCCTTCTTTTTGAGGGAGGCTGCTGTGGGCACCCTTTTCAGGTTGCATATTTTTTTTGGGATCACCCGATCTTGACACGTAGCCAGCTCAAAGTTTGTTAATTTGAAAGCCAGTTTACAGGTAGTTCAGGGCTCAGATTAGGCCCATCTTATTCCCTTTTCAGCACGTTTCGGGCCAATGTTGGGTGATCTTGCGCTTAGGGATGATGTACATGCAAAAGCATAGTTGGAGCGCTGAGAAGCGCTTCTGCAAACAAGTTGGTCGCCATGTACAAGCACACATGCACCAGCCAGGCAAATCCTGCAACCCGCTCCAAACTGCAGGAGGGTCATGTTGACCTAGGTCGCAGTTTTGCCGGATAGACCTTCCCTTTAGGGCCCTCTCGGGCAATTCAAAGGGCGCCAAACCGCATGGCCCCGTGATTCTTTGCCATCCAATTCGGGCATCGAAGATGGCTTCCCCAAGGGCCTTGCTTTGACTTCAGGTTGGGTTTCAGAAACGGAACCCTGAGGTTCTGCCCCATTTAAGCCCCCATCCCTACGACTATTCACCCCCCCAATAGCAGCGTTTCAACCATGCTGTAGATGGAAGAAATCATGCACCTAAGAAACCCTGGAATGATGATCCCTGTAAATACCAACATGTTCATGGTTTCAAAGTGAAGCGGATTTCGTCCATCCACTAGAAAACAGTTTGGACGCGCTTTTTGTGGATTTCACCGTTTTTTCTCCCTGTTGGTCCTTTTCAGTAATCTTTTGGTGCTCTTTCAATATTCTGCAGGGGTGAATCCACGGATTCGCCACCTCCAAATCGTTCTCTGGATCCATGCCAGAAACAAATTCGGTTGAAGCGAAGCCCCACGCCTCCGGCGTCGCGTCGAATCTCTCGTCGCGTCGGTCGAGGCTGCTTCCCCAGAATTAGTTCCCTAAAAAAACAAAACAATTATATATATATATATATACAAGCAAAAAAAACAAAAAACACCAAAACACATAAAACAAAATAATAATAATAATAACACAAAAAATAACAGATTTCTTTGCTTTTTGGGGGTCCCCTTTGTTTTCCACTCACCAGGCCAAAAAGATCTCAGCTTTTGTGGGGTCCGATCTCCAGGCTGGTGGACTTGGAAGAGCCGCTCTTTGGCATCGACCAAGCGTCGCTGGTCTCCGTGGACGGGCGCCCGGGGGTTTTCGAACGCTTCGCAGCCGGGCGCTTCGCGCGAGCGCAGGTGGTTTTGGGGACTCGGTCTGCCCCGGCCCGTTCCAAAGACTCGTCCGCAAAAAAAGGGGGCCCGGAATTAGCCCTGAAAGAAAATTGCGCCGGCCGAATGCGAAAGAGAGGGTTTCGTGACCGATCCTTTCTTTAGAAATTGGGACCTGAGAGAAGAAGCTCCACAACATCAGTTGGAGCACTTCAAAACTCCCATTGCCAGCGACCCCAAAGAGGGACCATAGGAAAACACCGACTTTTCCAGTGGTTTTTTCTCACGCCCATGTTCGGGTCCTAAAAGCTACAAATCGAACTGAACTGCCTCGTCGGTTGATGTACCCAAGCCCCTGGCCACTTTGTGATGGTAACTAATATTGCGCGGTTTTGTGGAATCCTCGGATTCGAGCCAGCCTTTTTGGGGCAGGGGTCTAAAGGAAACAAGGTGCAACATAAAAGGGGGAGGGCTTCTTTTTAACAGTGGGGATCGCCTTGCTCCCAAAAAATCTCATCAGTAGCAAAGGTCCGGGTCCTTTGCTTGGCTTGGCTTTGGGGTCCTTTGCTTGTTGGCTTGGGTTTGGAAGCAGAGTTCCAACTTTCACCTCCCCCCCCCCACCGGAAAAGGTGGGGAAACTGGGCGCCCGATCTTCGGGGGTCGGAAAAAATGAAGTTGAGACACATGTCTTGGAACATCGCTCGAACAGAATCTCTTTTTTTTTTCACATCGTGCTTGACTTGACGAAGGTCAAAATACAAAAAAATACGTTTCACGTGATTTGTTCCTCGTTTCAAAGGGAGTTTATCAGTGGACCCATTGCTTTTGCGTAGGTTTTCCAGGGGACCAAAAAGAAAATGGATGCGAAGGACATCGAGAGGCTGCCAAAGGAGCCCATAGGCCGGACGGGGCCGGGGGTTGGGGGGGCACCCTCTAAGACCGTTTTTTCGGGATAGACGAAGTATGGAACTGAGTCGCATATATGATTTTCTGAGTACCAGATCTGGGCCAAGGTTCTCTTTGGTTTTCAACCTTTTGCTTTCGGGAAAGACTAGCGCAAAGTAAATGGGTTTAGACATGTAACGAGACCTGTGGTGGGATCATGGACCTGGCCCCCAATTAAGTTCATATTTGAATGGTCCAAGGGGCGAACCCTATCGTGCCAGCCCTGCGAGATCTCACCTTCATGTTCAACCAGGGTCAAAGAGTCGTAATGGTTTATTTTTTTGAATGGCGGACCATTAAAAGGGCCAAAGAGGTGATTTGGGTACGGGTCAAAATTAAACCACGGCGACCGCAGGTTTTAGTCCTTGGTTCTGTTTGCCAGGGTTCCATTTTGGGTACCCTATTTTGAGCAACCGCCATTTGTTGGCGGACCATTACACGTGGCAAGTCTTCTGGCCCGACGGCCGCCCGTTTTGCCCGTCGCGTCGTGCACGGAGGCCTCCCGCTGGACTTCGTGCTGGCCCTGAAGCCCACGCAGGCGCTGGGCTCTGGGGAATTGGTGCGACGTCGCGGTGCGTTGCGGCTGGGGGGGGGGGGGGGCGGTCTGGGGAGATCTGCTCTTTTCAGGAAGTTCATGCTAGTGGAGAAGAGTTTCTGTGATACGAAAGTGGATTTCGCCCTATGAAGGTCCCGTTCATCAAGTTCCATTCCTTTCGGTCTGTGAGCTTGCGGAATTGTTGAACCGGATCTGGTCTGAGGCGTAATTTCTTGGAATCCTGAAGTGCGATTCACAAGTAGTTGAATCATTCCCTGATTTTAGGGGACTCCCCCTGGAAAGAATCTGAAACATATGTTTCGTCTAGAGACGACCAAGTTATAATGCCCTGTCCGATGCATGGTACCCTTGTCAGGTCGGTTGCAAGTGACACCAAAGTGACGCCGAAGCATATTTGGGGCTTACATATCCTTCGACACAGACCTACTTGGAGTTCACACCTAATTCAAAAGGAGTTCTGAGAAAGTTAGCCAAAGCACCAAACCGTTTTTTTTTGGCTTCGGCGTCTCTTACAGTTTCCCTGGTTGCAGAAATGGTCCTACGTTTTACTCAGGCAGCTTTACTGAAGGAGCCTCCCTTTGCTTTGCCCTGGACGAACCCCCTGTAGGTCCTTTCTTTGAGACCCCTACCCTTCTTGGGCTTATCTTAAAGGACCACCAAAAGGAAGCCTACCATTCTTTTGGGCCACCTATTTGTTAGACTCAGCCTATGGTGCATCAGGCTTTCTCTTGCTTCAATGTGCTTTCTGTTGCTGGTTTGAGTCTAGATTCCTTGGTGAGTTAAGCTTTTAGCGGGGCATCTGAGGGCAGCCAAGATTCCTGCTAGGTTTGGAGATATCCCGGAGGAAGGATGCATTCCAACCCATGACGATTCGCATTTCTCACCTGGACTAGATCTTCGCCCTGGTTTTGCAGGGAATCTGGAAAAAGGCTGGTTTACTCTTGGTTTCTTGTTGAATACCACTCAAAACTTGCTGGTAATCAGGGATTGCCTTAAAGGAAACCACCCGTTGGATGGTTTATAGGGGTCATTCCTTCATTCCCTGAGCACCAGCAAGATAAAATTAGCATGGCCATGATTCTTAAATGGAACATGTCCTGAGCACCAGCCAAAAGGGGGTGCTCCGAAACCGTTTCAGCTGCTCAACCGCCCGCATCAGGAGGGCTTGGAGCTGCAGTGCGCCGACGCGCGGGTGCAGGCGCCTCCCAGATTTTGGCGGCGACATGTTTCTTGGCTCCCAGCCATCCCCTCAGCTTTTTATTCTTTTAGAGTGTAGTGGTAGTTTCCAATTGACCCACTAAAAGTTAAACTTTTAGCGGGGGATCTGAGGGCAGCCCAGGTTTATGTTGTGGCATGGCAGGTACTGCAAGCACAGAAGAATAACAAGAACCAATGAGCTACCACTAACAAAATTTCGCGCGTAAGGATTTTGGCGGCAGCTCAAATTGATATTTCATGCGGAGACAATTTGTTGGATGCTTGTCACGCCAAGAGCCGTAGGGTAGCAACTGGGGAGGGCCATGGGGTACCTCTGGACGCTCCAGGCGGCAAGACCTGACAATTCACTCGGAATATGAGGAGTCGGGGGAGCTCCCCTTTGATTTGGTATTCTCCGGAGTAATCCAAATGCACCTGCAGTGATCTCCTGGAGATATGTGTGGTAAAACCGAAGGACTGGTATCACTTCTACAACTAGGTGGTCTTTGGATCCGAAAAAACCGATGCACACCCCCAAAGCCTTTGAAGACTAAGTGTTGCTCCAAAGACTCATAGCAGGCAACCTAGAGATTTGGTCGGGGAACTTGAGGAACCCAAGCCGCGTTTCTACCGGAGGGTCATCCTTGGCTTGGAGCGAAGAATACGTCCTCTTCCGGAGAGTGACACCTTGAGGTTGGCGCACAATCTTCGCCCGCCAACTTTCTCATCTTTTGGACATCGTTGTAAACTTGAGTGAACACGCATCTACAAAAGTCGGTTGCAATAGCGCAAACTGGGAAGACCGTTCCCTGCCTCTGTCCCTTGTCCACGGAACAACTGGGAACCCCCAAACCCTCGCCTTTTTTCTGCGAGTTGTTCCGTGCACAAGGGAAGACGGTTCCCAGCGTCCCGGCCCCGTGGGGTCCTGGAACCCGTCCAGCGCCGTTTTTGCGAGGCGGAGGCGGAGGCGGAGGCGGAGGCGGAGGCCGCCGTAGACGAGCCGAGCGCGGAGCGGCCGGCGGCGAGGGCTCCGCGGCCGCCGAACCACCCGCCGCCCATGTCCCGCGCGCGCTCGGAGGCGGGAACTCGGACCAAGAGTGGCTTTTGAGTTTTTAGAGGGTGAATTGCTATACCCTCCGTCCCACTAGCATGGCACCTGACATAGGCTCCCTTGAAGAGGAAATTGGTCTGCCAGGTATCCTGGTGCAAATGCTATGTTAGTGGGAGGAAGGGTAATTCATGCAGATCTTTGTGGGGGATGCGGTTTTGGGTGGCCGCCCTCGTCTCGAAGACTCTCGATCGAAACACTGAGAATTGAGTATTCCTTCCCATAGACGACAAGTCGACTGCCTTCTGCGAGATCAACAGGGTTGACGTGTGACGCATTCCTTTCGTATCACTGAAGGGACGCCTTTCTTCGTTGTCTCCGTTTTGGGTAAGGAGTTACCCCTCTTTTGGGGGAGTTGTTGACGTTCCCCTTTTTGTTTGGGTTTTTAGGGAAGCTCTTTTTTTGGGCAACGGGGATAAAACCCCGCATGGAGACTCAGGGTCACTGGACGTGAGGCTGGCAGGCTCTTCCTGGCAGGTTGTTTGTTGCTTGGCAACGCCCCTTTGCCGCGAAATTGCCAGGTCCCCCAGTAGTGCCCTTTCTCACCCTTTTTTGGTTGGGAGATTCGGTTCCCCTACTAAAATAGACAAAACCGAGAAACAAATCGGGTCCCAACTGATTCTAACCTCTCAAGTCTGGACCTAGGGAGGCAGCTTTAGACGGCTCCTCCAAGTGCATCGGAGCCTGGGCCTGGATTCAGCTTGGTTCTTGTGGATTTGTCGTTTCAAGGTCGATGCAAATGAAGGATGCCCCATGAAAAGCTGTGCTTTTGAATCGCGCGGCCAAAAAGCAACTTGTGACCAGAGCAGGTGTTTGGCAATGTGTTTGCCATTCTTTTTGTGGTTCGTTCTGATCATGACTCTTCTTGAACACAAGACGCCTTTCGCATGTACCATTGGTTTCGCTGCAACCGGGTGCTTTAACCCAGTTGCAACCAGGAAAGGACAGGGTTGCAGCCAGAAATGCTGACCCTGGAGCAGGGCAGTTTCCCGCGAAGTAGGGGAACGGTAGCCTGTAAAATTGGACATTCCCTTAATCTACCTCGGGTGTGAAAGCAAGGGCAAGTGATTCACAAAACCGTTTTGCAAACGGCTTGGAAGTGAGTAAGCCACTGAGTCACCTTGGATAGTTATCTGTAAACCGCGCACAATGTATAGTGATGAGGAGTAGTGTGCTGCCACCCGCGAGGAGGAATCATGTAAATACATGTGCACACATACATGTATCATATGGATGTGTGCAATACGGCATGCAACAACCAGTGATTGTGCAGATGTTGCATGTGCATGTTGGTTAATACACATTAAACATGTGTGCTACACATCAGCATACATTTACGTGCATATATATATACATATATATATATATATATACACATATATATATATAGATATATATGTTACATATTCACAACGCACGCACGCATGTGTAAAGACACATCATTGCATGGACACACACACACACACACACACATATATATATATATATGTATTGCGTTCAATCCATGTTGATGAAGCTTCCACTTGTGATGACTGACCGCGCCTTTGCATCGCAGGACCAGCCAAAGGCGCGGGGCCGGGGCCGCCGGGAGCGCCGGGAGCGCCGGGAGCGGAGCCGGAGCCGGCGGAAGGGCCAGAAGCGGCCGCGCCCGCGGGCGGTGCGGCGGCCGCGGCTGCTGGTGCGACCGCCCAACGCGCGGGAGGAGCGGAAGATGGGGCGCCTCGGTCAGGAGCAGCGGGTAGGTGTCCTTTTTTGGTTTTGGTTGAAAATAGAGGGGCGATTCCTGGTTTGCCTGGTGGTTCGATCAACTACCAGAAAAACCAATCTAGTTTCCCAAAAAGGACACCTATGAGCGGGTAGTGATCCTGTGGATGGTGGCGAAATCCATTTCGCAGGACGGTACTGGCAGGTTTTGGAGCTGAATGCTATTGATGGACGCAAAATCCATTTCGCAGCACCGTTAAGAAAGCCTGGTTTCTGGCGGGTCCCCTGTAAATACCAATCAACAACGGTTTCAGCCATGATTTTACCATCCACAGTATGGTTGTCAAGGGCCGCCGATTCCCCAATCCCAGTAGGGGCCAATAGCGACTAATGAGGCATATTGGTGGCAAATAGGGTTCCTTTTTGGGGGGTTCCCTGTTTGGGGGGCCCCTGATAACCATAGGAATTTCCTCAAATGCCTCCAAGGAAATTGTCGAGTAACAGACTATGACTGAAATGGTTGCTTCCGACTATTTTCGCGTGGGAATATCTTTGCCTGAAGCCAACATGATGATGGTAAAGATGTAAGTCCCGGAGTAGGGCTGAGCGTTGACCACGAATTCCACTGGAACCCACCCCAGACCTCCGAGTCTCCAGTGGGTTGCATTCCTTTTCTTACTCTTTTTTTGGAGGGGGTAAACCGCTTCAACATCAACCAACAAAAACAAGCAACTGTTTTTCCCCTTGGCCACTGGGTTGGATCGTTAGCCTGGGGAAACATGTGTGTGTGTGTGTGTGTGTGTTTTCCCAACTTGCAAAAGCTATAAGCTTTGTGTGCAGGGCAGCCTCCATCCCATGGCACCCGACAGAATAGGGCCCTGCAAGAGGCTTGTTGCATGGTACACCAGGGTCAACCTAGATGGCGCTCGATGTCCTGAGATGGGATTTAGCTCAAAAAGATCAAGGAGTTAGTGTCACATTCCTATTTTTTGTCCTTTAAGGGCTAGTCGGTCGATTTGGGCGGTGTTCGTCATGTTTTTGGGGATTACAATGGAAGCTGACAAGCTGTGGAGCTTGCTTTTTGCGGGACCTCCCTTCCATGATGGTTTTTCAGAGTGTCCAGTTTTACAGTTGGAAGCAGAAGGTCCTGGCTTCCTGACATGTTTTCAGCCCCCAAGGCCCGGCCGGCCTGGGCTTTCAAGGCCAAGCCACGTGCTCAAAACCGATTCGGGTAGATGAAGCTTCGTAAAGGACGAGCCAAAAAAACCCATAAATAGCTGCGGAGATCCGGCTTCTTAAGTCCTTACATGCTTCTGGGTAGACCCATTTTTGCACCGGTTTTTGGTTGTGAGGCTCACATAATGGTCTGCGCGTTTGGGTTAGTCTCGGAGCCGATGCTTCGCTGGCAACACTGACTAGGTTTCCCAGTAGTGCCCTTTCTCCCCCTTTTTTGGTTGGGAGATTCGGTTCCCCTACTAAAATAGACAAAAGCGAAAAAAGTTGGTACCTTTCTCCTAAGCTCTCTACTGGACCTAGCTGACGAGCCCATGGGATGAGTTGAGTCTTAAACCGCAAATGCCGCGCCCAGGCTCCGGGATAGGAACGGCCGGCCGCGGAAGCAGCTGGTGGACTGGCCGGAGAACCCCAGGAGAGATGGCGGAATCGTCGTTTTTCGGGTGGAGGCGATAGGGGTTCAGGGCTAGGGGCTGAACCTTGTCCATCTCAAGGTCCCAGCTAGGTGCCCTACTAAAATAGACAACCGAAAAAAGGCTCTAACCTCTCCACTGGAGGACCTAGATCTGGGTAGAGAGAACTGATCCAATGACAAGGCTTGCCAAGAGGTTGTCCTTTGTAATGGCACAGGGCCGCCCTCTGTCCAACATTGGAGAGGCTACCCCAATTGATGTCCCCAGGGGCATCCCTTTACGTCTCCTTTGCGGTACCCAACGGAATGGAGCCTTTGGCAGACCTGGTATCGAACCTTTGAGCTGTAAAACTTCCGCCCTCCGGCCCCCAGTGGCGCACATTTTTTCGCGTGAGGACCGGCATGATCTTCGAGTGGAATGCTCAAGACGGCGAGGGCTGGCACCTTGGCACGGCCCCGGAACAGGTACCGACCGATGGTTCCGTGACAGCCTCCTTGAATCCCTTTTTGCTTGATGTTTGTTTTCTTCTTTTTTTTCTTTCTTTTTTTCAGAATTTGGTGAACCCCAACAAGTGAGGTATTCATTTGGTTTCTTCGCGCAAAGTAAAGTAGATTGATGTTTGGGCCAACCTGCCGGAATTTGGGTTTGCACCCATTATATCTTTTTCCTTTCTCTGTCCGGCTTTCCGGTTGGTTAACTATTATGATTGCAACACATTGCCACACTTAGCTCACCCTCTGAACTTTTTAAGTCTTCTCGGCCTTGTCTGGAAGCAGTGGCCTTCATGTGAGCCATGGTGAGCGCTTGAGTCATCAAATTCGATGTTGAAGAAAAATCGGGGCTAAACGAGCTCAATGATGAAAGTCCCTTATCTGGGTCTGCCTCTTCTTTCTGATTTGCTTGCCAATTAGGGTTAGAGTAGTGTAGCACGCTGTATATGTACATCCCATGGATTTTGGCAAGGCAGACTTCTTAAAGACCGGGTTTCAATGATGACTCAAGGATTCGCATTTTTGGCTGAACCCCTTCTAGCCTTCTGAGAACGGTCCTACGAACTGTTTTTGAGTTCTAAGAACTTGAGAAAGGGCAACATTCCAAGAACCAAATCCTTTGGGAAGATTCTCAAACCCGTTCTAAGCACTGCCATACTTAAAACTCACCTTTTTGCCCTTGTGCGCTTTTGGGTCTCCTTTGTTTTCCCTTCTGACCAGCAACAAACCGTCTAACTTTTTGCAGGTGCTCAGAGTTTGGCCAATCAGATATACATATGCTCCCCCCCCGCAGCGCCTACCTTTCCACTTCAAAATGTACCAGATCCTCTTATTTTAGAGACAGTGTGAGCACATATATATATATATATATACACACGACTTTTTTCCTCAGATGGGTCTACCCGTTTTTGGAGTGGAGTTAAAGGGAACCCAGATGGAACCCAACCGTTATGGGTTATGGGGGTCCCCGAATTTTTTTGAGACACTCGGGGGCCAGCGGCCAGCGGAGGATCCAGCCTGATGAGCCCGTGTGCCATGCTCGCGTCCACAAGTCGGGGCGAGTCTGGTTCCACGACGGTGACTTGAGCTCCGACTTGGGCGACGCTTGGATGCAGTCTGCAGTCTTCCAGGGGCAGAAAGAGGCAGACCCGTGAACCAGACCCGTGAACCAGACTTGGCAAAGATTCCTTTGGTTAGAGGGAATCCACCCATGAATCTAGGAATTGATTCCTTTTCCATTCTTTTCAACCATCGTTCTTTCCAAAAAACGGATCCGTTTTTCCGAAGTTTCCGGAGGTTTTCTAGAAAGAAGGATCCCTGGAAAGAATGGGGAAGGTACCCCTAGAAGTCTGCAAGCGATTGGGGACTCGTTGGTTTTGTGACACCCACTTGAGACCACGCGTGGTAACTGATGATAATCTGTCGATTTAGGTGTGATTTCAGGTTGAAACTTGACTGCCACTTGCAAGAAGCTGAAGCTCGCCGGTCACCCGGTGTGTCCCACTTTGTCCCAGCTAAAGTACTAGAGAATAGCTCTGAGTGCTGATATATCCCAGTATTGGCGCTTCAAGCTTCAAATTGTTCATTCTCAGCTGTTAAACTATACATTTGGGAGTCTTCTTTAAATGCATGCTATTGCATGCAGACAAATATGTCACATGTCAGGTTGGGGTTTAATTCCTGAGGGCTGTTTTGGCTCTGTGCCACCATGTCAAACCCATCTAGGGGTTGTCTCCATAGGCAAACCCTTGGATGGCTTTGACGGGACGCAAGCATAAACGAAATTATGTTCAACAACTTTTTCTTGAGATACCTTGAGGTGAGGACCCCCTTCAATGGAATTGTCGCAAGCTTTGGAAAAGATTCGGACATGGCTCCAATCGTCCTAAGCAGTGACGAAGAACCCCCCACTTGGGCCACTGACGCACCGACCGACCGACCGAACGACCGACCGACCGACCGATTGCCTGACTGACTGGCTGACTGACTGACTGGCTGACTGACTGACTGGCTGGCTGACTGACTGACTGACTGACTGACTAATGAACCAAACCAACCAACCAACCAACCAACCAGCCAGCCAGCCAGCCAGCCAGCCAGCCAGCCAGCCAACCAGCCAGCCAGCCAGCCAGCCAGCCAGCCAGCCAGCCAACCAGCCAGCCAGCCAGCCAGCCAACCAGCCAGCCAGCCACCCACCCGCCCGCCCGCCCACCAACCAACCAACCAACCAGCCAACCTGCCCGCCCACCAACCAAGCCAGCCACCGACCCACCCACCCGCCAACCAACCAACCACAGCCAGCCAGACCCCACCCGCCCGCCCGCCCCCCAACCAACCAACCAACCAGCCAACCAGCCAGCCAGCCAACCAGCCAACCAGGCAGCCAGCCACCCACCCACCCGCCCACCAACCAACCAACCAACATAACTATCTGACCAGGCATCCAAGCAAGGAAGTACCGAACGAACAAGTCCGAACTAACTCAGTAACACAACTAACTAGCTAGCTAAGTAAGAAAGTAAGTAAGAAGCACGTAAGGAAGCAACATAAACCAACTGACTAAGTATCTAAGTCAGTAACTAGGCAACTCCTCACTAGACCCCAAGAAATGGCGCTTTGGATCAGGCCGGAAACGGTCAATGGCTTCCTTGATTGGCGCCCCATGGCAGGCTGGTCCCGTTTCCCAGAGACAGTATCCCCGGGGTGAAGGTGTCTAGGTGCGGATATCCGCACTGCGGTCTCCGATCCCAAAACGTTCATATATACATATATACATATATAATTACCTATTTAGAGTGGACTCAGTATGGAACAGAGTGAGAAAAACAAATGGTCTTTTCCCATGTGCCCCTTTTCGTGTGTGGGCGAAGTAGGAGTTCCTCTTTTGTGTGGGCCAAGTTGGAGTCTGCGCAGGGGTTTCAGGACCGTGCCAGTTTTCGGACCCCTCTCTCGCACTCTCGCAGGAAGACGAGCCCGTCGGGCTTCGCGTGAAGTTCGTGGTGTTGGGGGCCTCGAAGAGGGTGGCTTTACTTCCATTTGGGTGTGGCTCAAAATTCAAGGGCTAGGGGTTACGCAGGTTGTAGTCTTTGTTTCCCTGTACCAAGTTGCCGTTTTGGGTACCTATGGGTTCCGTTTTTTTGAGCCACTTCCATTTGCTTGGCGCGATAGGGAATGTGGTTGAATGAACCCAGGCTTTGGTCAGGAACCCACCAGTTGCATCGTTTTTCGTTCAGGGTCGTTCCATTTCTCATGTTTTGCGGAGCACCGGCATGTTTGGAGGGAATCGATTTCGCTACCGGAAATAAATATCTATATTTTTTCCTGTGGGCGAAAAAGCACATGGAAGTTTAAGAATTGTGTTCTTCACTGTCGTTGGCAAGTGATTTAGGTTGTTTGTTTGGTTCTGTTCATCTTTAGTAGGGGGCTGCAAAAAGCATTTTATTTTTGCTAGCAAACCAAAGGTCGTAACGTGTTAACCAACCCCGGATTCAGCAGAAGCCCCGGGTGATTTATAGGTGTGTCCCCTTTCGGAATCCTGATCACTTTTGTGGGTGACGCTTTTGGTGGCATAACTTTTGCCATACCGGACACCCTCCCACACCTGACTTTCTCGAAATCGATCCAGGTATCCTCCAGGCCCATGTGTTTGGGTGTGTCCTGTTTCACGCCCCAGGCTTTCTCACCGTTGCAAGAAACTCAGAGAAAAGAGTGATGGATTGAGAGTCGTGAACCTCGGGGAAGCCCCGTTTTTGCCCGGCTTGGGGAATCCAACAGGGACAAATCAGACCAAGTTTTGAGAGGTCCCCCGCTCCGCCTCGGTCCTGGGGCTTCTGTGCACCGACAGAAGTTGCCACACCAAACCGGCTGACTTGTTTAGCACCCATTGTTTGGTTTGCTTCAAAATGGGTGGTGTCCATTTGGTTTCCTTCAAGAAACCGACCCCAAAAACGAGAGGCCTCAAAAAAAAACACCAAAAACGCGCCGGGCGTGCCTTGGAGAGTCATAAATCGAGTTTGGCTTGGCGGGGTTTGTGATGCCCTTGCAGGAACACCTAGAGTGACAGTCAGAGATTCGAATCAAAGAAATGGCATAGAAGCCAATTGCCACAGTGACAGGGACCTTGCAGGTCGTGGAAAAGGACTTGCTATGTTTTTGTTTGTTTCCCCTGATCCATTCTCGGTTTCCAAAACGGAAGTATCAAACTTATCCCAAGCATGTACTTCTGGATTCTGCCTTTCTGAGTGGGTAATAGGCTGTAGGTCAAAGTATATCTCAGCAGTAGGTTCCTGAGGCTTCGGTCTGTCAGATGCCCCCCTAGACATGTGGATTAGTTTGTTGGATTGATTCAGATGTTCGTGTGTAACCTATACGCATCACCAACAACTATATGGCTATTTGGTTGGATCTTCTGACTTCAACGTTTTGGTAACAGCGGATTTTCCATTGGACCCACAAAAAGTTAAGCCCTTTTTGCACAGGGGGGTCGTTGCGGCAACCAAGCAACGGAGACTTAAATCAAGGTGAGTTCCCAAAGGCACCCAAATCATGTCCACCAGAGTTTTGCTTGGAGAAGCGTGTGTTCAAAGCGCATGTTCGCTTCTGCTTGCTACAAACGCGGCATGGGAAAGCAGGCCACTTCACCCTTCCAGGTGCTGAAACGTCACGGTTCCATTTCTAGTAGAACCGGGCTACATCGTGGGTACGGTGTCAAACTGCCAACTACTTCTGAGATCATGGCCACATGTGTCTGGTGTCTGTGTGTTTTCTTTTAGACAGCAACCAGAAAGTCGGGAAGAGAGTTCCTCAACGTCTGGATCCACTCTTCAGTGGGTACAAGACAAATCCTACCCGGGCGAACCAGATACACAGGGTGATCAACTCCCAAAAAGGGCAGATCATGGTTGTTGTTGGGAAACATTCTACATTTTGCTTGTTGTGGTTTAGTGGTTGAAATCCAAATCCACTCAACTGCTAATATTTTTTTTTTTTTGCTGCCCTCCCAACGTCCGCCAAGAGATGCAGGGCTTCCCACAATGGGTGCCTAAGAACCGTGATCCAGATCCGTCCTCCGCGTGGTATGCGGAGGGGGTGGTCCTGAGTTTCTGGGGCAGCACTTTGGTTCTTCGGGCTGGGGGGGGGTGAAGGGACACCAACAGGCAAACTCTAGTTTGACGGATTGAGTTTTTAGGGTGAGCCGTGTGTAATTCGGGGGCTGTCAGCGCAATGGCAGCGCGCCCACGCCCAATTGTGGGAGGTTGCGGGCTCAAGTTCTTCCAGCCTCAATTTGAAGTAGTTTCAGAACCACTATGCCCAGGCCTCTTGTTAAGCATTGAAAGTTCTCGACTTCCTATGCTTTCCATGCTTTTTTGTGCTGAAAGGAAGGATCCTCGAAAAGGAAGACCCCTTCTTGAGGGAAACCTAAAGGACAAAATCACAGGGGTATGTTGTGCTTCACCTTTGCGTCATTTTCAACCAGCCTTGTTTCAAAATAGCCCAATGGACATGTGGCTGTGGGTCAAAACCAAAGGTACCTTTTTGAGTAGGTGCCCCACCCATTTTAGGCAGGTTGGATTGGGATGTTCACTGGGGGTACGGGCTTGGGATTTTGACCCATGGACATGTCCTTGGCCGAAGGTTCGAGCGCTGCCTCACGGTGGCCGCAGCCTTCGCGGCTCGGAGGAGTTGGTCCACCTGGGAACCCAAAATGGTCTTGGGCCCCTGTTTTTTGTTTAATCGGAGGGGGGGGGGGGGGGCGGGGGCGGGGGGGGGGGGCTCAGGATCAAACAGTTTGTTTTTGTCTTGGGAGGGGTTTCGAGCCCACCTGGTTTTCAACGATCTGAGGTCTCCCTAATATGACGGAAAGGTCAAGATAGAGGTTGGGGTTAAATGCGGAGTAGTACTTGCAAACAGGGGATGCAGGGTGCATCCCCTGTATAGTTTGCAACACTTTCGATTTTTGCGGTTTCGCTGTTTATTTTAGTTTTCTCGATATTTGTTTTGTTGTTGGTTTTGGACAGAGCTGATCCCTTGGAAAGACTGTTTGAGAACGGTTTTAGTTGTTCCCTTTATTTTCAACACGATGGTTTTGTGTTTTTTGTTCAACAAACAATTGTATAGTTGTGTTTTTAGTTTCAGTGTTGATTTCCTTGAGGTTTGTTGACTTCTTTAGACACCCGAAAATGCATTAACACATGCGGAGACCAGAGCGCGCGTTGGGAGAATCGGCGCGCACTGGCAGCCCTCTTTCCGTTTTTCCAAGCTGGTTACTAGGAACCCCCTGGTTGACTACCCTTCGGGGTCGACGCTAGCGGCGGTCATGGAGATGAATCCTTTGCCATGGCCCGTGTTGCAAGGTCTTACTCGCCGTTCGCTTTTATCATGACCTTCTTCTCTTTGAGCTTTCCTTCAAACAGAAGGGTGTGTTTATTTTGGGTTCTGTTTGAACAAAATGGAATACCTGCAGGGTGTTTTCCCTTAAGGGCAAAGTAAAGAACAAACAACCTACCCTTGGTAGGATGTGTTTCGTGTGGTTTGTGATTGAACACACTACAAACATAGAGAAAGCCCTTAAGGGTTTTGGTTGATCGCCTCACGTTTCGTTTCCTTTCTTGGGGGTGCATGTTTTCCAGTCGGCGAATGCTCGTATTTCACCCAGATGGTTTTGACAGCTTGAGAGGTTTTCCTAGGTTTGAGGTCTATGAAAGGTGGTTTCCAGGAGGCCCAAGCCACCACTTCCTGGCAAGAGCAGGGTATATACTCTTTTTTCTGTCTCTGTACTGTGGATGGTTGCGAACTCCAATTCGCGCCAACCTAAGAAACCATGGTTGAAACCATAACGTTTGTTGGTATTTACAAGGGAATCATCAGAAACCAGGGTTTCTGAGGTGGTGCAAGATTTCGTCCCTCCACAGTATCTTATCAGTTTTCTGGTAGCGATTTGGGTGGTAGTGGGAGCCAACTTAGATGATCGACACCAAGGGAGGTGGTCACCATGCATTACGATTCTGGCACGGTCCCCATGCTTTCGCTGACTCCCTGATTTCCCGGACTTTATACTTTTTGGGGTTGGACCATTTTAGTGGCAAACACAAATCTGGAGCCTTGTTTCAGGCCAATCCACTCAAGCCGGGAAATCGCCAAACTGCCCTTGCAGCCCATGGAATCTTTGTGGCTTCAAAATAGGGATGGGTTGAAAAAAGTAAAAGGTTCAACGGTCAACCTAAGGTGCAGACCTAAGCCTTTTCACCACTTCAACTCATCCCCCAAACATATTATTCCCATGTAGCTCGTAGCCAGACATGGTCATTTGTTCTTGGAACGTGTTAGTAGTGCTGAGTCTTCCAATTTTTCAGCACCAAATTGGACTCTTTTGTCAGTGACTGACATTTCACTGACATGCCACTACTTTTCAGATGGTGTACTCTGCACCAAAGTTTCCGGTCCCATGGCTTTTGGCATGTGCCGCCTGCCACCTTTTCGTTTTCGCTTCGCGGAACACGTGCCCGAGGTCACGGTCCTGACAGGTGGGGTCCACGCGGCGGGGATCATTTTTTTGTGTGTTACCTTTTTCCCAGTGGCAACGACTGCAGTGGAAATTGCGACTTTGGAATGTCAGACATGAAAATGTCAGACCTCAACATGAGGCCTTTTGTTTTTGTTGGCACGTTGAGATAGAACTGTTGTGTCGAATGGGCGCATTTCTGGCAGCTGGATCTTTGGACATCTTTCCGTGGAGACGAAGAGATGTGCGCAAGCGCCCGGATCCTCCTGGTTTGGCGCAGAAAGGGGCGGTTTAACTTGCAGGGGTCATATGATTTTGACCGGTTTTTGAGGTCCTTGCTCTTGCATCGGCCTTGTGTTTTTGCTGGCTTTCTGGAAAGGATCATAGGTGTCCTTTTTGGTTGATTCGGTTGAAAAAGAGAGGGTGATTCCTGGTTTACCTGGTGGTTCAATCAACTACCAGGGCCAGCTATTTTCCAAGAAAGGACACCTATGGAAAGGATGTCTAGAACTCGCTCCCTGAGTTCCTGGACCTTTTGCTTTGGGGAAGACCATTTCAGCGCGCCAAGAGTTTGGGCACGTTTTTCCCACCGCAGGAAGTGAGAGCAATATATACTGGTTGGTTTTCAGCGAACAGGTGAAGATATCCAGCGGTTGGATATGGGTCAAAATTTTCAACCAGGGGACCGCAGGTTTTGGTCCATGTTTCCACTTACCAGGGCAAGCCATTTTGGGCGACAGCCGGTTTGGCCCTTGTACCAGGTTTCGATTCTGACTCACCTCATGTTTAAGCGCTGCTGTTGAATCCACGAGAGCTGGGTGCTGCCAAATGGTTGGGAGCCGGACTCGGAGCTGTGGATGGACGAAATCCATTTCGCACCACCTCAGAGACCCTGGAAGGATGATTCCCCTACAAATGCCAACAAACTTTATGGTTTCAACTATGTTTTCCAAGTGGTGCGAAATGGATCTTGTCCATCCACAGTATTGGAAGTTTTCTCTTTGGTGCATTGCTTGGAGACTGGGACTTTGCCTTTTTGCCAACGAATTTGGGTTTTCCATTGTTATTTACTCTTAGCAGGGGAGCAGAAAGCCACCGAGTCCTGGTTCGGGTTCCATCCGCCAGATGACCCGGAGCCTGATGCGGACGAGCCGGTGCTGGAGCCCTTCTTGCTGCCAGAAGCCGCGCCGGGGGCGCCCGGATGAGACGTGGATTTTGTGCATTTCACAAGGGCGCGGCAGGAATCGCAAAGTGTAGATGTCGAGCAAAGGCCTAAAACATCAGCAGCGAAGGGCAAAAGGAACTGAGACATCAGAGAAGCCCATGTGCTTCGCGTTTCTGCCTTGCTCATCGACATGGCCTTGGGCCGAGGAACAAGCGGGCTACATCGTGTGTCAAATACCGTCTGGAATTCAATCAGTTGATTCCTGTGCGCACCAGTCGCTTCAGCTTTCACATGTGAGCTGTTGACCTGCAGCTGAGTCATTCTAGCCTGGCTGTTTATGCTTGTGATTGCTTGTGGCATGTCGCACTTCGAATCCAAGCTTTGCGCTGGGTAGTGTCAGCTGCAGACACATCAAGCATGGTTCGAAACGTATATCGGCATGCATCCGTAGCCCGAAATCCGGAGAAAATGGAGAACCATGGCAACTGCAGCATGCGGCAGCGCACCTCAAATCATCTCAGATCCTGGGGAAACCAAACCAAATGGGGGTGGGTGCGCCCAAATCTTGGGGGATTTCCACAAGAATGCCGATCGACCTGCGCCACTCAGCCACTGAGCCCGGTGGTGCAGCGGAAAATTGATTGTCGGGGATGGCAACACCTTGTGATGAAAGGTCCACCCTGACCATTAAAGGGGGACCACAAAGGAGGTTTGCTACAATAGTTGTTCAGGATGTTTGAACTGGGGCCCTGCCCTAGCGCAAACTCATCTTACCAAGCCCACACCGGCGTACCATGTGACTATTGGATTCTTGCAGTTTTGCACACATTTATGGTGCGTGCTCTTGCTGCCTAAACATGTTGCCCACCAAACCTTCAAGCGTCCAAGGTTCTGTCAATCCAAAGCTACAAACTGTTTGGCCATGACGCAATCTTTGCAACCGAGTCGCATTCCATGCAAGAAGCCAAGTTTACCTGTGCCGAAATCTGGTACAAGGGATGGGTTTATGCTTCATAAGGCACAACTCCAATCATGTTTGGATGCCCCAACCATAAAAATTGTGGGCCAACTGGAGGTTAACCCCGTGCACGTGAACCGAGTGTTTAGTGAGGGTTGCTGGTCTAAGTCAAGGGCTGATTCACTCGTGTCGCCCTTCGCCAGAATTCCTTCGGATGACTTGGCTCCATTTGCGGCGGCCTCTTGGGTTGTCGGCCAAGTTACAGTAGTAAGTGGTTAGCCACCTGGCGTATGATTTATTAATGACTGAGTTCACCCCACTACAAGTGGGTTATGGCTAGCCACTTACTAACTTGGCCGAACACCCAAACTGGGAGCTCCTGGCCATAGGTGTCCTTTTTAGGTTAGTTTGTGTTGAAAAATAGATGGCCCTGTTTGCCTGGTGGTTCAATCATCTACCAGGCCCCATCTATTTCCCCTAAAAGGACACCTATGCTTCTGGCTGTTCGTCTCGGGGAGCGCACCTTGGCCAAGCAGCACAGAGAGAGCCGTGACCGCACCGAGGCCGGAGCTTGGCGACGAGGCTTGGGGAGCCTTTGTGGCGGGGGGGGGGTCTGGGTGCCCTCGGAGCACCAAAGATCGGGGAAGAAATACACGACTTGGCCTTGACTGCTATTGGGTTGGATCTTTAGACTTTAACTTTTTGGTTGAAATCAAGGGGTTTGCCACTAACCCCCCCAAAAGTTTAAAAAAGGAAAAACTTTGTGCAGGGGGGTCAACAGCAACGAAGTGGCTTCCTCTCTCAAAAAATGGCGCTGTGGGACGGGTCGAAAAAGAAATGACCCCAAAAATCTAGACATGGTCGGCTTCCGTTGGACTTCCTTTTGGTTCCCCAACAAGAACCGCCCACGGCAAGATGTCGGGATTCGGAGTCCAAAGAAGGCGCCAAGAGGACTTCGCCGAGTGGAGAAATGGGAAGACAGGCGAAATGGGCTGGGTCCAGGAGACATCTACGGTTCTGCACAGAGGTGTCCTTTTTGGTTGAATTTGGTTGAAAAATAGAGGGCCTTGGATTTTTCCTGGTGGTTCAATCAACTACCAGGGCCATCTATTTTCCAAAAAAGGACACCTATGGTTCTGCATCACTTGCAAGTGAGAAGTCCACGCCGCGCACATTGAGCTAGTCAGACCGTAGAAAGGCTACTTTCCAACAAAAGCACCCACCCACCAGGCAATTTGGGAGCCCTTTTATTACTTGGGATTACGTTTTTTTTTCTTCTTTTTTTTCTTCTTTTTTCGGAGATTCATGCACTGCTTCCCAATGGTTCTGTCTGGTCGCACCTTCCCCAGTCTCTTCACATCGTTCTCTCTGCGGAAATTGGTCAATACAGCGTTGCCCCCTATCGGCAAACACTCTTTCTTTGTCAATTTTACCGGGCCCTCTCAAAACCCACGAGGTTGCAGGTTCAAGTCCTGCTGGCCCTATGCCCGCGTAAATTGGGAGCGATCCACTCCGTGGCACGCACACATTTCAACGCGTAAATTGGGAGCGATCCACTCCGTGGCACGCACACAGTTCAAGAAAGGCGCAGAACAATTGGAAGGGGCTCATGCGGATGAACTTTGTGGCAGAAATTCAGTGGGTTGCTCTCGTGCAAGACTGCTGAGTAATTGGTTTCCGAATCCAGTCGTTGGATTTCACTTGGTTTCTTTTCTTGCACCTGGTCAGGGCCCGCAGGCAAACACATTGAGTTTTCAGGTTGGGGCACCCATTCATTTCACCCATTTTTCTGAAGCCGGATTTCTGCAGGGGTCCCTGCAAAATAGGTTGGGAAGCACAGCTACTTTAATGCTTGCCCGAAGCATTTATTGCGCTTAGCGATCTTGGCCAAGATTCACCCCCTCTGTAGGCCTTACCCTACAGCCACTCAGATGAGGAAAGTTGAGGGTTATTGACCACTCATTCTTGGGTTCCCAACATCTACCCGTTTAAAAGTTGATCGCCCTATGTAGCTGGTGTACCCAGTTCGGATTTTTTCCTACTGGGAAGTGGAGCTAGAATTTGGGCTGGTTGCTGGTTACCTTTTTTTAGTGGGGGGCGCCACTGGCGTGGTGGACAGACAAAAGTTGACTTTTGGGCAACTAGGTCCCCCAATATTGCCCATTTACCCTTTTGTGGGGGAAGGATCCCCTACTAAAATAGATTATAGATTGCAGAAAAAGTTGGTACCCTTATTCTAACCTCTCTACTGGAGGACCTAGGCAAAGTTGCTCACCCCTCTGTGAAGCACCCATGGGGGGCGCGCTTGGCCTCACTTGGCCTCGTTTGCCGAGCCAGGGTCTATCGGAGCGAAGTTTCAGCATGGAGGCAGCGGCCGCGTGGTCTCCTGTTTGGTTGAGGTTGATGTGGTCGGAAAATAGAGCGCCCTGGTAGTTGCTTGTGGTGCAATCAACTACCAGGGCCATCTATTTTCCCAAAAAGGACACCTGTGCAACAAACCCTCTTTCCAACAATTACGGCAGGGGTTCCCTAATAGGTACAGGGGGCGATTTGAGGAAAGACCAGCCAAGTACCCTCTTTCCAACAATTCTGGAAGTGAACACGGGGCTTCCCTAATAGGAAGGTAGTCTTCCAAACGCTCCTGTCAGCTTCCAGGATTGTTAGGGAGGGAGGCTAGGTGCCCCATTGTGCCCTTTTACACTTTTTTGGGGGAAGGGTCCCCTACTAAAATAGACAAAACCGAAAAAATCATCGGGTACCAACTTATTCTAACCTCTCAAATCTGGAGGACCTAGGAGGGGCAACCCCTGGTATTCTGAGGTGACCGGTCCTCAAAAACATGTTCTGGGCGGTGGGAATGAACCTTGCAGATTGGGGGCGTCTTTCCGGACATCGAGGTGTCAGTGGCTGGAATGGCTGGAAACATGGCCTCCCCCCCTCCCCCCCCAATGCCAACCCCCAAAAGTGGGGTGGGATTCCTCGGTCGAACCTTCTGTGGCAAAACGATCGGGATTCCTCGAACCTGCCCCTAAATGCTCATGGAAATCCAGCATTGGCTGCAAGTTCGGCTTGAACCGCTCGTTTTTTGGGCAGCCCTAGCTAGGTCCCCCGGCTAGCTGCCCTTTCTCACCACTTTTTTGGTTGGGATGACCTAGCTAGGCAAACCTCGGTGCGGCAAGCTTCGCATTCTCCTTTCAAAGAGCATAGATGCGATGCTCCGCCTCCTGGCCAGGAGTCTTGTCATGATCCGGAGCAGGCAGGGGCCCGGAATCAGCGAAATACGCTTCCGGTGGCTGGCTGACCCCCCCACAATCGTGGTTTTCTTTTCGGCTTCCCTCAAACGCCTACCAAAATGGGGTACCCTCAAAAAAAGGCGCCCAGTTGCACATTTTAGTGCGAGCTTTGTTGTGGGGTGATTTAAGGGGAAAGTATGCGGGCATCCAAAGTCACTTGATTCTTTTGGAGCCGACGCATACCCACAGCACCGGGCCTAAAGCAGCCATCAGATGGTCCCCAAAAAGCAGAATTCCCCACAAGCAGAGCCATAGGAAAGGGAAGCCGCCATTGTTAAAATATTGCTGGCAGGGGATTGGACAGGGCAAGCGTGTTATCGGAATTCGGTGCACTTCGGGGGCAGCCCGCGGAGGTTTTTACCCTCGCATTGGCCGAAGTTTTTAAGGTTGATCGCGGCTTCTCTTCGCCCCTTGTCGTTTCAATCCCTGGGCTAGCTAGTAAGATGCCAGTCCCGAAAACATTTGGGCTTTAACAGTGATTTGGAGGGGAAATCTGTGCATCAGACAAATCATTGCCATCTTGAGCATGCAACAACCATTTACATTTGGTGGTTTCCCATAGAATAAGAATGTTGTCTACATATCCGAGCACCATGAACCAGATTTTGGGTTTGTTCCACGAAATAGCAGCCATGGCCACACGGGATTCGTTTGGCGTGTGGCATTCTGTATCCAACATGAACCGGCTTCGGCATAGGTTGATGAGTGTTGGGCAAACTATAACAAGCATGACAACGATTCCTTACGGGAATCCTTATTCAGGGCGGGGTAAGCCTGCCTCGCTGTTTTTTCACCCCTCGTTCTTGCGATTGGGGAAGCCCCACACCCCAAAGCTCCAAGCCACCAATTCTTGGTGCTTGCCTTGTCTGCAGGCAGAACTAGATCAATGTGGCTGTGGTTGTCAAAACCCATGGGATCCCATTTTGGGGTAGGTGAATTCACCACCCATTTTAGGCTTTGTTTTAGTGGGGGTACGGGCTTTTGACTCATGGCCATGTGTTTCTGTGTTGAACTTGCCGGCTGAGTCAGCTAGATATTCGTGCATTGTGCCGGGGTCTTCCGGGGCCCCTTGGGGATCACGTGCCTCGGACCCAAGTCCTGCAAGCCTTTGTGGAGGATTTTCGGCCAGACTCTGTGATTGTCGATGCTACTTAGTTTTTCAATCGGCTGATTGGAAGGAGCACAATTTTTGTGATCAGATCACTCAACTACAGAAACCACATCCATTCAATTTCGGGCCCAGCCTCATTTCCTGACGTGGAACTGGAAGGCAAAACCGTGTTCCCAAGATGGCTGAGTCGGAGCTGAGCTCAGCATCTATTGTGTTCCAGAGTTCCAGAAGCAGAAATGACAGTGGCTGGAAACGTGTTACCCAAAATGGCCGTTTGGTAAATGGAGACAGACTAAAACCTGCGTAACCCACCCAAATTGCGAATCTTTGTGAAACTCCATTCTGCTCGTTTTGCTTCGCCATTTTTGTTCTCAGTGGCGGAGCGGATGCGAGGGATTTAGCCTGACGCAAGCAGTTTGCGCAAGCAGTTTGTCTTCAGCTTGAAGTTGCTACTCTGATGAAACCATGCAATGTTGTGGAGAGAAACCATGAGACACTGTTCCAATGTGTTCTTTGGCCAACTTTGATTGAGAGGGAGTTTGGAGGGAAAGGCGAGGGACAAGTCTGATCCACGGGGGGTACGGGGAGAAATCAGAGGGACTAGTCCACTCAGAATTTGATTGTGCAGCTACTGAGATGCCAGTGTCTGAGAGTGCTTGGCGGCATGTTTGCAGGGAAAAACAACAAGGCTTCCAAGCTACCCATTGGGACGGTGTGGAAGCCAACATGAAACCAATAGGAAACCAAAAGGAAGCCAATAGGAAGCCAGTTGCAATTTCGCGTGCGGAGACCAAACGAAAAGCCCAGCGCTCCAAGCGGCTCATTGTTCGCATTTCAGGGGGAGTCTGAGCACCCTGAGTCCGACGCGGACGACATGCCGGAGGAGAGCGGCCAACCGAGTTTCTGCCTGAGAGGGAAGGCGAAGGGACCTCGGCAATAATTGTCCTGAAGGGACCTGCTTCCCAACAATAAAGGCCCGCCAACAAAAAACAAACTTGGTGGCTCCCAGCCATCCCCTTAGCTTTTTGGCCTTTTAAATAGGGTTTAGTGGGGGTTTCCATTTCACCCACTAAGAGTTAGTCACTTTTAGCAGCGGATCTGAGGGCAGCCCAGTAAAGAATAGTTTGTCGATTTTCTCCGAACATCCGGCTCCGGAAACACACAAATGCCAATAAGACAGTGATTTCCCTAGCATCCCCAACTCCAGCTGTATCTTAACAGAAGAGGAGTCTGAACCCTCCAAATCCCTCACTTTAAAAACTGACGTTTTTGTGTGCCGTACAAGGAAAGAGTACTTTGGATTAGAAACAAAGCTTTTTTTTAATCGTGAACCACCTGCGCCCCCCCCCCCCCCCCCCAGAACAGAAAAACACATGTTTGCGTTTGCTTTGCTGAGAACACTTTACTTTAAGTTGGGGGGCTTTTATTCTTAAGGGAAGGAACTATTTCCCACACCTAAACCATAGCTCCAAAACCCAAACCTGGAAATGCTTCATCACAAGGGCCATCTTCTCATAATTATCCCCTCAGTTCAATTTTCTTGGGTAAATAGGAAGCCTCCCAACCTACCCAGGTGAAACCCCTGGAACCTGTATACCAATAGGGAAGCTGACACTCGGCAGGGGCTAGACCAAATATCCCACACCCATCAGGCAACATTTGTTTTGCAGCGTCACAAAGCCAATGATCTTCATCCCAGCCTGACTCTGCTTGAAAAATGCCCTTTTCGGTTGGCCCCCTGCAAACCAGTTGTTCCTAAGATTTAATGTTTAGAGGATTAAGGGTCCTGAACTTTGATGTGACATCAAGTTGATGCGAAAATTGGGAGCTCTTGGGATGTTCTTTGGTGTAGTTTGCTTGGATGCTAGGACTTTATAACTTTTTGCGAACTAATGGGGTTTTCCATTGAACCACTAACAGTTAAACTTTTAGCAGGGGAGCAGAAAGCAACCGAGTGTTCTCCTCCTTTCGCTCGCCAATTTCCAGGAGCGCCGACCTTACGAGACCTGTGATGAGGAGGCCATAGACGCGGCCTCTGCAGAGGCGGAGGAGCCGCCGCCGGAGGAGGAGGCGGAGTTGGGCGAAGCTGTAAGGGGCGCTAAGACTGGGTGGTCGTCTTTGATCTTTGTCCCGGCCATCCGTTTTTTTCCTCTTCCCCAACAGCTGAAAGCTTTGGGGTCTCAGCCCAGATAGGCTCCGGGGTGGTCCTGGGCGGCCCTGAGGTATGGTTCCACGAAGTTCCACCAAGGTTCCACAAGAGTTCCACCAAGGTTCCACCAGAGTTCCACCAGGGTTCCACCAGGGTTCCACGAGGGTTCCACGAGGGTTCCGCGAGGGCTGCGGGGTGGTGCGAGCACTAAAAAGAGCACCGCATGCTGTTGGGGATATCACCTGAGCTCATTTTTTTCTTTTTTTTGTTTTGAGCCTTTTAGGGTTGAGTTGTAGTTCCAGAAGTTAGACGTTTCGCAGGGGATCTGGGAACAGCCCAGTTTTGTTTTCGCCTTAAACCCTTCTTCTTCAACTCAACCAAAACGGGCTTCCCGCAACAGTAGACACATGGTATGGACTTGGGGTCTATTTGGCTTTGAATTTTACTAGGGAACCGGAACCACGTGGTTGGTGGACCTACACCCGCGCCTGAACGATGTCCGCGGCTTTTTTTTGGTTTTTATTTCTGTAAATCTTAGGGCGAGCTCTTGGGGGGGGGGGGTAACACGAGGTCGCCGTGATGTAGGTCCATTACTTGGAGATCTCTTATTTGAGATATTTTTCAGATAATTGCTTTTCCATAATTTGTTTGTGTTGGATAATCTGGTTTTGTTGCCCAAGTAGGTCGGCGCAAATTGTGATGAGCACGCCCAATCTAGAAAGCAACCCATGTTCATTGCCACGCTTGACTTTTGAACGTTTGGCCTTTTTGGTCGGATTGAACTATGCCATGGTCACACTTGCTTGCGCGTAATATAAAAAAAAACAACCGCTAAAGTGTTCTAAGAAAGCAATGACTGTAGCCCACATAGAAAGTTCTGACCATGGAACCAAACTCTCAGACACCAGCCACGCCCCTGGTTTAGGCCATGAGTCTTATCGGGACCCGAAATGGTGCACGGAATCCAAGCTGTTTTCTCACCAGTTGACCATACCTGCCGTTGGCCATTGGGGTTGGTCAAAATGAGGGGTAAGCCTCCAAGCGGTTAGTTTCATCTTCCCCTCAAAACCATGCATATTCTGAGACCCATTCCTTTTTTGCTCATGTTCAATTCCTTCGTGTGTGTTCATTTTACCTGCTGGTTTAAAGGGGAGTTTTTACATTGTCACGGTTGAGCATGACGCTTGCATTATGACGCGTCCATTTTGGAGGTTGTTCCCCTGAGACTTGGTGTTGATGTTTGTCATTGAACTTAAGTCTGTTTTGATGGTTCAGGGAAGCCTCAATTGCTTTGGAGTGAATTCTGGGGTGTAAATGGGAACCTCCCTCCCCCCTAACCTACAAATCAGCAAGTGGGGAGGTGAATGCTTTGCTCAGTTTCACATACCTACCCCGCTTCCTGTGGGGACAAGGCAGGCCCCCATTTTCGTGCTCGGTAGGCAGGGGTCACCAGTTTTTGTAGAACACGCCGGTAGATTTCAATGGGGATCAGGAGTCCGGTGTGCATGGTTGCTGGATAAAAGCCAAAAAGGAAGACCTTGCCATTGTTCGGGTACTGAACTATCATATGTCCTCTCAGTTTTTGGGAGGACGCCCTTTTGCTGGGTTTTCGATAGAAACCCAAAAGGGCAGCCGTGGGATTGTCTCCCAACCACCCGGAAAAAGCCACGTCTGTCAGGACGTCGAGCCGACGCCGAAGAGGATCAAGGTGAAAGTGGAGCCAAGACCTCGGAGCTACGCCAACCCACGATCCAGCTACGCTGACTATACTACTTCCATTTGGTTACGAATATTTCAGTTTTTTCCACTGTTGGTTTTAAAGGGAATCTATCACTACTGGAAATATATTTTTTCCCAGGGGACTGAAGCAAATGGAGGAAGATAAGCCAAGAGGACGCCACGCAAGATCTTGAGGGGTCCCAAGGAAGCCAAGACTTGAAGATCTCGTTTGGGACTTTTGTTCTTCTTCTTTTCAGCTTAGGCAATTAATCACCTTTTGGCGGTTTTAGTTGGACACCAACAATAAAGCCACCACTTTGACATGATGCTGATAGAAGCGAGAAACCAATCACAGGCTTAGGCTGAAACACTGACCGCGGCTTTTTGTCGTCTTCGAGTTTTCTTCGGTTGGGTGCTGGTGGGGCGTGAATTGTTGTTGACCTTTTTGATAGTTTGAGGCCAAGAGGAGCCCCGTAAAGCAGCTGGGGATTTAGAAGGAGCAGGCCACTCACAATGCCATAACTGATCAACGGTTTATGAACCAATAAACTCGTGGCTCATACCAAGCTTAACAGACCTATGCATGCAGCCTTTGACCCTGAGAAGGGCTTTTCAGATGAGATCTTGTGTGGAGCCAGGCAACCATTGGCCACGATCACAAGGGCTACACGCGGTCCACTGTTCCCTTTTTTGGCTCACCCGGTGATCCCATCCCAGAAATGGTCTTTGATTCAACCCATAAACTAGGCTTCTTCTTTACGGACGACATTCAACCTTTGAAGACATGGCTGTGGCATAGGGTGTTTTTCAGTGGTCACGTTTTGAGGAGATCCCCTAGTTCAATACTGTCTTTGGACTTTTTCTTTTAGGGAAACAGCTCGGATTTCCAGTGGACCCACAAAAAGTGATTCACTTTTTGCAGAGGGTCGTTGGAGGAATCAAGATCAAAAGGACGGGTTGATATGAATCCGGGGTGAACATTACTCCCACTGTTTGTAAACTTGACAATTATAGCTCCTAAGGAAAGGACACCATGAACATGTGCTACAGCATAAGATGTATCAGGTGTAATCCTAGCTCCACTGCAGCAATTCTTATAATTCTCCATGTCGCCTGGACGGAGGGGGGCCTAAAGGCCACAAGGTTTAGGAAGCCCAGGGCCTTCTTCGGGCCCTCGGCTCAAAACTTCGCAGTTCCTTGAGGCAGAACTCCGCCGCCTGCGCGGCGGCCAGGGCGGTGCTGCAGCAGGAGGCGAGGCAACCGGTTCGTCCCCGAGTGGTTCGCGCGAGTTCGCGCGGTTCGCGAGCGGAGAAGTTTTCGCCAGCAGAAACCGCGCTCAACGGCGTGCGCTGTTTTTGGCAAAAACCCTGCATAGCACGCCCGCTCGACTGCTTCGCCCTGGCACTGCATGCACGCCTGACCATGGTAAGCACACCCGCTCGACTGCTTCGTTATAACACTGCACGCATGCCTGACCATGGCAAGCACGCCCGCTCGCTCGACTGCTTTGTTATAGCACTGCGCGCACGCTGCGTTAGTCAATCGCAGTAAGGGAGAGTTGTTTTTCGCGGACGCGAAAAGGTCGTCCACCATACTGGCACGATAGACTCTACCTGGTCAAGCTGCAAAGCATATGTCCCGAATTCGCTGCCTTCATGCAGCCCACATGTCCTTTTGTATGTAACGTCTTGGCAGTGGCGCTATGTCTTGCGCCAGCGACATGTGGAGCAGCAGACTGTCGTTGCGATCGCAAAGATGTTAAAAAGGAGAAGGCAGGGAATGGGCGATACAGTTTGCGTTTCGCTGAGGCCAAAACTCTCAAAAACTGAGCCCTCTTTTTGGGAGGTTTTTGGGACTCAATGAGCATTTCGCTGAGGTGAAGCGAAAGTTTTCTGATGAGAAAACCGGTAAAACGCGAGCGCGGAGTTCGGTGTGCCGGGAAGTTTTTGCGGTCGGCTGGCTGTTACAGGGTTCCCTACATTTCGATGAGTTTTTTTTGGCCTAGGGCTGTTCTTTTTAATTTTGTTTTATAAAAAATAGCTTTGGTTGCCTAGCTGGTTGGTAAACAACAAGTACCCCTACTTTTCACTATATTTGGGTGTGTCGTTTTTTGAGGATAGCCCCTTTTTTGGTGCTTTTAAAGGGAAACCGAAAAGGACGACCAGCGTTTTGAGGGGTCCCCGACAAAGACATGTGTATTTGGAGCTGTTGGCGGGGTGGTTTTAAGGGCGAAAAAAGCTAAGCATCAGCTACATGTTCCCTTGAAGGGTGGGTTTTTTAACACCATCTTTGGGTTGCTATTCTAAAGTGAGTTTCCTGTTGGGGTGATGGTTAAATGGGGAAAGAACCATGTTCATCACGGCACGTGAGGCCGTGAGTTGCCAGTGCTTGATAGTTTCAGTTTTGCCAGCTTGGTATAGTAATCCCCCTCATGTAAAGAGACCCGCAAAAAGAGGAAAAGGACAGGTCCCGCTGCTACCCCCATGTGTCCAAGTGCATGATATTAACGTCTGTTCATGCCAAGTCCGTGCTGATGAGAAGTTGGGGGCCAAACGCCCAAATATTAGGGTTTTGGGATTGGGTTCGCTGGAGCACTGTTGTTTGTTTCCCGTACTGGCCGGCGACCCCTAGTTAGTCATCGTCATTTGATGGCTCATCAAAGCCGTAGGAGCATCATAGCGCACGCACTTATCTTAGAACAAGGGGCTTGAAGTAGAGCCGATGAAGCAGGATTCTATGTCTTGTGATGACATAGCTTGGCGACTTCTTAGTTGATCAGATTTGGCCCGCTAAACAACATTGAAAAGGAAGGCATACACGCAGCAAAAAAGGTTCATGACAAGCTTGCCACCTCTGGCCCCACATAGTCCTCCTGCAACAAGAAGTGCAGGAATCTAGCATTTGCTTTAGGAACCCGCCCAAGCCACCATCAGCAAGCATGCTGCGCGCTGAAACCGATGGGCTCTTGGCAGCCGAAACTCACTGTCTGCAGGCGCGATCTCCAAGCCGTGGGCGCGCCAGCGCTAGGATCATTCTGCGGTAGCGTGCAGCTGCGGGCGTGAAGGGGTAATTGTGAGGCCACCATGCACTGCAATATGTTTGCAAAGCAATGCCCTCAGGGCGCGTGATCATGACCAAACTCAATACTGCTTGGATCTAGGTTACAAAGACACGTGCGCAGCATCTCAGGTTGAGCGACTGCGCAAGGTGCCACCTTAAGGTAACCAAGGTTGCACGTGCTACATGCAACAGCATTGTATCATGAGGCTGGGGACGCACGATGACGCAGCCAAGCAAAAGGTGAATATCTTTTATAGCTTGTTCAAGTTTTTCGCTGTGGATCATGTGTACCAAGAAGTCCCTGAACCAAGCAGAAACAACTGACACCTTGGCGCCAGGCTGAGCGATGCGCTGGCAGGCAAGGTTGGGGGGGGGGGGGGGGCGGGGGCCGAATTTCTGGCAGCGCTTGAATGTCAGGGACATGGATGGAGCTCACTAGTCCATTCAAATGAGCTTCAAGAGTTTGAAAGATTGTATTTGCAAGCCCAGCTGCGGAATCTTGAGCCTTCAAACTCAAGCCATGCTTGTTGATACGGCTGGGGCACTGACACATCATCACCGCCAAGCACACCCCAGCGCGTCAGCATCTTCAAGCAGCCACTGCAAAACATTGCGCGATTCCCGAATCTAAGGTCTGGGGAGGAGCGGCGTACCCCAAAAGTTTGCACAAGTCAAAGCGCATCGGATCAAGCGACCATGAGGATTGCCATCACGTGGACCCCTGACCCCGCGTCAGCAGCTGGTTGAAGGATTTCGCAACCCCACCAAAGAACAAAGTGGCTTTCACGCAAGCAGGTCGAAGAAATGCTTGAAGTGGTACAACTTTGATTGATTGTGCCTTGAAGCAAGAGGTTGCTCACAATGTGTATGGCCATGGCAATGTGTTACACGCAGGTTGTCTTTCTGACAAATATTTGACCGTCCTTTAATCTTGGGGCCACAGTTCAAAGCAGCAAATTAATAGACAGTTTGAATGCGCCTTGCAGGTGCACCTTGCTATCAGGCTGTTCTTTGCCAAACTCATGGCCACCAACTCGTCTTGACGCTTACGGGCAGTTCGCGACGCAGAGTCCTTTGCCCATGGCCGCGCCTGGTCTTGCTGCGCAAGGTGGGCCCAGCAATCCGCAACTGTTGTGATAGCTTCAGCATCATCCCCAAAGAGCCCGTCTTGAAGAAGCTGCTCCACAAGCCGGCGCGGCAGAATCACGGGCGCGCCAGCCTTTTGCAGGACTGGGGCATTGATCACATCCACAGCCGCCTCCTTTGCGGCTGCGATGCTGCTACTGACAAACCATGATGTTGCATTGCACTGTTGTCCCAACCTGGCGAAGCATGTCTCTTTGAATGTTGCTTTTCCATCTTCAACTGAGCTGCAGGCCCACATATGCTAATATTATTAAGTTTGAAGCCCCCCGCGCAGTGCCCCTCGGTCCCAAACTGAAAACAACTCCTTGCAACCCGGACGCGAGGCAACAACATGCGCATTCTCATGAGGAAGCTTGTGTTGGCTGGTTTCACCTGAGCACTTCTTGCTTGCAGATGTTTGGTGCCTTAACGCAACACCTGGTGTACTGCAGCCCCCAACTAGATTCCTCACTCCTGCCCGCACAAGGCAGCGCCCCCAAAGCTCGTAGACAACCACACGAGCTGACCCACGCTGTTATTTTTTTGGCACATGTAAGCTCCCAGAAGCAGACCGTTCTGTGCTCTCTATGGTGAGCAGCACGGTGAGCAGCGCTCAAGACCCTGCTTTATGACGTTGCGCTGAGTCTGAGTCGGGTTGGTTGGGTTGACTGCTTTCTAGAAATATGGCAAAGAGATTGCTGAACCTTGCCCAACTACATCCCGTAAACAACCCTTGCACTGACCCTGTGGTGCATATACAGTCGCAAGCTGCTGAACGATTTGCAGTTCAAAGCTGCAAAGCAAACGCTGTGCTGATCATAAACTTGAGTTGGGGTTAGTGGGCAGGCTCTATGGCAAAGAGGTTACTGGCCACAATCGTAGCGCCTTGCCGACATTGAGCACCTACAGGCCAACGGGCCACCTGAGCAATTGTCATATTACCAAGGCAAGCGTATTTAACTGCATTGCTTAAGCATGCTCAAAGTTGAGCTGTTGGGTGCTTGCAAGTGCTGAATGGTGTGACGTCCAAGACTGCCATCGCAGTAGCTGTTCAAACAGTGGTCCCCGCTTCCATCGAACCCTACCAACGTCAACTCCAGGCTGCCCCCCTCCCAACTTGATTAGATTTGTTGTGTTTCGAATTGATTTAGTTTTGTTGCAGCATCCTTTTGAGCTTCTGAGATTGGATTCGGGTTTCCAATTGGTTTAGGATTTGAGTTTTCAATTGATTTAGCATTGCTTGCTTTTGAGATGGTTCAGTTTCCATTTGATTTAGTATTGCATGGGCCTCCTGTTGAGATCTAACTTAAAAATTGTTTTGGGGGCCGGGAAGCCCCTTAAGTAACGGTTCTTTCAATCCACACAAGTACTATTATCCCCCTTTGCAGGGGTTGAGGGTTGATTAGGGGTGACTTTTTCAACAAGAGTGTGTAAAGAATTTGCAGTTTGGGAGCGGACATTTTTTTTGGGATTCTATAAGCTAGATGTTTCAGATCATAGGGAGCAAGCTTCGAGGGACATACCAAACAAAGTTTGAGCGGGGGGGAACGGAATCTTTATTTAGGCCCCCCCCTGTATAATCCAAACCCCAAGTACTACCCACGTTGAAAGTAAGAATTTGTAAAGAATTTGCCGTTTGGGAGCTGGTATTCTTGTGGTGTTCCAAAAGCTAGATGTTTCAGACCATAGGGAGCGTAGCTTCAAAGACTGAGCCTTCTGCAAAGAAAGCCTTCCCAAGTTGAATAGGGAACTTTTTAACAAGAGTATGTAAAGAATTTGCAGCTTGGGGGCTGAGATTCTTTTGGGATTCCAAAACCTAGATGTTTGAGATCATAAGGAGCAAGCTTCAAGGCACATACCTTTCAAAGATTCAGCCTCCTCAAGAAAACCGCTCAAATGTAGGCAAGGCAGACACTGACCAATCAGACCGGCTAGTGGGAAGGCTTGAGATGCTGCTGGCGGGTGTGTGCGTGTGTGTTTGTGTGTGTGTGTGGGTGTGCGTGTGCGTGTGCGTGTGCGTGTGCGTGTGCGTTTGCGTGTGTGGGTGTGTGGGTGTGTGGGTGCGTGGGTGCGTGGGTGCGTGGGTGGGTGGGTGGGTGGGTGCGTGCGTGCGTGCGTGCGTGCGTGGGTGGGTGTGTCTGTGTGTGTGTTGTTTGCTGTGTTTTTGCGAGTGTGTCTGGGCCCCCCAGATGCAGGCCCGCAACATAACTTGTTCTCAATCATAGGTGGACATCACTGCAGTTGTTTGCGCGCGTGTGTGTGTGTGTCTCAACATGCCCGGACAGGTGAGTTTAGTTACTCGCCGCCCAACACTGAGAGATCATCCGCCTGGCATACAACATTTTTTCTTGTTCCCCAGAAACTGAAAGATACAAGCCTTCCAACTTCAAGTGCAGGCAGAGGCTGAGAGTTTTGCAGGGGTTCTGCGCTGCAAAGTGCTGCCGCAGGGTGCTGTTCCAGGGTGCTTGCGCCGAGTGCTGCTGCGTGCGCAGGCCAGGACTCAGAGTTCCGCAGATTGCTGTTGCAGGGTGCTGCAGCAGACCGAGACTCAGAGATGTGCAGGCAGAGCGTTGCAGAGTTTCGCAGGTGCTGCAGCAGTGTTGCGCAGAGTGCTGCTGCAGGGCGCTGTTGCAGGGTGCTGCTGCAGGCCGAGACTCAGAGTTGCGACGCAGAGTTCCGCAGTCATGTCACGCGTTCGGTCAGCCTTGCCCCCCCCCAAGCATGCAAGTGGCCAGTTTTCACACTATTGGCCTCCTCAGTCAAAGACCCTGAGCAAGCAACAACGCCAAGCATTAAAGCAATTCAACAAGTTTAAGCGAACACACCGCAAACAAAGACGAGGATCTAATAGCGGAACAAGCAACCAAGGCAAACAAGCGCACGACGCAAACAAACAAGCAAACGCGCAAACCAAACCATACCAACCCAATGTAAACCAAACCAGGCCAAATTCAAGCCAAACCAGCCAACAAACACACCAAAGCAAACAAACACCAACACACAAACTTTAAACTTTGAAACAAAAAAGCACACAAACAAGCAACACAGACATACAAACAAATAGCATGAAACACCGCAGCGTAAAAGCCGTCGCAGCCTTGGATTTAGCCGCGCCGCCACCGCCGACTCCAGGGCCGAATCGGCCGCCGGCTTGACCGCCGGCTTGACCGCCGGCTTGACCGCCGGCGTGCTCGCCGGTCCGAGCGCCGAGCTTGAGGCTGCTGGCTGTTCCTTCAAGAGTGGCGCCAACATCTAGCCAGCAACCTCGCGCCAATAATTTAGGCGCCAACACCTAGTCTTAGGAACCTTGCGCCTATGATTTAGGGGCGCTGTGTTTGGCTTGAAAAAGGCCCTAACATCCGCAAAGAAACCTTGCACCCATGTGGGAGCCCTGTTTTTTGATTTAGAAGAGACACCAACATCTAGGCCCTCAAGCCAACCGATTTGCGGCCCATGACTTTAAGAAGGCGCCAACTAACAAGTGTCAGTTCGCGCAAAGCGACGCAGTCCGCATCATCTTTTGCAAATGCCTTGGCCAGGGCGCACATTCATCCGCCATCCTGCATGGCACACACACACACACGCGCACACACGAGACAAGAGCAGGACCCTCTCAAATCGAAGTGCAATGAGAGTAGTTTGCTTGCCGGAGGAGACATACATATGTACTTCGAATCGATGATCTTTTCCGCTGCAAACAGGACGGAGCGGCGAAGAACGCGGAGGTGGAGGCCGGGGGGCGGGCGGGGGAATGGTGGGCAAGAATTGTTGAAACAACTAGGCCAGGGCCAGCCTTTTCAGCGCCGACCAGAAGCACGACTTCAAGTTCTAGCGCTGATTGGGGGACGAGAAAGCAATTTGGCCGAAGATTGCCATGGTCCATCTGAGATGAGCCTGACAAATGCGAACGTATGCGTAGTTTTTTGGAGATTTACGCCGTGGCGCAGGCGAACTGGTACTGAGCGAAAAAAGCTGGGAACGGGCAAGGGTGACTATCTCCAACAGCAGGACAGGCTTTGGGAATCCCCAGTAGGCGAAACCGAAAGGGAGGCCACGAATGGTGTTCGCAAAAGCTTATGCTTGAACAAAAGGCGTCCTGAAATAGGATAAGTTGGGCCTTTCTGTGGGCCCACAAAGACACGGACTCCTACTTGAACCACCACTCAAATAGTTTCAAACCACACAGCCTCCTAGTGGGCCACCGCTCAACATCATTCCGCGGCAAACGTGCCTAAAACAAACCAACCAGCAGAGCCGCCAAAAACATGGCCCCCTAAACACGGCGCCACTGAACTGATTCTTCCAGTTTTCCTCACCAAGCAGCGTGACTCATTGTTTTGGAAGCTTTGGTCTTAGGACCCCTCTGTGTGACATTCCACTTGAACAAAGTAGAGTGGGAATCCAAAAATGCCTGCAGCAAATCTTGGCTACACCAGGGTGAGACTACATGGTACAATTATCCGGAGGATGACTACACACTCGGCAAGCGCACCGCTGGCAGATCTATCATGTAGCCATGGCTTCATCCTACTTGCGTATCGCAGAAACGGGTGTGCCTGTTTTGAAGGAACCTGTTTTGGGGTTGTTTTAGGGGGGCCAACTGGGAAAAAATGAAGACCCCATCCCCCACCCAAGGGAAACGCAGGGGATCCAGAATTTCTTGGGTGGGATCCCCTTTTCTGGCTGGTTTTAAAGGGTAAGGACACCTGAGAAGTGGAGTTTTCATTTGCAGCCAGGTGCCGGAGGTGATGCAGGACTTTGCCGGGCCCCAGGAGACGGCCACCCGCTTTGTCGCGGCGAGGGGAAGGGTGTTGGGCTGCGGTCGCCATGGCCAGGCGAATGTTGATCCCAATGAACAAACCCTGGTTGTTGAAAATATGGGGTTGCTTCTTCCTGGGCTTAGTGGGGAATCAGACCACTTTTGGAGGGGAACACCCACATTTAATGAATTGGAGTTGATTAATATGGGGTCACCAATTGGCACACTGCCATGCCCATGGCACAAGGACCGGTCCCTATCTTCCACGTAACCAGGAACTTTGTGAAGAGTCCAGGTATCCCCTCACAGGTGCCTTCCGCTAGTGGGAAGGGTAACTTTTTCACCGGCCTTTTTCGTTTTCCATCAAACCACCTTCAACGAAATGACACTTTTCCGGCTCGGAGGGTCTGGTCAAGCTTTTAGGACAGTCGGACTCTGGAGAAGCTCTGGGAAGACACCGACTTGTGATTGGTTCTAAAAGGAAACCAACGGGAAACCAACGGTACCATGAGACAAAACCACATTTCGGACCCGCCCTCCAAAAGTGATGAATCCCCACTAGAAGGGAGCACCCTGCCTGATTCACAGCGATGAATCCGGGGTGCCCCATCATGTCATTTCCCTCCAAAGGTCAGCTTTTTGCATCAACGAACCACAGGACTCCTGACCTGGATGTTCTCAGGAGAAGTGGTCTGTGGGGGAGCTCAACAAGCGCGTGCTGAAGTACTTCACCAACGGCCGGAACCGCCCAGCCCCGGCTGGTTCTTGCAAACCACACCTTTTTTGGGTCTCGGATCGGTCCAGTTGCCACAAAAACCCGTGGTGCCCTTCCAACTTTTTGGAGGGTCAATTGAAATTCAAACACTTAGAGTCAACCAGTGCAGATCCAAAAGGGTGCCCTTTTTATCCCATGGCCGCTAGAGGTCTTAGCTTCGCATCTGACAAGCCCAACACCATCCCTAAACAAGCCCTTGCTCCCCCACCTAAACGAACACTCAGCCAACCCCCCTCCCTGTAAACCATCCCTAAACCCACCTTAAGCAAACGGAGCTGGGAAAGGAAACACAAACGAGGGAAGCGGAACCAGATTGTTTCAATTAATCACTCCCTCGGTCAGCATATCCCATCTATGGTCAATTTGGGATTCGGGACAGGACACTCTCAACCTTCTTTTACACACGTTCGTACCTTCAACACCAAGTGGATTTCTGTGCCATGGACACGATATGGATTTTTGCACATACCCTGCAGGAGGTTGCCATATAGTTCCTCACCTTTCCTCCCTCTCTGCTTTACAAGACACAAGGAGGCCGACCATATCTGAGGGCGATGTGTTCTTTTTCGGACTCGTTCCGTCGTTTCCTGTGTTTGTTTATCGGAAATCTTCGAACGCCTGAATTTTAAGGTGGTCCAACAAACACAAAACATGGGGTACTGGATTCTTGCAGAGCCACGGACTAGTTGGTAGGCATGTGCTTTCCGTTTTGCTGCTAGACATCAGGCCTTTTTCGGTCCCAGTTGAGTTTTTCTAGTCTGGAGTTGCTCGAAGGGGAAGTAGAGGGGCCCTGCTACTGGGGTGGTCGGCCCACTGTGCCCCAGGCGGAGTTAGCCTTTGTGTAAGTGGGGTTTAGCCCAGGTCGCTGACCACTTGCGAAGTGGGCGGGCACCTTCCTTTTTGGCCCAAGAGTCATGTTCCTTTAAATCCAAAGCAGATCAAACAAAGGGCAAAATAGAATGACACCTGCTTAGAGCCCGCCTGGGGACTTATGTCTCTGGTATCTGAGTTGTAAGATGGAACATGTGTCCCACTGAGTTCCACAACCCCCAAGAAAAGCTAGCCTCAGTGGGAAACGCAGCACATACCCTTTCTGTCCTGTTTTTCGCCCAGTGGTTCTACTTGGGTGTTCGGACAAGTTAGTAAGTGGTTAGCCACCTGTTATAACTCAGGTGGCTAACCACTTGACTTGGCCGAGCACCCAAGTAGTGCTAATTCTATCTCACTGGCCCCAAGAAAAGCTACGGTGGGAACCCAGCATGTATCCTTTCTGTCCTGTTTTCCGTGACCATTGGCTGTGTACGTCCCGCTTCCCCCAACCCCAGCGCTTTGATCGAGGCCTCTCGGCTGCCGTGGAGGGCAACCACAGCGCCTGGCGCGCTTTGGCACAGAAGCGGGAGGCCTCAGGAGAAAGAATCCCGGGGGCCGGAGTCCATTTGGGCGTGTCTGTTTTCGTGGACCCCCGAATTGTGGTTTCCCTCTTGGTGTCCCTTAAGAAAAGGGTACTCTTAAGAAAAGACAGACCCCATTTGGTTGTATTTGGTGGGTGGACATAATGCGTTTTTTTTTTTTGTTCTTCCCTGGACTTATGCAAATACAGGCTGGATGCGTGGATCGTGGATGTTAATTACCCTCTTGCCCGCGTTGCCATGGAGCCAACACCAGGGAAATGGCCCGTTTTAAGAGAAGTTGGTCATCCAGCACTTTCTGTGAGGTTCTATTTTAGTGGATGGGAGGGTAAGTGGTTTGCTAAATATCATCTTCCCTCTGCTTGGCAGTATGGATTGGTGCTTTGGGTGTGACAGGGTTGCACCCTCAACAGGGACAAGGGGTTCAAATCCCAAGGCCACCAATCCAAGCGCCATTCCAAATCACAGCAATCTGAACGAGGGCAGTGTTCCAAGTTGGCATGAAACGGAACGAGGTTTCGCAGAGCTTGGCGTTGCCAGCCATTCGAGATTAGAGGGATTGTTTGACAGTTTTGGATGTTTCAAAAGGGTTTTATGAGGGGATCAACTTTCAGAGTGTTAGATATCTGCCATTCGACTTTCAGAGTGATAGAGATTACTGATTAGGTGATTACATCATATGACATATTCCGCGTTTCAACTAGAGGGTTTTTATGCGGGGATCAACGAACCGTATAACCGAGCGTGCTTTTGCAGAGGGTTTCGTCAGCAGGATTTTTTCAACCCTAAATGGGTTGCCCTGGTAAAATGGAAAGGGCTAAGGTTTTATGAACGGGTTGCCCTAGCAAATGAAAAAAAACTGCGGTTTTTCTAGTGCTACCTTCCCCATTTTTTTTTCCAGGGACCCTTCTTCTGGCAAACCTCCGGAAATCCGTGCAAACGGCCGGTTTTCGACCAGAACGATGGTTGGGAAGAATGGACAAGGAATCAACCCTTAGCGGTTCTTTTTTCGTTTATTTTTGCCCCAGTCCCCGAGTTTTGTTGGGTTGAATTTTGAGCCAGTCCCATTTCACAGCCAACGGACCGGGAAGTTCGGACGGGGCAATTCGGGCGGACCGGAGCGAGCGATCAGGTTCCTGGAGAAGAGCCTCCGCTCCTTCGCCTGCGCCTGCGGGAGCCGCGTTTGGTTCATGGAAGCCGCCCGGGCGCCCAGCGATGGGAAGGGGGTGCCAAGAGGTCGCCCCTCCCCCGAGAAAGTCCCCCCCCCCCCGGAGAAGAAAAACAAAAAACAAATCAAAAAGCAAAAACTACAACTCCAGCTTTTGCTGAAAAGGCAGATGTTTCTATTTTCCCGTGCTGGTTTTAAGGGAGTCGATTTCACTACTGGACATATTTTTTGATTTTTCCCAGGGGGCCTAAGCAAATGGCAGAAAAACAAGCGAGGTGAGGGAGAGGGAGAGAGAGAGAGAGAGATTGGGGGTCGCCTCCGTTTCTGTTTAGATGGGGTTGAAATATGGAACGGAGTCACACAAATGCGCTGTTTTTCTCCCTGAACACCGCTTTAGTGGCAAACATTGGGCTTTTTTTTTCCAGGGTGCTAGTCTACGTTTGTCTATGAAAGTGGTACCGCATGATTCTAAGGCCGCTGTCTAAACTGAGTTTCTATTTTTTGGGTGGCCAAACTGGATTCTGAACCGAAAAGGAGCGGGGCAGGGTGGAGTTTTTTGTTGGACACACGAAGTTGGAGAGCCGTCATTTGAAGAGACTTGGCGCCATTTGTGCTTGTTTTAATCCGGTAATCCTGCTTGGACAGACGTGAGGTTTTTCCTCCCTGGTGCAGAAGGATCCCCTTTCGAGGTTTAATTCAGCGGATTGCAGATCCACCGCTTTTGCTTCCCGGGTTCCATCCTGGGTTCCATGGACCAGAAGGTAAGGCCTTTGGGTCTGGGGAAAGAGCACTGGACGATGGAGGCTCAACGTGCGATGGGAAGAGAAGGAGAAATGGAATGATTGGAGCAAACTCATCCCCGAGATGGTTTCCTTGGGAGTCCCAAACGGTTCGTTCATGAACAAAACAGATCATTCCCTACCGAGCACTAGCAAGCCTTTCTGATTTATATGCGGAGAGGAACAGAGAATGGTAGGCATTGCCTTAAACCCCAAGAGTATTCTGAGCAGATGAGCCATGTTTGAGCTTCACCTGGTCCTTTGGAGGATACTTGGTGACATCCACGAGAAGATCGGCTCTCGAGCACGCGGACACAGGCACAACAACCACAACTTCATCCACAATCATTCCAATCAATCCATCTATCCAGGTGTCTTCTCTATGACGAAGCCACCAAAGCAAGCTTTCTCGATGGCAGCTGGAGGCGTTCCCTTCCGTGGCAACCATGACGCACTGATTAGGATGGGGGATCCCGCCATTTTGACAAATCTGGATCGGTTACTGGTTTGGGGAGGGCGAGAAGGGCGGACGGACCCCAAAGATCAACCACATCCAGGGGTTAAAACCGCCCAGTTGTCCCAATTGTCCCAATTGTCCTCTTGATATAACCAGGAATCCTGTCAAAAGGGCTCTGTTGTCAGTGTTCACCGAAAGTAATCGACCGGATCTCAAACCCTGTTGTTTCCCAGCGCTGGTTATGAGTTTTAATTACTCAACCCCGAATGGTTCAGCTTCCATTTCCGGGATGGGGCGTACTGCCCAACTCACCAATAGAACGTGGGCTCGCTCACGCAAAAGCGAGGGCTTTTGACACGTTGCCTGCGTATACCTTGCTTCCATTTGGTTAAGACTATTTTGTATTTTCCCCTGTTGGTTTTAAAGGAATCTATCACTACTGGACATATGTTTATTTTTCCTAGGGGGCTCTAAACGCAAATGGAGGCTTGAAGACCATGTTTTTTTTTTCAATTGTTCAACAATTTCGTGACGTTCTTTCCATCAAACAAGACTCCTATCCCCACACGTGAGGATTTTTCTGCATTTGCACGTTGCCTCGTTGGTTCCAGCCTTAGGAATGAAGTGAATGGAGGCTCAAGAGCCCAAAAAACAGGGATGCTCATGGGGGGGTGTCGTATAGGGAACCCCTTTTTGGATTTGTTCAAAGAGAAACTAGAGGGACACCACAAGTTTGGGGCTTGTTCCAATGGGAATTTTGGCCTGGGCGAAGTATGCTGCTCTCTGCCCAAAGGACCTGGAAACAAGAAGTGATCACCTTTTGGGACTTTGGCGGCAATGGGTCTGTCTTTTTTGGGGACTTTCCAAAAATGGCAGGTTTCCTTTTGGTTTCCCGTTAATCACCACAAAAACGGGGTACCCTCAAAAGAAGACAGACCCAAACGCACTAAGAAATGGAAACAGGGTAAGAGATCGGTTTAGAGCTGAGTACTTCTCAAAACTACCCTCCAAATCATGACTTAAAAAGTGAAGCCTCTCAAAACTAGTATTGAGAACCCTTCAAACGGTGGCCCACGTTAGGTGTAGGGGTAAATCCTACTCATGGGACTTGCGGAGCAGAGGCTTTTACGGCCGGAGTACCAAGGGAAATAGGTGCAGAATGAGCCTGTTTTTTTACTGGAGTCATGACTTTAACTGGTTAATCCAGGAACAGTTCTGGGAACATAATAGAGACCGTACTTACTGGGTTGTTTCAAATCATGCCTTACAGTAAGGTTGGAAATGTGGGCGTGTCTTTTAGCTCAGGTTCCCCCTTGTTGGTGGTGTAGCTTTAAATGGACTGCAAAGGAAACCACTGTATTTGAGACACCCAAGAGAAATCCAAGGAAGACGCACCGCTTTGTGGGCCCCCTATTTTTGAGTGTATTTTTTGGGAACCCTTTTTGCTTCGTTTTAAAGGAAGCCAAAAGGAAATACGGTGGTCATCTGCGGTGGTCATCTGTGACAGGAGGAGAGACTCAAGCCGGTGCTGAGCAGAACCGCGTGGGAGCTGGTCCAGGACATCCGGAGAGAGATGGCCTTCCTCTTGCCTTCGATAGAACAAACTACCCTAGGGCTTGATATTCCACATTTTGTTTCCTCAACCATGCTCGTTTTTTTGTTTTGTTTTTGTTTTGTGTTTTTTTTACCGATCGCCGTTTTTTCCCTGCGATTCTGGAGGTTTTCTAGAAAGAAGGCTCTCTGGAAAGAATGGACATGGAAGGTACCCCTAGAATCACTCTCCCACCAACCTGGAATCTCAAAGGAGGGCCTGGTTTGTTCCTTTTTAAGGGACCGGGTCCCTCTCAGGTTCCACCCTTCTTCCAATCGTGGAAGCTGATAATTGGGAGGTTTTGGAAGACCTTCTATTTGGGAACGCCCCTTGTCCGCGTCCATCATTGGAAAGAGGGTGCTGGGCTTGCCTTTGACCGGATGGCAACAAAAAGGTGATCGCCCCTTTGCTCGTTGGGGGGCTTGGAGCAACCCAGATCTGGGCTCTGAGAAGCGCCTTCTTGCCCTTGTCCTTTGAAAGGGATGTAAAAGGGGAGTTGTTTTCCTTAAAACACATGCTTCCAAACAGGATCTATGTTTCTAAAAAAAACAAAAAAACTCTTCCAGGCCCCCTATCTTTTGTTTCTTGACGCCCACTTGGCACACGCCGCGCCTTCCCGAAGTTCCTGAGGTCCGGTTTTTGAGCACACGGCTTTCCCTGAGTTCCTGGGCTTGAGACGTGAACAAATTTCGACGTGCCAATTTCGACGTAGGAGTTGCAACTCGAAAAGGGACCCCCCCTGGTTTCGATTTGGGAGAGTCGAACGGCGGAGTTCGACAGACAGTTACATTTTTTTGTGGTATGCATGGTGTGTTGCCTCGTGCTACGCCGTGCTTGAGACGCGTCATGACGCTTCCTTGGCGTGCTCTTCCTTGGCGTGCTCAGGCGTTCACGAAAGGAGGCGTTTGACCAAGGCAGGCATGAGCCACAGTGGTTTGATTGAATCTCCCGAAATTAGATTCATTTGAGGTTTGTTGGGACTCCCCATAATTGGAAGCTCCCCATATGGGTATGTGTCAAAACCCAACGCATTTTTGGGGATTCAAAGGCAACCCAAAGGAGACTGAACGCCCGGCGACCTTTTGGGCTTTCCCTTCAAAGTCGACTGGACACAAGATTCTTATCCCATGGCGGTCTGGGGGAATTGAGCGGACAGAGGATCATATGGGCGGCCTTTTCGCAGGCGCACCAGCCCAACCAGCCCAACCAGCCCAACAACCCAACAGCCAGCCCAGCAGCCCAACACAGCCCAGAGCCCACAGCCTAACAAGCCAACAGCCCAACAGCCCAAAAGCCTAGCAGCCCAACAGTCCCAGAGCCCAACAGCCCAGTGAATCTCCACCCCCCACTTCACCCCACCCAAAGACCCGGAAACCTCAAAAAGGCAGGGCCTTGGAGCCTCAGGCAGACAGAAGTGCAAAAGGAAGGCCTTGCAGATTTTGACTCCCTCCTTGGAGTCCCGACGTTTTTTTTTCGTCCCAGCGTGGACCTTGTTCTTGGCAAGCTCCTTGGACAGGTGAGCAAGACACTCCTGGTGGGTTCGTCAGCCCCTTCCTAGGGGCCTCTTGTAGATATGGCCACGGCCATAGCACAGAAACACACAAGGCTTGGCTTGCGGCGATTTGACGCTTGAAACCAGCAGCCACTTGGCTGGTTGCAAGTCGGGATTTGTACATTGGCTGGTCTAGAGCGGAGAGTCACCGTCATTTGACGTACGAAGCGGGTTGAGTGGGTAGTAAGGTTGCATGGGGTCGTGCAGAGCGCTCGCTCGATGTTGGGGTTTTTTTCTCTTTAAGAGAAAAAGACCTGGGGCAGTTATTTTCCCGTTGTAATCCATCCGGCTTCGGAGAAGGGGTAGTTTGTTGGTTGTTTCTTCATGGAAGTTTCCACCTTGAATCTCAGAAAAAGACTTGCGGTGCCCGTGATTTTCCCATGGAAATCCACCTTTATCAGAAAAAGGCGTGCTGTTATTTCCCCAAAATCCAGCTGGCTGAGAAGGAAGTCTGGATTTCTGAGATGTGTTTTGTTCGAGGACTGCGAGGACGCGGACAGCAGCACTCCATCCTTGGTGGAGCTGTTGGTGGACACGGCCTACGCGGAGCTGTCGGACCAGCACTGCTTTGAGGCGGTTTCGACCATATGGGTGTAGCTCAAAATTAAGCAGCTGGGGTTACGCAGGTTCTAGTCTACTTGTCCATTTACCAGGGTTCCATTTGACCCCAATTTTTGAGCCACACCCCTATGATCAGCTAACCCGTCAGGTTGGTGGTTTTGGGATTTGAACCCCTGGTTCCTGTGGAGGATACATGGGAAACCGTCCCCCAACCACCAAATCCAATATGGTCCATTTGGAAAAAGCCGGAGGACGCGCCGTACCAGGGCGGCTGTATTTATCTGAGACTGTAAACGGGGAGCAAGGAAACCAACGATTTGGGTGCCCCCGAGGATGGATGAAAAACATGGGACCTGCTTCCTATGAAGCTTTGTACATGAGGACGGAGCTTTTTTGGGATGTGGGTGCTATTTTTACAGGGGATTCCTTATTCTTAGCATGGGTTTCCCTTGCTTTTCCCTTTAATAAAAAAAAAAAAAAAAACAATCTGAGAAGGGGTAGCCACAACAAGAAGCAGACGAGCTTGTAAGCTGCAAGCAAGGCAACACACACACACACAAACAGTCACACAAACACACAAACACACAAACCATCAACATAGATTATCCATTTACTGGGAACCTATGATCAAGCAGAACCCCTGATTGATAAACTGGACGTGCCTCATTTGTGATTTATTAACTTAGGGTCAACACGAACGAGTGCCCTCAAAGAGCTCCTTTGTCCAATCTGTTTAGTGGTGGTTTCAACCAAGAGAAGGATTTTTGAAAATCAATTCAATTTGGAAATCAATCATCAGCATCAACAGCTGGAATTAATAGTCATATTAACAGTTGTTAAGCTATAACATGCAACAGTACTACAAGTATACAGAAATAACAATAACAACCTAGCTGGCTCTGGCTCATTTTTTCTTGCGCCATTTTTACCGTGGTGGTGTCGGCAAATTATCTTGCTCGCTTCACCTAGATGCCATCCAGAGTCTTGCTGTGGCTCCAAGGATTTCCACCATGCGCCCACAGAGCATTTTGGCTTCATCGCGAATCTGCGTAGGAACGCATCCTGGCCACCATTCGACCAGAGCGGAGATTGCGGGCCAAGAGGATTTCAAAACAAACGCTGTTGACTTATGATGCTCGCAATTAGGCGTTTGCGCAGTGGGCTCGGACGCGGAAGCAGTTGCTGACAAACCCAAGAGCTGTTGACAAAACTACGGCCCACTATTTTGACTTCCTTTTCGAACATGGGGATTCTTACAGCGGTGGGTCCTACACACTTTTTGGCTGGATTGCTCTCCGCGTGATCCCAACGAGCCCAGAGCGGGAGCTTCTGGCGCTGGCGCGCGCCGCTCTTGCAGCGTGGCGGTCGGCTAAGCCTGGCCACGCCCGAGTTGGAGTGCCCCCGCAAATTGTTTACAGTTTTGCGTCAGCCACCACAAGTTGCAATCTGCAGCGGCTGCGCTTCTCCAGTACGACCTTTTTGCGCGTCCGTCAGAGGTTCTCAGGCTGCGGGGGCGTGATTTGGTGGCGCCTGTGCCCACCATGTCCTCTTACTGGGGAGTTCTTTTCGGCAATTCAGATTTCGAGGAAACAACGAAAGCTGGGGAGACTGACGATGTTGTTCTTGCTGACAGTTTGCGCCGAGCGTCTTGCAATGCAATTTTGCAACACATTGGCCGGTCTATGTTGCACGAGGGCGAGCCAGTCATCACTTTGACTCTACAGCAGTTTGAGCAAGATTTTCAAGCGTTTTCTGCTACAGCAAAGCTGCCAGCCGGGACTCTGCCCGCACGTTCTGCGGCATGGTGGGCCTTTGCATTATGCGTTACAGCAGCGTCGCACTTTGCCACAAAAACACAGTTGCGTAGTAGATGGAAATCTTCTCAGAGCGTCGAACGCTACAAGAAGCCCGGACGTTTGCTGTTGCCGGCATCTCGCCTGCCGGAGGCACTTCGGAAGTTCAATTCTCAGCATCTGGGGAATGTTTTGAGGGCCATTCTCAAGCATTCATGGGTGTCTTGACACCAGTACCTCTCTCCCTGTGTCGTGGTTTGGGTTTGGAATTTTGGCAATATAGCACATCCGCAACTTGACTTGCAGAGTATGTGCCGTCCTTTGTCAAACACGGCTAACCATTAAGGGACTTCTACAAGGAAATTCGAAACACGATTTGTGTTATTAATATCCTGGCCCTTTTTCAGCATAAGAAAGGTCCGAAATTGAACTTGTTAGGCGGTGTTCCAAAAGGAAATTTCAAGAGAAGAGCGGTTCAAAGGCTAAACCTATTTCGAAACAGGGATTCTAGCTGATTCAGTTGCATTTAGAGTTCTATTTGCACAGGAAAACAAAATTCATTCTATCTCAAAAGGAGGTAGTAGATGAGCAAATGTGGAGAAGTAGTTCAAGAGGGGGCGTGGCGGTGTGTGAACATACATACATGTGTGTATATAGATATACATACATACACACACATATATTTATAGTACCCCTAATGATCCTGCGGCTTTTCATAAAAGACTGTAAAATTCAGTATTGTTGAGCATTACACCTACCTTTTTTTTTACCTCCTGGAAAAGGCTTAACATGCTGCATAGCTAACATGAAGCAAACCGCTCACCACTTGAAAGTTTGTCTACCCAATAACTTGAAATTGTTTCCACTGGATCGCTAAGCACTTGATATTTTTACCACTGGATGGGAAAAACAAGATTAAAGATTACACAAAACACTTTCCTGAGAATTGTCAATCCTGGCCAAACCCAAACAACATTCAAGTTCTTCTCACATTTGAAAGTGCTTTACCACTGGATTGAGGATTCAATATCGAGGATTGCACAAACAACAACTTTCCTGAGAATCATCCATCCTGGTCACACCCTAAAAAATGATCAAGTTGTTCTAAAACTTCGAACGTATGTTACGACTGGATTGAAGATTCGAGATTGAGATATTTCACGGAAAGCTTTTCCGAGAATCGTACTGAACACCGAGAGTATTGAGGCAAACCTGGAATTTCTAAAAAAAAGTAAAACTAGACCACGGTTGGCCCGAAAGCATAACATCGCAAGCGAGGTCGGCCCAGCGCTGCAGGATGCGTTCTTTTTCCCTCCGCAAAGCATTCGTGAAGCAAGCGCGAGACAGCACCAGGCAAGGTGCTCTGCGCAAACTGGTCGGTGCAAGTTGGTCTGCGCAAGTTGCTCTACGCAAGTTGCACTGTGCAAGTTGCTCTGCGCAAGTTGCTCCGCGCAAGTTGCTCCGGCAAGTTGGTCCCTGCAAGTGGCTCCCTGCAAGTTGCTCTGTGCAAGCTGCTCTGTGCAAGTTGCTCTGTGCAAGTTGCTCTGCGTAAGTTGCTCTGCGCAAGTTGCTCTAGGCAAGGCGCTCTGCGCAAACTGGTCGGTGCAAGTTGGTCTGCGCAAGTTGCTCTGTGCAACTTGCTCTGCGTAAGTTGCTCTGCGCAAGTTGCTTTAAAATGCAAGTTGCATCTTGCGACGCCCGCCCGCGGACCAGGGAGGAATCGAACCCGCGACCCGAACAACCTCGACCACGCCGATTCCCAGAGGGTTGCGCGAGCACCGCAGAAATCGCAAAAAACCTCGAGTTTTTTGGGCCTCGACCGCAGAGGGTTGCGCGGGCACCGCAGAAATCGCAAAAAAACCATGGGTTTTTGCACCTCGAGCACGCCGATCCCCGCAGAGGGTCGCGCGAGCACCGCAGAAATCGCAAAAAAAACATGGTTTTTGCACCTCGACCACGCCGATCCCCGCAGAGGGTCGCGCGGGAACTTTAGAAATCGCAAAAAACCATGGGTTTTCGCACCTCGACAACGCCGATCCCCGCAGAGGGTCGCACGAGCACCGCAGACATCGCAAAAAAAACCATGGTTTTTTGCACCTCGACCACGCCGATCCCCGCAGAGGGTCGCGCGAGCACCGCAGAAATCGCAAAACACCATGGGTTTTTGCACCTCGACCACGCCGATCCCCGCAGAGGGTCGATTTTCGTGTAGTGTCGTCGGCACTACCCCGCTGCCCTAAGAAGAGATTTTAACTCCTCGCAAGTCAATTGCACTTGACTCCTTGCACTTGCAACTTGTTGACTCCTTACACTTGCAACTTGCACTTGACTCCATGCACTTGCAACTTGCACCTGACTCCTTGCACTTGCAACTTGCCCTTGACTCCTTGCGCTTGCAACTTGCACTTGACTCCTTGCAATGACTCCTTGCAATGACTCCTTGCAATACTCCTAGCAATGACTCCTTGCAATGACTCCTTGCAATGACTCCTTGCAATGACTCCTTGCAATGACTCCTTGCAATGACTCCTTGCAATGACTCCTTGCAATGACTCCTTGCAATGCCTGCTTGCAATGACTCCTTGCAATGACTCCTTGCAATGACTCCTTGCAATGACTCCTTGCAATGACTCCTTGCAATGACTCCTTGCAATGACTCCTTGCAATGACTCCTTGCACTCCTTGCAATGACTCCTTGCATTGACTTTCATGATGATGATTCCTTGCACTGACACCTTGTAATGACTCTCATGAGAACAACTCAAGTGAACCCAGCGGAAGAACCCTTCGCCATGCTTTCGGGAATTATGGGATTCAATATTCCCAGAAAATGCCTATTTTGAAATCTTGAACCTTGAATCTTGAATCCCATATTTTTTAAATATGAGATTCCAGGTTCAAGATTCAAGATTCCGCAAAAAAAGATTATTTTGAAATCTTCAATCTTGAATCTTGAATCCCAGTCTTTTTGACATATTCCAGAATTCCAGAAGATTTTTGAAATATTGAATCCTGAATTCCAAAGTGTCACATTGAACGGGGTGCGTACCATATTTTCTATATATATATATATGTATGCTTACATGCTCATATCCCTATATCTATATATCTATATATATATATATCTATATATATATATATATCTATATGTATATATCACATTCTTTGTTTGCCGTTGTCGTGGTTTGGGATGTGGGCACAGCCCGTATCACTTGTCCACCTGCCAGGTATCAGTGCGGGATGCTGTGCAGAAGAGCTACGGCGAACATGGGCAAGCGGTGGTTTCAAAGATGACGCTTGGCAACTGACAGCTGGGCCTTTGGATCTATTTCAATGTCACATTTGACCCAGGCCGCCAAAGGCTGGCACATGTGTGTAGCATTCGTTGGAACCCAACTGTTAGGACTTGCTAGAACCCAGGTGGGTGTGCTATTTTCGCTGGGGACCCTTTAGTGGGCCGTTTAGCTTGGGATTTATGTCTTTCAACCATTTGGGAGAGAATTCCTCATTACATTGAACCTTCAAAAGGTTATTGTTTCTGCGTGATCGGATGTTGCCCTGTTCCGACCAAATGACTTGCATCGCGATCAGTCTCAGTGCAAGCGAGAAAGCGTGCAGAATCCAGCAGTCAGAATGGGCAGGGAAATTTGGGTTTCAGGGAGTCCCATTTTTGATTGCTATTGGCTTGGATCTTTAGACTTTAACTTTTCGGGAGATCAAGGGATTCTTCCCTTAAACCCACAAACAGTTAAACTTGTCTTTTGTCCATTGATCTCCCAAAATTGATCTCCCAGAATTGTCCATGCAACCCGCAAACAGCAAAACTTTTGGCAGAGGGGTCAACAGCAACCAAACCGTTTTCTGGTGGCCAAGGAATCCCATGTGAAGGGATCAAGTAGTCATGGTGATTGGGTTGGATCTGATTCACAATGGCGTCGAGCCGTTGTTTTTTTGATGTAAACAGAAACTAGGATGTAGGAACGCCTCTAAAATGAGGTTTTGCCTGATGGAGGCACGGTACCTGTTCGGGATGCCTGAGATGTTGTTTTGGGGAATCCTACTTCTGCTATACTCCTTTATTTCAAGAATTGGGAATCAACTACTTCTAGTATCACGGGTATCATTCGGCAGGCAAGCTCAGGTGAGATGAAATGAAAAGGAGGAACACGGCCTGGGCGGAGAATTTGGTGCGGCAGACGCCCTTTACAGGAACACGTTGCTGGTAAGTACTGTGAAGCACCGCTAACCTCAGCCTTTTGCCAAAATGCCAGGAACTATTTGACCAGATTGAGGCAGGGTAAGTCATGAACATTTCAGAACTCTCGACATGCCGTTTAGTCTCTGAAGTTTTGCTGTTCGTGGAGGAATGGCGGCAAAAACAAGATTATTTGCAAACATCCAAGGCCGAATGAGTTTAAACACGATTGGAAGTACCCTTGACCCCATGGTTGCCAACCTACTTGGTTGCACAGCCCCTACATACCGGTGCCATTTTGGGGAGAGGGTATGAAACGAGGCATACCCTGTCTTTGCTTGCTTCCCCAAGTATGTAATGAACATGTATGCAAGAAGATCCCTGCAACACACTGTTCACTTAACGGCAAGTTTGGATGTAAGCCACGATAAGTCCCTTAGATGGTTCGACTTGGTACGTGAAGCTGGGAAGACTCGGCTTATACCCTTGCAGGGCGAGCCATGCTTTTCTCCCGTTGTGCTTTTGGCCCAGATTTCCCTGGGTGTGAAAGGCCATGTCCCACCACAAGGAGCCTTGTAATTTAAGTGGGGAGGTACAGCTAGAATACCTGGGCAATGCCTGTGGATCCCTACACATTCAAGGGGACAAGTATCGCCAACAATGCATGGTGACCTCGGCCTGGTTTTTGTGGATCTAAAATGATCTCAACTCGCCCGAAGCGGCTGGGTCTTTTAGAGTGCGGGCCCCTTTTGATAGGCTTTAAAACTAGGTCCCCCAGTAGTGCCCTTTTACCCTTTTCTGGAAGATTCGGTTCCCCTAGTAAAATAGACTACAGACAAAAGAAACGGTACCCTTATTCTAACCTCTCAAGTCTGGAGGACCTCGAAAAGGAAGCCAAAAGGACGCCAAGGTCCCATTTTTCGGGGGGGCTCTCCCCATGTCATGTTGGAAAGGGCAACCCATTTTTCGGGGAAGACAGTGAGACCCCTGGCTCAGGATCCAAGCCCTGCACCGGAGCTACCCAGGCGCGAAGAAGGGGTCGAAAAACGGGGGGGAGGGCCCGGGGCCCGGGGGGAAGAGATCTGACTTCTCAAGTTTCGGTCGGACGGTTTCTTGTGGCAGTGCCCAAGTTTCGGTTGGAGGCTTTTTGGCCAAGCTGAGCTTAGTGGCACGGCCAAACAAGCTTTTGACCGTGCCACTACATTGCTCAGGAATGACACGCGACATGGGATGGTTGCTTCTTAGCTTCTGTAAAGAACGCCGGACAGCATTCTTAGCTCAAGCTCTATCTACGACCTCTCCCCGACTCGTCTCTCGACAGGAGCTGTGAAGGAGGGCGAAACGGCTGAGGGCTTCCGCAACGAGAAGATCGAGGCGCCGGCTCGAGGTCAACGGCTCTGACCAAACTTCGCCCAAATCGCGACCCGGTCAGTGGGGGTCACTACGTCCTTTGGTTGAAGATCCAATTCTCATTTCAAGTTTTGGGGGGTTCCAGTGCACCATTTGCAGATCCCTGGCTTGTGCGTTTGGTTTTTAAGTACACGTTTTGGTGCCAGGCGTCTCCCTCATGTTTGCCTCCAAAATGTGGCAACTCTTTCTAGCTAGCTCACTTAGGGCGTTCGGGACTTGCGGGTACCATTATTTGCTGCCAGAATTGGCCCACCTTTGCAACATTTTAATTCTTTGGGGTTTCAGCAACTTAACTTTTTGCAAGCGGTCGGAGCCGTTTGGCCCGCAAAGGATTGATCCTCCATTCCCCAATCGAAGAAACCGTGGCTACGAATGTTGTTTTTCGGCATCTTTCTGTGGGCCTTTGCCCTCTGTCTCCAGACATGTATGACTAAATATGGTGCAGAATCTGAACATATGAAACCCATCGCTGTCTTTTCTCCCCTCTTGAGGCCTTTCGAGTCCGTTTGCCAGAGTCCCAACTAGGAAACTTCTCAAACTGGTGGACCCAATGTGGTGTGTGGTTTGAAGCCAAAAGGACACTCATTTTGTGATCCATATCCAATTTTGGTGTCCGCCGTGTTCTGAATTGTGGTTTTCCCGGACCTGCCATAGCTGCTTGAAACACCATGCGGATGAGTGTCAAAATTGCAAGTCTCTTTGGCTGGCTTCGGTAACACCGTGTTATTGGGAACCCCCTAAATCGTGGATTTCCTTTTGGTTACCCTTTGAGTCGACCTGAACAAGGCACCAGGAAACACACACACCAATGTATTGTACTTGGTGGTTGAACAAGGTCGTCGATATCACCTGGTGACCGTTTTTGTGCTCGTCTTCTTAAAGGGGCCCAAAAGCCATGGACTCTACAGAGCACCCAAAGACCCTTCCCCCAGACGTTTGGGGGTTGACAAGCCAGATTCAGGCAGAAAGCTCTTACCATTGCGTTTGGGGGGGCTTGGGGGGTTGCGGTTAGGTCGGGAAAATTACCAGCCCCTGTTTTACTCAGTTTTGAGGACCAGCCCCAGTGCCCCACACCTCGTTTTCCGAGCGGCCGCCAGCCATTCGACATTTTGACTTTTAGAGCTTAGAAGGAATCATGTCATGGTCCAGTAAGCTTAGCTGTCAAAGTTCAACGCGGAATGGCAACGTTCAGTCCCTGCATTCGGAGAGATTTAAGCTTCATGTTTTGCAAGGCATCGACGCACCGCTAGGGTTTTCTATGGTTGTCAGCCCCGCAAGAGGCACCCAAAAAGAACCTCGCAGCCGTGATAAGGCCTTGCGAGTCGCGAACATTGCCCCAGGCAATAGCTTTTCTTGTTTTGGTTGTGTGACGTATTCATTTTTTTGTTTTTTTGTTTTGGGGTGGGTGGGTGCGTGGCATTTTGCTTTCTTTGCTGCCGGGGGGGGGCGGGGGGGCGGGGGGGCGGGGGGGGCGGGGGGTTGGCACATGGTGGCGCCTGGATCCGTTGGGAGGCCTTTGCCCACAGTTGGATCAACAAGAGCATGGACCGCGCCTACATGATGCTCGGGAAGGCGCGGGGTTGGCGCAAGTTGGTCTTGAAAACCGGTTTTTGGGGTTCGCAGGTGGAATTCCATCTGTTCTTCTGTTTTTTTTTTGGGGGGGGCAAACAAAGCAGTCAGCTTTTTTTGGGTTCGCAGGTGGATTTTTTCACCGGTTCTTCTCCCGGTCGCTCGTGTTTTTGTTGTTGGCGGTACTCTTCAAGTGCTCTTTGTGGCCATGAGGGGAGTTCCCAATTGGGGTTTCATGCCCGAGGCTGTGCCGTGAAAACACAGATTGAGATGGTTGATCAAAAGGTCCTTTAAATGGAACTAGGGAAACCACCAAGATGTCATTGGGGGGGGGAGAATATTGATCAGCCCCCACATGGAACAATCCAAACTTTATTTTTGGCCGGACGACAAGGGTTCCTCTCAAAACATGACCATGACCCACGATGAGGGAGTTTTGACAACGGCACATACTTCCCTGCACATTCAATCGCATTCACATGGAACTCCAAAAGAAGGCCCCCCAAAGGAGGTTCGTTTACGAATTGTGACTTTGGTGGTTCCATCTTCGATGAGCAACAGTGAGGAGTCATCGTCATCATCTACTGTAGTCAATGTAATGACATTGGGTACAGTCACCAAATTATCAGCATGAAATGGAGGTTCATTCACCAAACTTAAGTGTGATGGCGGCACACAGGGCTGGGCTCGTATGTATCCTCATTTTGCCAGGTATGCTGGGGCCTTAGGCAGGTTTCTAGCCATGTCCTTAGGTCAGTTTGACTGAAGATCTGTGGCACTGGTTTCAGTTTGGTTTGATTTTACTTGCCAGTGGAATCAATTGTTCTACAAGGACTAGACACAGATCTCATAGATTTGATTCAGAGCCACGAGGGGATTTCCGGCAAACCCACGCGACTGCGCTATTTTGGGCCAAGGGCCATTCGTAGCCTTCCCCATGGCTCCGATGGCCTCTGAATCAATGTGCCGATTGTTTTGAGGGTACCCTTGGGTTGAACTTGTGGAGGACAACCATGCGTTTGGGGGGTCACCTTAGGAGCCTAGTGCGTATATGTTTACTACGAGCATGAACCAAGGCGCCATTGATGTCTGGCTTCGGCTGGGAATGGTATCTTTTTAACGGGACATGAAACACCGAGCCATTGATCTCTGGCTTTGCGAGTTGGAAGCTCTCTGAGGAGAAGCATGATCTCTTGCTCACCGAGAGCGCCATGGTTGACCTCTTCAAGTGGCTCATGTCCCCGGACAGTCAGATCGGTCGGATCGGTCGGATGGGCCCCATGGGCCCGGCTTCCGTGCGGGAAATCCCTGAGTGATAAAGCAATGTTAGAAATCCCCGGATTTTATGAACCCGTCCTGTTAAGAACCGCTGAAAGCGATGATTCCCCACAAAAAGGGGACACCCCCCTATCAATTATCTGGGGCTGATTCATCCGGGGTTGAGATTTGTCATGGAGTTCAACCCCTTTGGCATAAGAGTAAATTTCAACGAACATGTGTTCCAACAAGGAACAATACCACCAAGAACGGGAAGCAGTGCGGGTGGGGACCATTTTAGCCAAGAAAGCCTTACCCCAGTTGCAGCAGGAATGTTGGACTTGTCTCAAGCCAACACTTCGGGATATTGGCTATTCAACAAATGTCCTGTAGAATGTCCTTTTTTTCTCCCCGGGGCGGTTCTTCAGGAGAGAGGCGCTTCATATACCACATGTTCCCGGGAGTGGACCTTGGAATCGCTCGTTTTTGGGAGAAGAAATCTGTTGGTCAAGATGTGACTTAGGGCTTCTAGGATCAGGAAACTTGGTGAAAATCGCCCGAAACGGGGGTCACTGTGCAACTCAAAGACTGTGGTGCTCTGGTTGACCCCCCTTTTTTGGGTGGTTTCAAACGGAGACCAAAACGAAACAACCCACGTTACGGTTCCATTTTTTTTGAGACCCCCTCCCCCCAAAAAACGTTCGGGTTCCAAACCCTATGTTGAGACCCCCCAAGAAAAAATCATATATATATATATATATATGCTTTCCTATTTGAGACACCCCCGTACAAAAAACAAAAACTGCTTTGGAGCCGGGTGAAAACAAATCTCTCCGCGAAGGAGAAGACGGAGACCTTCTCATGCATTCCACGGGAGCTCCTCGGGAACACCCCCAGGTGCGGTTCCCCGAACGCGGAGGCAAAACCGGGCGGCTGACGAATGACCAGTCATATTTCCCCATGGTCAGGACTTAGTTTGGTTTCAGGGTACCCCAAACCACATGTGTTGATTTATCTAAGCCCTTGTAATTGTAGCCATTGCCAAACTTGCGTGGTCCACATCTTTCAGCATGGTTTCAACCAAGGAACAACGCACGTGTTGCAGGTCGGATCCGCTTGACCAGGAGGTGAGAGCTAATTACGATCGTTGGCCTTTCAACTTGTTTTGGACGGGCGTGCCCCTGCAAAATCAAGTGCGTCACAAAAACATGTCTTTTTCATGGACATTTACTGGAGGTTTGGGTGGTGGATCCGAAAAAGTGTCCAAACTATCTAGATTGAAAAGGCGATCAGCATTATTGTCTGCTTTTCAGGGTACCCATTGTTGATGGTTATGAAGGGAAACCAAGAGGAAAACCACAACTGTTGTGGGGTTCCATAGAACAAGACACATCCATTTTGCTCCTGGGGAACGGAAGATAAACTAAGCGTGGGTGTCTCTGCGCGCAAGTAGGTTCGGATCAAGCTCGGTGATCTTATTGAAAGCAAACGGTTTGACCCATGATGACGTCACCTGGTTTTTTTTTGTGTGCAATCTGTGAATCCAATTATTTTGCGCAGATGGATTGGGAGTGATCGATTTCGATTTGTGGAGTAAATTAGCATAGTCACAACAGTTTGGGCTTGGGATTACTCGCGACTGTTCCAACTCCCGAATCATCTAAGTGGTGCAAAAATGACTGGCCTTTGGCGGATGAGAACAAGTCCCCTGAGATGTTTATAAAAAGATGATCGATTTGTTGCTCGTGCAGGGACCCAGGTACAGTCGGCAACCGGAGGACACCACAATTCATAAAGTTGGAAGATCCCACTAGTAGGCTCCTACGGCCCAGACCTCAAGTGGTGTCCCTTTGATCTTTTTGGGAGGGGTGTCCCTTTGCAATTGAGTACCAAAGAAGAGTGTCTTTTTTTCCCCAACTGGAGGTCTGGAAAGCGGAACACCTGGGCCCACCTTTTGGCTCCACGGCCCCTCGCAGAAGGTAACTATGCAGCTGGGATTTCCAACTGAACCCTACATTGCTGATGTCCACTTTGGTATCGCAGAACGGGGCCCAGTTACCACCGCCATGTCCCTATGGGCCGAGTGTATGGCAGTCCACGTATCTCGATGAACGAATCAACCACTTGAGCCAGGCTACAGCGGAAAGTCAACGTATGATAAATACCAGTCACGGCCGGTAAACGTGTCCTGGTTGGGAAACCAACTGCTGTTGTGTAAGCACAAGTTGGATAAACACATGATTCAAAACAAGCCGGGCACACACCACACACACACACACACACACACACACACACACACACACACACACACACACACACACACACACACACACACACACACACACACACACACACACACACACACACACACACACACACACACACACACACACACACACACACACACACACACACACACACACACACACACACACACACACACACACACACACACACACACACACACACACACACACACACACACACACACACACACACACACACACACACACACACACACACACACACACACACACACACACACACACACACACACACACACACACACACACACACACACACACACACACACACACACACACACACACACACACACACACACACACACACACACACACACACACACACACACACACACACACACACACACACACACACACACACACACACACACACACACACACACACACACACACACACACACACACACACACACACACACACACACACACACACACACACACACACACACACACACACACACACACACACACACACACACACACACACACACACACACACACACACACACACACACACACACACACACACACACACACACACACACACACACACACACACACACACACACACACACACACACACACACACACACACACACACACACGCGGCCTGGCCATGTCTTGGTCAGCACCCTGCGATCAGAACTTCTGAGATGGTTCTAAGAACTAGCCATTCCTTTGAAGGGAAATTTCTGGGGTTGCTTCAAGCCGTCCCCTTCTTGGCTTGTGAAAGGCCCTAGGAGGGCCCAATGGGGTTTCTTCAAGCCGGGCCCGAACGAACCTCCGAATGAAACCCCTTCCTGGGCATTTGGCCGTCCACAATCAAAACCCGGGTAGATGAAGGTTAGTAAGGGACAATCCCAACCATAAGTAGCTGTGGATATCCGTCTTCTCAATTCTTGAAGCATGGTTCCTGGCAGACCATGTTAATACTCATTTGGTCGGGCTTTTTATAGACTGGGTTTTTTAATGCTCATTTTTAATACTCATTTGGTCGGTTTTTTTTATAGACTGGGTTTTTTAATGCTCATTACGCAGACCAATTGTACTACCGGGTTTTTATGACTCATTTGCTCGTCCACGGCTTCCAGGCCCTCGTGGAACTGGAAGTTCATCCGCCCCACGGTGTGCAAGTTGCTGGAGCGCTGGGCGGAAGGTGCGAGCCGCGGCTCGCGAAGCAGAGAGGTTTGCAGCTCAGGGAGCTCCACAGCTCCCTTTTTCTGGGTGTATTTGGGTCCTTCGTTTTGAGGGCCGCCCTTTTTCGGATTGGTTTGAAGCCAGAAGGAACACCAACTTGGCAATTGGTTGGGTCCCCTTTGACACATACCAGGTTGACCTGTCTGATTTCCTGAAGTCCTCGAAATGGACCCGTTGTCTTGGGTAAACCAAAAGGCAACAAGCATCCGGGTAAGAACTAGGTAGGGTCTTCCGAGCTTTGTCGTTGAAAGCATGGTTGCGGACGACTTGGCTTTCCTTTGTTGCAAATTTCGAGCTTGATACTGTTGGCAGGACCATCTTAGTGGCAAACGCGAAGTTTGGTAACATCTCCCTCCGGCTAGAACTTCCCCCAATCAACCTTTTTCCGTTTATAGCATTGTGGCAAAGATTGGCTTTAGGTTGTCCATTTGTTTAGCCATACCACGGGACGCCCCCTTGTGATAAGGCAGTCACACGAACGATTTGACAAGAAAAGGTGATTTCCCGCATCCATAAATTGAGCACGTTGAGGATCCTCCAAATGGGTCCCAGGCGGTTGCCCATGTAGACGGCTAATTTGAGGACGTCACTTTGGCAGACCCAGGAGGTTGAGCCTTTCATAGGATCCCACCGACCAGCTTTCCGCCGGGAAGGTGTTGATTTAGGGAGTCTATCACTACTGGAAATATGTCTAGTTATATTTCTAGGGGGCTTAAGCGAATTGAAGTTTCTGCTGCTATGAAGTTTTCTCAACCAGCGATCTGGCCCCTGCTGTTGCATGGCTATTCAAAGGATATGTTCGTGAAGGCCGAGCCACTAATTAACACAGGCCGAGCCCCCACAAGGATGCACAGCCATGAATCAGCTTCCCTCTAGTTGGTGCTTTGGATGGGTGGGAAGGGGTGTTTGAAGTTTGAGGTTTTCCCATTTACACTCTACAAGAACCAAGGGTTTTTTCAAATCCCCAAACTACCAATCCAAACCACCAACCAGGGGTTACCTGAATGAACTCTAGACCCTGAAGCGCTCAAGTCAGAAGCCGCGAACCGCATGAGAACCGGACAAGCCATGAAGCAGAGACATCTTCACACATATCGTTCCACTTGACAGTTGGAACCCCAGCCATACGTGGGAAGACAGGGGTTTGCTTTTCCCAGCAGGGTGAAGATCCAAGCATAATTTGGCCAACAAGAAACACCCAACCATTTTGGATTGCCAATTTGGCGTCCGGCAACTGACTCATTTCGAGCTGTACCCTCCCTGAACCCTTCTCAGAGCCAATCGCCCTTAAGTGAGCGTACAGATCACCCTCGAAAACCCCTCAACCTTTCTTCGGCCTTACTGGGCGTTCTTTAAGGCCTTATTGCTCCCGCACAGAACGGACAAGGGTCTTATCCCCCAGAGCAGATTCCTCCGACGCAATATTTTTAAGCAGTTCTAATCAATGGCAGAAAAGTCAGGCGTGAATGGGGGAAGCGCCTTCCCCTGATTATAACTGGGGTCTCCGCTCCCAAAACGATGTTATATAGGGTAGACCAGATACGGGTCTGTTTGGTTGCTCAGTTTTTTTTGGGCGGGGCGGGGGGGTTAAGGGAAGCCAAAAGGAATTTGGGTGTCCCCTAAAGAAAGCTTAAAGACAGCCCCATATGAAACAGAATCTGAACATGTCTTCTTTCCAGAACCCCCCAGCCAAAACAAGAAAGCTGTTTTCTCTTTGGTTGTCCTTCAACCCCCCCTGTAAAAAAGTAAAATAAAGCAAACAAACAGAACAAACAAACAGAACAAACAAACAGAACAAACAACCAGAACAAACAAACAGAACAAACAACCAGAACAAACAACCAGAACAAACAAACATAATAATAAAAAGCAAAAAAGAAAGGTAGCGTCAAAAAGAGACGAGCCACTCCCACCTCACTTTCTTCGCTGAAGCTCGGCGCCTCGGTGCCAGACTCGGGCACGAGCCGGGTGCAGCGGAAGCGGCCCATGCCTTTGGTGCTGCGGAACAGCATGTAGGAGGGGCCTGGAGTTTTTTTTTTTTTCTTTTTCGGGGGAATAGGTGTTCTTTTCCGGGGGAATAGGTGCTTTTTGTTCCTTCCATTTCTTTTCCGGGGGGGGGGGGAATAGGTGTTTTGTAAGTTTTTTTTTTTTTTTTTTTTTTTTTTTTTATTCCTGGGGGGGGGGGGGGCTAGATGTTTTGGAAGGGTTTTAGGTTTTTTTGGGGGCCACTGGTGTTTTTTTGAGTGTAGGTTTGATGGGTTCCAGTGGTTTAGATGGGGATTTCTTCCATTTACCAGGGAAATCCATCTATTCGGCCAAAGGGTCGCCAATGCTTTGGGCCCGGCTTTTTGGGGGCCCCTTTGATAGGGAGGGCGGGTCAAAGCGCTTGTTAGATACATGGGAAAGGGATTCCAGCTTGTCGGGGAGGGCTGCCTTACATGTTTTGCCACAACAAAATCCAGGGTTTCTAACCGAAAATCTGGGGGGCTGTAGCCCGACGGCCCCTTGTCATGTGTGTGTGTGTGTGTGTGTTTATTCTTTCTGGCGGCAAACAACTCAACCAGCCCGGCTGATAGGGGATGGGCCCAGATTTGTCTTGGAAGCAACATGGATAGAATCAAGCACTCACTTCCTGAGTAACGTTTTGGGACGCCCAGTTTACTCAGAAACCGAGAGTCTGGGCAGACATGCCGACCTCGCTGAGAGGGTTGGTTTTTGCGAAGTCGCTGCGGCTGATTCCTCTGATCCATTTCTGATTTCAGGTTGGTAGATCGTTGTGGTTCACCAGGCGATTCGGACATCAAGTTGGAGAGACACAACAAAATGTAATGTGAAATATGCTCGAGCTTTTGTTTGGGGGTCAAAATGGACCATTCATTGAATATCATTTGGCTGGGGGCTTCCTGCGGTAGAGGTGTTCGTTGTGCCTTTTGACCTGGAGTGCCTGAAAGTCCGCCCTGAAATTCAGTTTGTCAAAGTCAGGGGGAGCCCCCAAACGGTTGGCGTCCTCTGGTGTCTCTTTGAAGTCAAATTCTATTGCAGGTACGCGAGGTTCGTGGTCAGGATGTCCTTGGAGCCATGAACCAAACGACGTTTGCACTCATTTGCCTAGAGGTCCAACGAACCAACAAACCAACAGGGGAACTCGCTCGCTCGGTGCCAGAGACACCGGTTTGGTGGATGCCCTTGCCGTATTCAGAGTAACCCAAATCACTCGCAAACACCGCAAAGCTGTGGACTATTGCGATTTTTTAGGGGGTTCCTTGTGCCCCTTTACTAGCATTTGGGGCATCCATATCACGCCCAGCGCAGCTTTTGAGCTCGACTCCAGCCAATCAATCCTTCTACCCGATGGCTGTCCCTCGCGACCGGGAGACTGGCCATGCTTTCGACAGGCAATCACTCGCACATTGCAGTAACTTAGTTGCGACCAGTGGATGAATCATTCTGTCCTCGGCGTTCTCAAGAGTATGTTTGGTATGTCTTTCAGACAGGAGGACTGCGGTAGTGCACTTTTTGCGATTTTGAGGTTTAATCTCTTGAGCAAGTTGTACCATGGCTTTGCTGAAGAGTGTTTGTAAGTACGATGTCTGAATCACTCAACGGGGTCCTCTACTTTTTGTTGATTTGTGTGACATGCTCTGGTTGCTACTGCTCCTTCAAGCCAGAGTAGCCGCAATTCTCTGAGCATCTTTTTTTCCTGTTTGGCATTAGAGTTGAATTGGAGTTCAAATAGATTCCAGTATGAGAAGACAGATAAATTTGCCTGCCCCTCAAAAAGAGTAAAAACCAGTAGACAGTTCTGATTGTTTGCAACCGGTAGCTTGTTTAAACCATATTTTAATTGGAATTCCATGTAACGTTTTATTTTGGATTTGAATTAACATAGGGATTTCTTTCCAAGTAGGGCTTTAATTGGGATTTCATGGAATCAATAAGGAGAAACAATCGTGTTGTTTCTTCTACTTTTCAAGCCCCTCAAAAGGAGCAACACACAAGCAAAACCCCATGGACAATGCAAGTTCTATTCCAATTGGTTTGCAAGTTTCTAATTGCAAGGCGAATTTAAACATAGCTTAGCTAGAATCTAGTAAGGCACGACAAGGTGGGTGTTTCTTCTGAGAAATTGAATTGCACTTGATTGAAACAACATTTAAATATGAATAAATTTCCAAGTATCTAGGATTTGATAAATAAAATCTGGTAAGGATAGACAATCTGGTTGTTTCTTCCAGTTGTTTAAAGTAGACTTCTTGCACTTAATTGGATGTTTAACAGGGATTAATTTGAGTTCATTGTGAAATTGCTTTGAAATAGGAGTTCCTTTGCAAGTAGAACTTTAAGTAGAATTCAACTGGACACTAAATAGAATACATTAAGAAAAGACAAGCTGGTAATTTCTTCCAATCTGCCTAGACAACAAAAAGACACACGCGAGACCATAAACAGACATCATAGACACCGACAAATTTAATTAGAAAAAGAACACGAGGACCACCAAAATAATACAACAATAACTTGAACAAAGCATCGGTTGTGCACCAAAGAGTTTCCAAATCATATTTTTCTCAAGGTTGTTTTTTTGTTGTTGTTTTTTTGGCTTTCCTCACATTTGTTCTGGTTTCTCAAGATGCTTCCTCTGCATTTGTTAGATCAAGTGTAACTGACATGGCTGACCCATGGGAAGACGGGAAGCTTCAAAACACGCCAAAGGCGCCCTACCAGTTGTTTTGTTTATGCAGCAGAACAGAAGCGGTTCTTGTTCCCATACTCACGAAGTAAGGAAGATTTCTCCAGGTTCTTGAGCAACAGCCGGCTGGACAAGATCAAAGAGTTGGTGGATTCCTGTTCGTGACCCATGCGGACAAGGGCTTTGTCAGGTCTGGATTGGATCGCGTGCGACGGCAGCCCCCCATATGCCACCTCCGAGCACCAGAGAGAGCTCGTCCCAACCAAATGTTGTCCGATGTGCTGCTGGATGTCGTTGCCCCAGGTGAGGAGGAAGATATGTTCCGAAGGATTCGCGAGGACAGGGTTGCGCAAAAATATAGACTAGCATTCCCTGTGCCCGTTTGGACAGCCAAAAGGTGGCTATTTCAACCAAGGCTGTTTTTTGTTTCTTCTTTTTTTTCTCCGCATGCAAGCGGGGGGATGGGGGATGGCGGGACCCTGATCGAGGAAAGACAGTTCGATACCTTGTGTGTGGTCCTATCATCCTCTCCGGATGAGTCTTTGACTTTGACCGTGCCTGGCGACGTCGTCAGACACTGCGGGGCTGCGCGCCTCAGAATTGTGGGCCAGGCACAGCCCCAGCAACTCATCAGCAATCCGCGGGTTTTCGCCGCGCCTGAGGTCGATGTGCAGATTGAGCATGTGACCAGAAGCGAAGGCCCATATTTGCTCGCATCCGTGCCGCCACTTTTAACAGGAATTGCACAGGGCGTTGTGGTGAAAGCCACCGGCAACGGCCTCATTTTCGGCGCCACCAGCTTGTGCACCGGCTCTGGCGTCTGTGCCGGACTCGCCGTGGGCACTCTGGGCCTCGTGAGTGGCGCGGGTGCTGTGGCTCTCGCTGCCACCCTGGTTTGGCATGGAGCGGGGGCATGGCTCTCTGAACTCCGAGAGATCTGAGGTGCGAAGTTGCGCTGGAACCCCGTCTGCTGCAATCGGCGCAGCCGGTTTTTGAAGTTGGTAGCCAGGAAAGAGCTCACAACGGCCTAGAGGCAAACATACCTATTCTCAGTTGCCCAAAGCCGAACTTTTGACCTGTTGGTTTTTGACATTGTGATCAGTTTTAGTCAAAGAAGGTGAACCTTGTATGCCCGGGTTCTTTGGGCAAGTGAGTGTTACATACAATGGAGCCAAGTCAGCTCAACAAGCCAAAAAATGCATGAACCAAGAATGGAGTCAGCTGGTTGGTGATGAAGAGCGAAATCCTGGCAACCGTGAAATCATGCCAACAGCGAGGAAACGGCGCGATTTGCTTTGTGGCCGGGACTGACGTCTGCTGCCCCCTGAGCCAAGGAGGGGGGGGGTGAATTGGCCTGCTATTTATAAGGCTTGCCTGCAGCCAGTGTCCCGAATAAGACTGGCCCTCATTGTATTGTCGGGAGTTGCTTGAGTCGCCCTTGCAAGGATCGCTCGCGGCAGATAGGCCGCTCTGACCTCAGCCGGCTGGCTGCTTTGACCTCCCTTCAGTACAACCTGGCGGACGAATAGGGAAACGGAACACCCCCCCATTCTTCATTAACAGGGGTTTAGTCAGACAGTGAGCAAATGGCAATTTTGCCCCACACCCACGAGCAAATGGGCAGGTTTCAAAGCCACGTGGCACCCCTCAATTCGTGGTTGGGGGGTTCTAGCCCAGTGTATTTTGAGCCAAAAGGGGGCCGCCAGATCCCCACAAACGCCCAGGCTGCTGGCGGAGCGCGGCAGCAGTTGCGATCGGAGCGGAGAAATGCAGTTTGCAAACGTAACGATTTGTTGTGAATCATTTTCTTTAAAGCCCAACAAATCCAAACGCTGTAATTTTACCCCTGTGCGCGGTGTTGGGCCCGAAGCAAGTTCTGAGGCCCTTGTGCGATGGCTGCCAATTTGGGGAGGAGGCTTGACAATCGTAGGACGGTGCGCAGTCTTTGGAAGGCCACAGGGCGCTGAGCAACTGGCAGGCTTTGACGTGGCCAAAAGGGGCCCAGAGAATTGCCCCTTCGCTTTCCCCAAGGCGGGTCAAATCTGTGCCTGCGCCGTGGTGCGGCTCTTACGCCGCATGGGCCACGGCGTTTCCAGAAATTGAAGGTCAAGACGAGAGAGCCTCAGTGAGTCCGCTTGGAGTAATTCACGAAGTTAAGACACACCCGTGTCAACATAGCTCCTGTCAGGTGGAAAATAGTGGCCTGGCTGGTTCATGGTGGCCCTGTGCCCAAGGTTGAAAAAACATCGCCGGGCCGAAGCAGCCTTGCATAGGACCTGGGCAAATCACACACCTGACTTATTGTTCCCATGCCCGCTTTTCAGTTCTGTAGGCTTGGGGGTTTCCATTTCACCCTCCAAACGTTTCTTAGACTTTTCGCAGATCTGCAAACGGACAGCCCAGTGAACCTAGCCCCAAGAGATTTTTGGTTGTTTTTCGGGCTTCCCAGGGCTCCGAAAAAAGAGAGATATATTTTGCCACCATTGGAAACATGTGGCAGTTTTTTCAACACCAAAAAAAAAGGTGGAAACCACCAGAAAACAAGTTGCAATGTTCAGGTGTATAATGTAAGGATCCCTGCTCCATTAAAAATCACCACAACGTTCTGGGTTCAAACCAATTCAACCAATGCTCGTTCAAACCAACGTTCTGGAGGTTGGTTCTCCTTAAGTCAAAACAATGGCTGACCATATTTGAGACTGAAAGTCGACCATTGGTGGTTATCTAATATCGCCCCCCTAAAACAATGGTTGGCCCAATCAATAGAATGGAGTTGTTTCCCTAACCAACCTCAAACCCTCGAAACCCCTGAAAGCCACCCTTTGCCCATGGCCGCGTGCTTTTTGCCATGCCGCGTGTGATGCTCGAGCCGCTCGGCGGACGGGGTTCTGAGGGCAGTCCTCTTCTTGTTTTGTTTTTCGCCGAAAAAGGGGATTCAAGGGGAAGCCGAGAACCTCACGCATGTCAATTCTCATAATGTTGACCCCGGATTCATAACCCCCGCTTTATTAATATGGGGGTGTTCCCCTCCAAAAGTGATAAATCCCCACTAAAATCGGGGACACCCCCATATTGATAAACAGGGGTTGAAAAAATCCGGGGTCAACATTCGGGGCCTTTGGAATTTGCAGATTGGTGAGTCAAAAATCCCAGGTTGAACGCCAGCCTCAAAGGCAAATGTCTTTTTATGTCTCTCAATCTGCATTCTCCACTGGATGTTCACTGACAGAAAGTCACAAATCATCACTTGAACTAAGATGGATATTGAGGGGCGTTTGTCTCCCCTTCGGCAAACAAGAAGAACACTGTTTAGATTTAAAATTGCATATATATATAATGTATCTCCCTATCTATCTATCTATTTACCTATCTATCTATTTATTTAGAGATCTAACTCTACTCTACTCTACTCTACTCTAATCTAATCTATTCTAATCTAATCTAATCTATCTATCGTCTGAGGTTTAAGCCGACCTGGTGCAGGTACGTGCGCGCGCTGTGTGTGTGTGTCTACACACGTGTACGTGTGTGTGTGTGTGTGTGTGAGTGTGTGTACACGTGTGTGTGTGTACATGTGTGTACATGTGTGTGTGTGTACATGTGTGCGTACATGTGTGTATGTGTGTTTTGGAGGGGACTATGCATTATGTATTTTTTTCTTTTTTGTTTCTTTTTAACAAACAACAACATATACACACACTGCTTGGATAAACACGTGGCGGGCAATTGTGTCCAGCTACGTATGGGCGCGCAGGCTGATTTTTGAAGCGCTCGAGGCCCTCGAAAGCCGGATGCCCATCTGTGGCCCAGGCCCCCGAGCGATTGGTGCCCTTTCACACCCGTTTCTCTTTTGGGGAGGGGAGGGTTCCCTTACTAAAATGGACTACAGAAAGAAGTTGGCACCGTCTTATTCTTACCTCTCCACTGGAAAGGGTACCAACTTATTCTAACCTCTCAAGTCTGGAGGACCTAGTGGAGATGATTTGATGCTTTGGGCGTCCCTTTCGGCCAAAAAGGGGCTCCATCCAAGTGCCAGCCGCCCGAGGTATGGGCTGCAGGCAAAGCGCGAGCGCTTCGGGCGTTTGGTGGGGATGGCCGTGGGTGGTTCGACTCAAAGATGTGCATGGCGGGTTTTCAGGTGCCGAATCGGGGACCCCTCGGATCTTTTGGAACCTTCTTTCTGGCTTTTCCATGAAGCCTGCAAGCAAGTTAGACCAACCCAGGATTTCAACCGCCGGAGAAGTAGGTGCAGTCAGCTTTTTGGCCAGCTGTTCAGTCTTACAGCCTGATGTTTGTGCCGAAACCCCAGTTGCGGAGCTCATTTGGGGCTATGCGGGGGAGGGGGGATTTCCTGCTTTCCCAGTTTGGAAATCACAGTGTTTTGAGAAGAAACGAGCATCCAAAAGCGGATGGGCATGGCAAGATTGTCGTTTTGGATGGAAGGCGGCACCTCCAAGAGATACGCTTTCAGATTTGTTTGAGAACACCGCCCAGAGCGGTGGTTGCGGCTTGATTGCAATTTGCCCTTTATCTGGCAGTTTGCCACATCGCTTTTCTGCAGGGCCGATTTTGAGGAAGTTTCCCGTTGGCGGCATAGGTGTCCTTTTTGGTTTGTTTTGCTAGAAAAATAGATGGCCCTGGTTTACCTGGTGGTTTAATCATCTACCAGGGCCATCTATTTCCCCGAAAAGGACACCCATGGTTGGCGGTGTGTCATTCAACGCGATCGCTACTTGCCCCAGTCGTTTTGCACCGGGCGCTCGGCAGGGGCCGATGAGCCGCCCCAGCGATCACCTCAGGAGCATCAAGCCAAACCCATTCGGATCGATGACCTCCATTTGGTTAAGAATATCTGTTAATTTCCCTGTGGGTTTTAAAGGGAATCTATCACTACTGGACATATTTTTACTCTTTCCAGGGGACTTAAGCAAATGGAGGATGAATGCATGAATGTTTTTGAGGGCACCCTTTTGGGGGACTCGAAAGGAACGCCAAAACAAGGAGACACGAGCGATGCCAGTTGTTTTGAGTTGCTTCAATTTTGTTGCCAGGCCACGGGGAAACCGCTAGCAAGTCAATCGAAAGCGATGGTTGAAGCCTTGGTTGTTCTTTGCATCGACCTTGAAGCGTTTAACGGCTACATCAACATGTGGGTTTGTCTCTTAAAATTAGGGTAGCCGGGGGCTGGTTTTTATTGTAACATGGGTACCCAAACAAAGACAACTCTGTGTCACAAACATCTTCCCGCCAAGCGAAAAGTCAACTGATCAGCGCACAAAGGTTCTCATTGTGCGGGTTCCATGTTTTGGTTCACGAACTAGTATGATTTAACCACATGGTGTGACATAGGCCAGCTTGGTTATTAGCCCAAAATGCGGCGAGTTTCAACCCAGATGGCTGGTTTTGGGCGTTGTGCAGTTTGGGGAGAGGATTGATGACGCCCCCGGAGTAATCCATCTGACAAGCTAATCTCCGGATCACATCGGCGGGGCATCAACCAAAGGCTGACTAGGGTTTATTTGTTGAGAGGACCCTTTGGGCTGTTTGACAGGGAAACCAAACAAAAAACAGCCGCATGTGATTCGCGCGTTTGTGCCCTCGACTCGGAGACTCCGAGGGCCCAGCTCCTTCTGGATCGACTGCTCCAGACTGGAGGGCTTCTCCATGGTCAAGGGGAAGATTGTTTGCGCGATGGCGCGGGGCGTTTTGCTTTCCCGCCAAGTCGCCGAAACGTCTTTCTTGGGGAGCCACGCAACATACGCGGTCAGTTGGCTGACTTCGGGGCACTCATTCGGTCCTCGGTCAATAAAAGAGGGTTTCGGCTTGTTTGAACCCAAACAAGGTCGCCCAACTCACCATGCAAGGGTGGCTTTCACCCGGTGGCACCGGGTGAGCCATTTGGTTCCATAGGACTTGTTGAAGGGGGACTCAAGGGTGTTCCTCTTGTTTTATCCTTTGAGCTAAGCTGTAGACCAAATAGCCGCAAGACAGGCGCTCCCAGAAACTTCCATAGCATCTTCAGCGCACCCCAAGCAGCACCCTGACCAGAATCTGCCAGCACCAACCTGGCCCGAGCTCGCAAAACAGCCTGTTTCTCTTTAGAAGTAAGGGCTCCCTTATGGCCTTATAGCCTTATAGCTTTCAGCTATCTGAACAAACTTTTGGGGGTCACTTGAATCAAATGGCGCCAGGGTTCAATGAATCTCAACCGGTCCTTGGGTTGTTTGTTCGAATTGAATCGACTTATATTTGGTTGCTATTTGATGGGATTTATGTTTTTCACCTGGCCCATGGTGTCAGTGAATGGCTTGCGACTCGTGGCTGTCTTGGCCCGAAATGGAAGCCCCAAATCTTGGCTTGCTCAACTGGTGCGATAGGAAGGGGATGAGTTGGAATGAGCCCGAGAAAAACAGTCCAACTGGTGGTTTCCTGTATTGGGGAATCCCCAAAACCGGTTCATTCCCAACACCCGGACAACAACGAGTTTCCGTAGTTATCGTACCATCAAGCTGGGTATGTGGCAAGATAGGGGTCCCCTGAAATGGTTAGGTGAGCCATTTTGCAAAAACCGTCAACCACCTTAGTCCAAGGCGCCTTCTTGAATGGTTTTCACGGGACACCACAAGGAAACCAACCAAAAAACAAGAACGACCCGGCCCTCGCACACAGAGGTACACCCTTTCTTTTTTTGGGCGCCCACGGTGTGTGTTTTGGCTGCATCAAAGGACGGGGACCCTTCTCCAGTCTATTTTGTCAACCCTCAAGTTTCGCAGCGCTTGCCCTTTGGGGATGGTTTCACAGTAAAGCAATAACATCCGCCCAGATGGTTTCATTTATCATTTTGTGAGTTAGAAGCAAGTATTCCCTCCAGATTTGGTGTTAGGAACGTAGAGTAAATGGCACTTTCTGGAACACAAAGTAAGATGCTTCTGCGAACTGTGACTGCGCAAGGCCGAGTTCCTATACCTTTTCAGGGCCACAGGGCACTATCTCAGCCTTTGTTGTGAATTGCTGATACATCACGCTATTTCCTGCAAGAGAAGATGAAAATTAGAGTACAAGCCAGACCCTTGGCACTTTTGGGAAACATTCATGTATGGGTCTAAATGAAAGCACCAGGATATGAACTGGTTTGAATGTCCTGTCCATTTGGCGGGGCAACTTCCATTTGGGGGTTACCCTATTGAGCCGCAGCTTTTTTGTCAGGTTCGTTCAAAAGGTAGATTCTTTGAGACCCCTTTGTGAGCTTCAAAACCGAGCGTGACGTGCGGTGCACCCGTCTGAGTCCTGGCCAGTGTCCTTTCTGCCCCTTCACTTTTGCTGCTGGATGAAATTGACTTCATGTGAGCCGACGTTTTTCAGTAATTTTCTTGTTTTCCCGTCTTGGTTTGTCTGTTTTGTTTTGCTTGTTTTGCTTGTTTTTCAGCATCTGTTTCTTTTTGTTTCTGTTTGGGGAAACCAGGCCCTTCGGCCAATTTTACCAAACAAACTCCTCGGCCAGAAGAAGCTGGCCTTCAAGGCGAAGGTCCTCATGGACCAGATGCCGCGCCAGCCCCAGAAATGGCATCCTCAAAGGGGGGGAATAGGCGCCAGCTGCACCATGGCGTGTCCGAAATTCGTTTTTTGTTTTTTTTTGCTTTGGTTTTTCTCACTCTGTTGCCCAGTGGTGCCTTTGTTTATTACTTTTTCTGAGTATGGGTTCCCCTTTAAACTCAACCAACAAACAAAGGGTGCCCTTTTTTTCCCCATGGCCACTGGGCATCTGAGCTCGCAACACACCCACAAGAAGAGTACAGAGCCTCAACAAGAGCCACCCCTTGGCATTGGGAGGTTCTTATATTCCTTGGCAGGGAAGTTGGGAAGACTTGAGTGTTGTCTAAACCAGGGTTGCTCACCCAAACGACCAGACCCAGCTAGAAAGGTTGGTTCAGAAACTTCCTTGGCTCATGTTTCACTTGCTGGTTCTCAGCAGGGTATGAGTTCCTATAAACCATCCCCCATGGTTTCCCTTAAGAGAATCCCGTCCGGTTCATTCCCAACACCCGGACTCGTGACTCGTTGTCATTCCCTAACGCACCAGCAAGTTCAGTCGAGTTTGGATTGAAGACTTCGTTCGTGATGAGAGGAAACCCGGAGCGGGGGCAGTGATCCACGGGATGTGGGTGTGTCTTTTTTTGAGGGCAGCCTTGTTGGCCTTTCTTCCACAGGTAGGAAAAAGGGGAAAGCCGTGATACGATGTCATTCTTGCTTGGCTGAAATAAAGCATCATGCATTCAAATGAAGTCGTTCATCTGATCTTGCTTCTGCGTGTACGATGGTCCAAAGAGGTCGTACTATTGCCTGACTCTGATCTGGAAAGGGGGGGAGCAAAAAAAAGGAAATTTTCTTCTCCTCCTCTCCCCCCCGCCCTTCGAAGCATGCAAACTACATCTGTATGAATGCAGGGCCACGTAAACACTTGTTAGACACTGTATGGGATGTTTGGCACCCCTGCCAACCTGCGCTGCAAGTCTTCCCAACTCACTGCCCAAGCAAGGCTGCCAAACTACAGACCTGGAAGGTTGCAAAAAAGCCAATCTGCAAGGTTTCCAACACTGTAGGCCTAGCCCAACACTGCAAGACTGCTCAAGCGTGCCCAAGCAAGTCTGCCAAACTGCAGGCCTGGCAAGGTTGCAAAACTGCAGCCCTTGCCAACCTGCCAAAGTTTTAGCACTGCAGGCTTTCCAACTCACTGCCCAAGCAAGGGCTGCCAGACTACAGACCTGGCAAGGTTGCAAAATCACCAATCTGCCAAAACACTGCAGGCCTTGGTTGAGGTTTTTCGAACCACTGCCCAAGCAAGTCTGCCAAACTGCAGGCTTGGCAACCCTTGCCAACCAAAGTTTCAACATTGCAAGACTCCCCCACTTGCTGCCCAAAGCAAGGCTGCCAAAGCACAGACCTGGCAAGGTTGCAAAATTGCTAATCAGCAAGGATTCCAACACTTCTACCCTTAGTTGCAAACCAGACTTGGCAGGGCTGTAAAACTGCTGCTCTGTCCAAAGCTTCAAACGTGCCATTGCAAAACTGCACCCCCGCCAACCTGCCAAAGATTCAACACTGCGAGACTTCCCAATGACAGACCTGACAAGGTTGCGAAATTGCCAATCTGCGAGGGGTTTCAATATTGTTTGCCAAGCTTCTGCAAGAGTTCCAACACTGCTAGCCTTGGTTGCAAACAGACTTGGCAGGGCTCCAAAACTGCAGCTCTGTCTGCCAAAGCTCCAGCACTGCAAGACTTTGCAAAGCTGCAACCTGCCCAAGTTTCAAAAGTGTAACACTCTGCAATTCACTGCCCGAGCAAGGCTGCCAAACTACAGACCTGGCAAGGTTGCAAAATTGCCAATCTGCAAGGTTTCCAACACTGCAGGCCTAGCCCAACACTGCAAGGCTTTTCAAGCCACGGCCCAAACAAGTTGGACGTTGCCTGGCGCGTGTGCTCAAGCAAGGGGAAGACAGCTCTCAAAACCACGAGCTTGTGTAAAAAAACGCCCAAAACTCGGCAAACCAGGCTCTCTTTTTGAGACAAACCCGGGTAGCAAATGGAACACCGCACGAACCAGGAGTAGGCTCCTTTTGGCGCGCGTCGTGCTTTCTGGCGGACGCACGTTTCGGGTGTACTTGTCACTTGGCAGGCATGTGGGCAGTGCTACGCAGGTACACTCGAGCGGGTGTGCTCATCATTTGGCAAGCGTGTGTGCAGCGCTACGCCCATTTTATTTGGCGGGCGTGCGCGCGGCGCTTCGGGGACGCGCTTGCGCGGGGGGGGGGGTGCTTTGCGTGCGGGCGATCCAGGAAGTGCAGCATATTTTTGTAACAGCCGGGCTGAACGACACCATGTTTGCCCCGAACCCACCTCCCCCCCCTCAAGATTGGAATTGCGCTCTGCGCCGCGGGTCCTCACCAACACAGCACCGTTTAGTGGGGAAGGACGAGCTCTGAAGGAGGTCGTCTGATTGCTTTTTGAAAGCAGAGTTGACAATACTCGCGGAAAAAAGGGGTGCTGATTGGTTGGACAAATCGCCAAAAGACAAGCAAGAGCGGTTTCAACATGCTCCGTCCTCCAAACAAAATGGATTCCCTAGCCTTTTGGTTGTTTCAAGGGTTCAACAGGAAGTCAACGGTCAGTCCTCATTTTGGGGAATAATAACAAACAAATTGACCAAGTGGTAGTTTTGTTGGACAACTTGTTTGTGCTGATCTTCCAGGGGGGGGTGGGGGGGGGGGTTCTCTCAGTTTCCTTCCAAGACAACACGAAAATGGGCGCCCTCAAGAAAGGACATGCACACAGATCAGGATGTGACAGTTCTTGATTGAGCACCGGTTACTCCGCTACTGCCGTTTCGAGAACCCGTCCCAAACATCCGACATCCGCTGAGTTTTGGCTTCGGCCGAGTGCGCGTTGTTATATTTTTTCAACCTGGGCACCAATGTGGGTGCATTGGTGGCTAGCTCCGAGGTTTGACCAGAACTGCAAAGCGATTAACTTCGCCCGGGCCTAAGCTGAGCGCCATCTCCAGTTGAGCACCGCCTGAACCACCCGTTGGCCATATCAGGTCTACTACCTTGTGGTGCTTGCAGTAAGGCCTAAATAAGACTTTTTGTGACCATCATGGTAGAGCCAAAAGAAAATGGGTTTTGGTCACCGCTCGCTTGCAAATTTGGAGGGACCCGAGAGTCGTCTCTTTTGTAAGACTCGAATTCTATCTGAAGCTCCTGAACGGGAAGCAATTGGATATACTAGCCCTCTTTGCTTTCATGGTGTTTTGAATCCCGTGTGGGTTTTCCTCGGCCATCTTAGTTGAAGATTCCCAGATTCCCCGCGACTTGGACCAACTGCCGAATTTTGCGAAGACTTAGAGCCGTTTCTTCTGGGGACATCGCTGGAATGCGCCATGACTTGGGAGAACTCCCCACGTTAGCAATCCTAGTTAACCCTATAATAAACCTAAACCGGTTAGTTGACCTTTCCCCGTCCAGTGCTGGTTAGTTTACCTAATACTGTTGTGTAGGCTGGTCAGTAAAACCAAACCTTTCCCCCAGTACTTAGATCTGGGAATTAGGTGTGTTAGCCAACCCGAATCAACCCTTGCAATCCCTTGCTACCATTTGCTTAAGAATATGGATAGTTTCGCCAGGCATTGAAGGGAATCTATCACTATTTGACATATTGTTTTTTCATTTTCCCAGGGTACGTACGAGAAAGCACATGGAGGATTGCAACCTCCATAGATATCCTTTTAAGGTGAGTTTGCATAGAAATCGATGGCACTGGCTTAGATTGGAATTTACCCATTTACCACAGCCATGTATATGTTTAATGATGGAAAAGCTTCCACAAACCCATTTTAAACTTTTGTGCTCATGGTGACATTCCCCACTTAGCTACCCAGATCATCCCCAAGTCTTCCGCAGGTTCCCCCCCCCCGGTGGGATGCTTGGGAGTGGTTCCCATATTTCCCCTTTCGGTGGTTTTAAGCATCACCTCGTTTTTGGGTTGGTTTTAGTGGGAGGCCGACAGGCAAAAAACAACACATTTCTCGGGATCTGACACACCCCTTAGAAAAAGGAGAAGAACACAGGCACACATCTTTTTGGCACTTTCACCTGCGGCTTTCTTTCTGGGCCGAGGGCTCGCTCGACTTGGGGTGCCCTCAGACGCATCCGCGTCGCATTCGATTCGGCCTGTCGAATCGCGTGGAGGTCCTGGACCGGCAGAAGCGGCAGTGGTACAAGTGCTGCATGCAGGCGATGCAGCCGCTGAAGTGTCGGGGCCTCGGATCTATCGATAGCGCCAGCGGTGGGCTGGATCGAGTGAGGGCTGAGGGCTGAGGGCTGGTTTCTTTTTTTTGGGAAGGGGGGGGGTTGGGTTGGGTTGGGGGTTGGGGGTTGGGGCGGGGGGTCACTTGTTTTCCGGACCGGAAACGAAAGAGCGGTGGGCGATTTGCGGCTCCGGGACCGGACGCAGCAGATTTGTCGGTGATTTAAGTTGGTTCATGTTTTTTGAGAGCCTGTTTGTTCCTTCGTTTTCCCGTTGGTGCTGGTCTTTTATGTCGCTTGTTGATCCTTCTGTGCTTGGCCGCCAAGAACAGTGTTTCGCTTGCCGAGGGTCGAGATGTGCCAAGGGTTTTGAGAGGGGTTTTTGACTTTTGGTCGGGGAGGGTTGTCGGGAGATTTGTACAGACCGCGACCCTGTTTTTTTTGGGGGGCGGTGGGTGGAATGTTTTCCATATTTCTAAAGTTGAAGCTTAACCTTTCCACTTTCGGAACGTAGGCGGAGAATATTTCCCCAAAGGTCGCGAGCGCCAAGCTCAAGGAGCGCATCGAAAGCTTTAGCCCGGGGAAACCTTCGCTTGAAGCCATGGGTGTTCGGAATGCCGCTGGTTTTTAGAGGTGGTTTTCCTTTTGGCCTCCCTGCCAACAAGGGGAAAAGAGACACCCGCCCAAATGTCCGCTTGCTTGAAAGAACACCTTTTGGCCCCCGCGAGGTTCCTGGGGCGATGCCTTCCGCTCAAAAAAAAAAAACGGAAGCCGCCGGCTGTAGGCATCGAGGTGCAGCCAACGGCGTGGCCCGAAGCTTGGAGTTCAGATCGGGGGGCATAGGTGTCCCGTTTAGGTTAGTTTGGCTAGAAATAGATGGCACTGGTTTAGGTGGGTTTATTTCATTTACAAGGGCCATCTATTTTACCAAAAGGTCACCTATGTCGGGGGGGTTGTCCAAAAAAGCCATGGTTGTGGGGCCGCAATCCCCCAAAATGGGTCCATATTTTTGACCACCGCGCCACTAAGATGTTGGGGATGTTGGGGGGCTGGAGTTTCGGGACCCGTTTCGTGTTTCCGATTCGAGCGCTGGATCCGGAAGAACAAATTGCAAGCATTGAAGTTCAAGGGCTTTTTTGGGTCGACCAGGGGTTCAGGGTTGGAGAGACGCAACTCTGGGATTTCACCAATTGGCCAAGCTGCACTCGTTTCAGGCGCTTTCCTAGAGCAGTGTCTGAAAAGGGCAACCCTTATTTTGTTGGCTTGTTCGTTGCTTTCTTTGAGGTCTCATTGGTAATTCTAGATGCCTTTATGGCTCTTGGCTCGTGTTGAGTTGTCGTTTGACACTGTCCCCGTCTCATCCGTTGTTTTGTTTGGTCTGCTAATGCACGCGTTGTTTGTTTGCTTGCTTGCTTGCTTGCTTGCTTGCTTGCTTGCTTGCTTGCTTGCTTGCTTGCTAGCTTGTTAGTTTGTTAGTTTGTTTGTTTGTTTGTCTGTTTGTCGCAGAAGTCCCCCCCAAAGTGGACCGTGGTCGGTTCTCCTTAGGGTCATGGTCATTCCCTGAATCAGAAAGTATCGACATGTTTGTCGATTCTGCTCATTGGCTGCAAAGAACAGGAACCCTTGAAAAGGCCAAGTAAATTCACTGCCCAAATCGCTTTAAAGGAGTATGGGTCAAAAAAATGAGTCTCAGGCCATTTTGGGCTCCCCCATGTTTGACCCATGGCCAAATACCAACTTCATTCATTTTTTCCCCAACAGCCCAGATAGGCTCTGGGGTGGTCTGGGGCGGCCCTGAGGTAAGGTTCCACGAGGGTTCCACCAGGGTTCCACGAGGTTCTTCGAGGGCTGCGGGGTGGTGCGAGCACTACAAAGAGCACCGCATGCTGTTGGGGATGTCACCTGAGCTTATTTCATGAGGGCGCGGGGGTTCAGAAGTTGCAACACCACCACTCCAAGTCGCCAATTGAGGAGAAACGAAAACCCCCAACCTTGACGCGTTGGGAATCAACAGGTGAAGCTGTGGAGGTGTTTCTTAAGGACCAGCCAAAAGTGATTTGTCGGACTCTCTTTCGGCGTAGGGGACGGCCAAATTGAGGCCCATGGCTGCATCAGATTGGGAAATGGAGTCTTCGGGGAAATGACTCGGTCGTGTTCCCATTTGGGGACGACAAAGCATCGATTCGATGTGTGCATCGACGTTCGACGTTTTCAACGCGAAGTTGGCCATGCAGAGCCCGAGCCTTTTTTTTTCCGGCCAAACCAAGTCTCCTCAAGTATTGCTTGGGCCACTTGGGTTGCTCAGCTTCTTTCCTTTCAGTTAGCTCAGCCTTGGTGGTTTGGTCTGGTTTGGGGCTTTGAACCCCAGCTCCCTTAGAATTTTCACGTTCGGCGCCAGTGCATAAGGCCCAACCCACCAAGACACAAATCCAAACCACAAGGCCCTCAACCGACCCAAACCTTACCTCTTAAAAACACAACTTTTCAACTTTTTGGGTAACATGGGCTATATGTCTGTAAAAGATTAACTTCCCCAGGGCTTGGAGTTTTAAGGGGTGAGTAAACCACCAATCACCGGGAGGCTGATTGGTTGATGCTTCTGTTGCAATTGGTTGAGGTTTTCGCAGCGCAACGAGTTCGGCGTGTCGCTGCCCTTCAACAATGAGGATGCCGAGCTGCCCAGACGGTCCACTTCTTTCGTTGAGAGAAACCAGGGTTTCTTCAGTTTTTACGTTGCGTTTTTGGGTGTGTGTGTGTGTGTTTTTGTTTAAACCACATGTTTAGGTTGACTAAATATGAAACTACGCAACTTAGTCTGAAACATTTGAGCTTCGGTGATATTGATTTTGGTCTACCCCAGAGTTGGAGCAAGATGAGTCAGTGACAGAATTTCAATGTTGGGACCTGATGAAAAACGCCTCCCAAACTTGCTCCCTGCTTCCCATTTTTGGACCTTGACGACCTTGAGAGGGCAGGAGGGGGTTACTACTCAGCAGTAGTCATCAATGTCCTTCAGGAGGGCCATCATTCGCCAGGGTTGGGCCCGCAAAAATGGGCGGCTGCGCAGTAAACCGACAAAAACAGCTGCTTAAACTGTTGGTGTGTTGTTAAGGTTGCATTGTCATGAATTCCTGAATCTGGAATTGAGACCGTGACAGGGATCAGTTCACCGGGTGTGTGTTTTTTTTCTCAGCGGAAGACTTGCCCAGTTTCTTCTGCAGCCACGGTCAGAACCTAACATGTAGACGAAGGTTAGTAAGGAACTGTTTCAAGCAGTTGCTAAGTTTTTTCCCCTGGTTGGCTTTAACGGGAATCTACCGCCACTGGACTTGTGACATGTTGCTTTTCAGGCACCTATCCAAATGGAAGCAAAGATGTGCGAGCATCCGCCCCTTTGTCTTGCATGGTCGACTCCTTGAAGACCAGGCTTGATGATTCACTCCAACCAAGATCCATCATGCGTGTTGCAGAGTCTCAGAGTTTATTTGGGACCCTGCGCTGGGGCAAATAAAGGGGCCAAAGGGTAAACCTGGCGGGATGTCCTAATATAGAGGATCGTTTTTGGCGGGGTTTACAGACCTGAGCGGTAATTCCCCCCCCCAAGACAAAAAAACGGTTAGGAGCCCAACCTCCTACTAAAACTGGTCAAGCTGAGTTTGTGGGCCATCCAACCGAAGGTCCCTCTCCTTGCTTCCCGAGTTCCTGGACTTTAAAAACTTTTTTGGGAAGACCCTTTCAGTGAGTCTCTCTTCACCTTTGCGACCCGTGTCAAATGTTGGCCGAGCAAAGTCCTCAGACCATGGCTTCGGCTTCTGACCGGAAGGTTTGTCTCACTCAGTGAGCTGAACCAGAAGCATAACTCCGCGGGGGGGGGGGGGGGGGGGGGGGGGGTGTCGGGGGTAAACTCTGCATGCGTGTTTTATTTTTGGAGGAGGTGAGGGAGCCTACGCGTTTAGCTTCCCGAACTTTGCGGTTTTTAGCACCCCGTAGACTTTGGCTTTGAAGTCTGGAGGGTGGGTGTGACATATCTCTACCGCATATTGGGCGGCTTGGAGTTGGAAGGAAGGTACACCCTAGCGTCCACGCAAGTCAACTCGCAAAATCCGGGCAGGGTGAATATCTAATATCCCACTGAAAGATGCCTTGGGCAATGGATCGAGCGAAGAGAAGTCAGTGGGTGAGAACCCCCAACATCGCCGGCAAAAAACACGAAATTTCGCTCAGGCGCAGATGTGCTTCCGAGAGAAGAGGCATCCAGACTTCAACTGCCCTTTGGCTGCACGGCAAAGAAGGCCATGCAGAGAGCCTTTCCTTGAACTTGCGTGAGTCTGCTCCTTCACTGTTGCTGCTCCTGGCATGGTTTTGAGTTTTTCCCCACATCTATGTGTGGGGTTCTTACTTTTACCGCTCGTCGTCCGCGCGCCGCGTCTCCTTCTCCTTCTCCTCCTCCTCCCGCCCTCCCTCCTCATCACTGTCTCACACTCACTCACACTCACTCACTCACACTCACTCACTCACACTCAGTCACTCACACTCACTCACACTCACTCACTCACTCACTCACACTCACTCAGTCACTCACACTCACTCACACTCACTCACTCACACTCACTCACACTCACTCACTCACTCACTCACGCTCACTCACACTCACTCACTCACACTCACTCTCATTCACTCACTCTCATTCACTCACTCACTCACTCACTCGCTCACTCACTCACTCACACTCGCTGACTCACTCACACTCAGCTTTCACTCACACCGTGTAAAGGGACTGGATGTTGTCGCGCAAGAGACAGGATGTTGTCGCGCGCGCGGCGGGGGGCGTGCGAAATCGTGGCAGGCGCAGCACTTTGGCGATGCCATTGCCGAAGTCGTGGCAGGCGCAGCATTCTGTGCATCTGGGTGTGTGTTTGTGTGGCAGGGGCAGCATTTGGCAGCTGTCTAAAAGGACAGGATGTTGTCGCGAACTTGCTGCGCCAGAATGTCGAGAATGTCTCGAACTTGCTTTGTTTTGTTGATTAGCGGCTCGGGCTGCAGTAGGTTAGCAACGCCTGCGATGAAAAAAGCGCGCTAGACCTGCTCTGTAATCGCATCCATACAAGGGGCGCACGGTACATGTGTGTGGACATTTGAACTCACATCCTTGGGAAAAACATAGCATGTGGGGTTATCCGGTCCTTTAATTGTTTGATCACCGGGATATTTGCCAGAGTATTTGCCGACCACCAACCAGTTCATGGCTTTTTCTCTTTGTTCATGCTTTGTAGCTTGTTGAACTTTGTGGTTCTGTCAGGTTACCAGGATATTGACCCCTTAGGTCTTTACATATCGGTTTGGCTTGGCGAGTTCCTATATGGGACAACTGGATGGTGCTGGGCTTGGCATGTTGTTGTTTGTTTGCGGTTTTGGTTCTGATAGTTTTATCCGCGGGGGGTTTACCTGAGGGTTTGTAAGAGTCGGGGCTCAGATATTTGGACGGAGCTTCATGAAGATCAGTTCACAGGGTTGTGACCACTGAGCTGCCAAGAAATGATGACGCAGACACCCAGAGGGGCCCTTGGTTCATTAAAAAATCGGAGGGGCTTCCCTTTAAAACCAACGTCCAAAAGGAATGCTCATGGCCACTGGGACCGGGGGTCTGGGATGATTGCCCACAACCAGATGCGTGATGCTTGCAACGGCGTGAAGCAACAGGGTTGCTTCCAGCCCCGAAATGATCAACGCACCAGTGTTTGCGGCAGTGGCTCATAAATAGAGAACCCCAACCGCCAGTTGATTGAAACAAACAACAACATCTGCGGTTTTCCTTAGTGCTTCATTTGCCTTTCTGGCCCTAAAATTCGGCCTGTGCCGGTCGAATCGGTTCAACTGGCGCAACCCTCAGCAACGCAGCCCCTCGCACATTTGAGCAGTACCCGTTTCACCCGAGCTGACTCGTAGGTTCTACAAAGATGGTTATAACGTTTGACATAGGCCTTACCACCATAAGGCTGACAAGTAGAACTTTTAGGGGGTCTTTGGGCTTGCTGAGGACGAGGGCCACCCCCCAGAAAGGCTTTCGGAGCCCCTTTTAAGACCCTCCAAGGTAAGAACCCTTGGTCCAGGTTTGCCTCCTGAGGCCCAATGGCCTACTGTGACAATGTCAAGGACTTCCGCGCGGCTTCAGCGAGCGCAGGTTTTCGGCACTTGAGCACAGGCCATGCGGTTTCTCCCTTTCGGAAAGGACCCGCAACTTGCCGGTGCTTTCGATAGGCGGGGAATGAGACATGGAAAGACCCCCGGAAAAGAACCATCCGGTTCCTATAGTTTCCTTTGAGGGAATCCCAAACAGTTCATTCCATTTCTCATTCCCTGCCTATCGCACCAGCGAGGAAAGACAGGTGCACAGAACCATAGGTCTCAGATTCTGTGAGTTGAACCCCCCGAGCTGAACCATCCCATCATTCCCCAACATTTTTTGAAGCCAAAAGGCGCCAGCCGGATCTCAGACCGATCGGGAGAGGACCCAAAGCAATGACGGTGCCCATGATCATATCACATATACCGCAATATTCATACACCTTGCCTGTAATTGTGTATTTCAGCACACACACATAGATCACAGAATAAGAAAACTATACTCGGGTTTTGCTCAAGCATCAATCATTGTTTGGTTATTGTTCTTTTTCTGAGGGCTGTTAGAAACCGGTGGTTTTGAACGGACAGAGGGAAAGCCATCATGGGGATCAGCCCAACTTCTGCCTTCCGCTTTTGAGGAATGGGTCAAACATTTGGCTTGGGCAATGCTGAAGGTGCCGCCCCAAAACGGGCCCCTATTGATGAAGCCACCGTATGATTAGCTTCTCATTCTGGCAAGTCCAAGTCATAGATTTCAAGGTTGTCCAGTGCAAGCCTCGGTTTTTTTCCAACCCCCCCCCATATCCTCCGATTCAAAGGGCTCCGAAGCCTTCGCCAGCCCTCGCGTCCAGGAGAATTGTACCTTCCTCAGAGCGGATGTTCGGAGTTTGAGGTTCTAACCAGGAGACTCGCGAGCCTTCCGGCAAGTGACTCTCATAGTCCTCTCCAAATTGATTTGTCCACCTTTTGATTGGAGAGAGATGTACTTGTAGGTTTCACCTCATGATTGTTGGAAAGAGGATGGGAAGGAAGGTCTTCCCGACTTGCCAACTTGGGCCCATCCTCTTACTTCCAAGACAAATTCGGCGCTTCCTCTGACTTGTCCAGTATCCACATGGGACAAACGCCGGGGGCCAGGGTGCAGCTTTCTTCAATCCGGACTGTTTTTTGTCTAAGCTCACCCTGGCGAAAAGAGCTCGCCCATGAAGGTTCCTTACGTATTCCTTCTTTCGGGTTTGTGAAGTGTCCGCGATTTTCCGAGAGCCGTGCTGTTGGGCTTAGTTTTGCGGGGAAGGTTGCGAAGAGACACGTGGTTGTACAAGAATAGGGGGCTTTGGAGAGCCGCCATTTGCTGTGGCCTGTATAGTCGCTTGCTATACGTCTGCCTGTTTTATTGGTTTCGAGCTCACCGATCCGGGGGTGAACTTTCACGACAGCCACGATGTAGGTCCTTGGGGCTCCTACATCTCGTTTTTGGCCGCTCCACATCTTGTGTCGTTGTTTTGTTCATGCGGATACGCGTCAAGCAGATCCCAGTTGCCCAGTGGTGCCCTGTTGTCCTTTGTTTGGGAAGGGTTCCCCTTTTAAAGTCACCCAACCCAAAAAAAGGAATGTCCTTTTTTCCAATGGCCACTGGGCATCTGAGATTTTTTTTCTCCGCTTTGGTCGACTTCTGCGACTCGAGTCGACGCGAGGCGTAACCATCGGGGACTTGGGGAAGGACGCCAGCTGGCTGGTGCCTCCGAAGCCCAAGGCGAACGATTTTGGGTCAACAAAAAAACTGGTCTCAGCCATCCAGTTCCTTGAACTCGCAGACCTGAGCTTTATTGTGCTCAGACCATAATATTTAACTCCTAAAAGCTGTTCCTGAGCTTCTTTTAGCAATGTTTAGTTGCCGTGTTTGTTGTTCATGGTTCCTTGAACTCGCTTTTCGCCTGGAGGACGCAGGGCTGTTCGAGCGCTTGGCTGCTGTTCTTTTTCGTGAAGTTGCCCCCCTGTCAAGCCCCAAAAGTGAGCGGGCGTCGCCCTCGCACGGACGCCACTTGGGTGCTCGGCCAAGTTAGCAAGTTGCTAGCCACCTCGCTTGCCCGCTAATGACTGGGTTAACCCCACGAGTGGGTTGTAACTCAGGTGGCAAACCACTGACTTGGCCGAGCACCCAAGTAGCTTTCGCCATTGGGGATCAGGAAATGCGCAGTGATTGCTTATCTATTTTTACCACACGGATTGCACATCGAAAATTGGAGGTGTCCAGGCACGGGAAGCCGGGGGTGTCCCCTTAGAATTTTCGCAGAATCACGGGTTGTGTGGCTGGAGTTATGGAGTTGGTTGAACTACTTGCATTCAGACAACCGCCTATAGCAAGTACACTACTCATGCGAAAAGAAGGAAAACACTAAAAACCATGGTAAATTACAGTAAATTCCAGAACCACTGTCATTGTTCTCTTGCATTTAGTGCATCACCTGGATTGGGCTGGAGAAGTGTCCTGACTCAGACCTGTGGGGGGATTGTCTTTTCATTTTCCTTTCGGGAGGGGTTTCCCCTTCAAACATTGCCGGAGGTTTGGGAAAAGGACTACCACCCTTTAGAAACGTGGCTTTTGTATGGGTGTGTCCTTTTGGGTCTCCACTCCAACGCTGGTTTTTGCTTTTGGATTTCCGGTAAAACGGAAAAGATTGTACCCCCAAAAGAATTACCAGGATGCTCGGTGTAGGTAGCTGGAAGACATTGCCCATGATTGACATGATTTCTCGACAGTCTTGTGTCATGTTTGCATGGATCCGCTCGTTTATGCTCAAGTCTGAAAACCAACTCATGCAGGTGTCCTTTTCAGCAGAACTTGTTTTTGACGATGCAACTTCTTAAACTTAGTGGCCTCACAACTTAAGTGCCATGTACTGTCAGGATGGACTAAAACAAAAAGGTCCAGACAAGAAAGCCAAGCTCAAAGCCCAAAGAAGGGGTGGGACGATTTCTGCTTTTGTTGACCTCACTGCGTTCCTGAGTTCCTGAACTTTTGCCGCTTTTTGGGCTTAAACTTAACAACAAGTTCCAGGGCTTTTTCTGGCCCATCCACTCGATTGGAAGTGAGCTGAAGTTCGTTTTTTTTTGGAAGGTTTCAGGGGACCTCACGGTCAGTGCTTCTTCTTTTTTTTCTCCCCCTCATACGTCTGTTTCTTTTATAGCGAGCTCACCTGGCATAAGCTCACCCGGGATCCCTTGATTCAGCTTTTGAAGTCAGCTTTGCCCGAATGCGCAGGACTCCTTAAAATAAATTCATTTCGCTGGCCCATTTGAGTTACATGTTGCTCTTTCAACACCAAAATACAGGTTGAAACCACCAGAAAACAAGTTGCAATGTTCAGGTGTAAAATGCATCCGGATCCCTGGTGAACTCTGCCGAAGCGACGTCGCCATGATTGACTATGGCCTCAAGAAGGGCCAGCCCAGCTGGTTCTTGGCGTTTCAGCTCACGGGCAGCGTGTTTCCGCAATGCTGCCGGACGCATCTAACGTCACCCCTTTTGTAGGTGTGTCCTTTTGAGGGGACCTCCCGAAAAAGTACATAAAAGATAAATGGTGGTTTGCCTTTTGGTGTCCCGTTGAAATCAAGCAAAAGGGGGGTTACCTCAAAAAAGACACACCTTCGTGGATTTCTTGTTTTTTTGTTCACGTTTAGCAAAAGTAGGAAAATCGTGTTTGGTGAACTAGGTGGTCTGTTTAACTTCATCTCTTGGAATTTGTCCTTTCGAGCGAGTTGAAGCGTTTTGCAGATTGGACCAGTCCAGCTTCTAATTGCTTAAGACTATTAAGCAATTAGCCAGTGTTTTTAAAGGGAATCTATGACTACTTTTTTATAATTATTTTTTCAAAGAACAAAATCCAGGAGGCTTAAGCAAATGGAAGCTAGCCCAGGCTTTCTGATCGTTTTCCCCATCTCCGTCTTGGCCTTGGTCTTGAAGATCCTCCACATTGAAGAGGTCTTCGGGGTTGGAAAAGAGGACCATGCTCGGACCAAAACGCGGTTTAGGGCCTTCTGTGCAAGGGTGCCAACTTTGACCCAACACACACACACATACATACATACACAAACAAACCCATGCACGCATACATGCCAATTGGTTCTGTGGATGGACGAAATCCTGCACCACTTGGAATCCATGGTTGAATCCATTGCTTGTTGGTGTTTTCAGGGGAAGCAGCAGAAACAGGGTTTCTGAACAGTGGTGCGAAATGGATTTCGCAACCATCCACAGTATGACAAGAACTGTGGGTTTCTCTGACGACCCTCACTTGCCCAAAGCGAATCGACCTTTTGACCTTTTCCCATGTTACAGTCCATTGGCCCCGAAGGGTTAACCAAGCTTGATGTCTACACGAACAGGTTGATCAACAGGTCCTTTACCTGGCATGACCATGGGGAGACCAACAAAGATGACGCTCACCAAAAGGGAATATTGATCATCCCGAAACTTGGGGTATCACAACACATACACACATACGCACAGACACACAGACACATATACTCACACACGCACAGGCATCGGTATCACCAAACTCCGGGTTGAGGACCTTTCGCTTTTCCATGTTTTGCTTGGCCCAAAAAGGGTGAACTTTTTATTTCTGGGTCCTTGAAAAACAAAATGAAAAATAAGTCATTGTTGTTTTATTTCCGGGTCCTTTTTCCTTTTTTTTGGTCCTTTTAGACGAGGACCTGGTGACGGGCTTCTACTTCTTGTCCGATGGAACGCCCTGGGGCGGCTTCTCGGGCTTCGTGTCCTTCGTCATCGTCTTCAGATTGTCGGCGGCGTATGCCACCTACTGGTCTGCCCCTCGCCAGAGCACAAAGAGGCACCACGAGGCGTGTTTTTGTTATATATATAGATAGATATATATATATATATATATCTGTACATAGCTCGTAACCTTGTTTCAAGGTTGGTTCAAAGGGACACCCAATACCTTCTCTCTCTCTCTTTTTTTAAACCCGTACCCTTTTTTCAAGATTGGTTCAAAGGGAAACCAAGACTTTGTCTCTTCTCTTTTTTGTTGTTGTTTTAGCCCGTACCCTTTTTGTTACAACTTTTTTATGGTACCCCTTTTTCAAGGTTGGTTCAAAGGGAAATCACTACAGTGGTTGGACGGAAAGAATTCGCACCACGAAATGAAACCATGGAAAGCCATCGTTTGTTGGTGTTTGGGGAAATCATCAGTTCAGGGTTTCTTAGGGGGTGCAGGATTTCGTCCATCCACAGTAGGTACCTGTAGCTGGTGTGTTTTGAGTCTACTACCTTTTCTCAAGGTCCCTATGAATAAGCTGGTGATGATTAATATGGGGTCGAGTATCTTGTGTTTGCCGAGGGTACCCTTTTTCTAAGGTTCAAAGCGACACCAAAAGGGAAAGCCACCAACAAGTTTCTTTTGCTGTTCAGGGTACGCTTTTCAGGATCGGTTTGGAAGCCGGAAGGGACACCACCCCACTTTGACGTTTGCGTTTTGTGGGGGCGGGGTCTGCCTATTTTGACACACACCCAAACGGATTTGCTGGCCAACCAATTTGGCTTTTCAGGCTTTCCGTCAGGGAAGATTTGCTTGAGTTGTTTCTTAAGAACACTGTTTCATTTTACGGATATGTAGGGTAAACTAAATGTAAAGCAGACCCTGAACATAGGCTTTGTGTCGGCTTTTCTGTGCACAGATGAGGGCCAAGATCGGCTTTTTCTTGTTCCATCCGTGGACGGTTTGGCTTCTGAGCGTTTGTGCAATCAGGTCACCAGGTTATTCAGCCAAACACACCCCACCAGCCAAACACACTAGTTTTTGTTCTGCTTGTACAGGGGCAAATGGCAAACCACCCCGTGACCTCCAAACCACCAATCCAGACCACCAATTACCCTTCCTCCAATCGTGGAAGCTGACGATCGGCAGGTTTTGGACGACTACCTTCCACTTGGGAACGCCCCTTGTCCACTTCCATGATCATTGGAAAGAGGGTACTTGGCTGGTCTTTGGCCAAATCGCCCACTGGCTTTTCCTTACAGGCGACCAACCGGTAAAACTAAAGGGGCCTGGGCCTGGAGCAACGCAGCATTGGGGATTGGGAAGTTGTGTTTCTTTCGTTGGCTTTCAACTGAGTTGCAAGAAGTGTTGACGGAAAGAAGGTACAGGGAAGCACCAGCCAGCCCCATCCAACTCAACCCAACCAACCCACAACCAACTCGACCCAACCAATCCAACCAACTCGACCTATCCCAACCAAGTGAGGCCTACACCACGGCGAATGCCTTCCTGGGCGACTGGTCAGGTTCCGCTGCCAGTGCCGTCAGCTTCTGCCGTGGCTCCAAGCGCTCAGACGAGGAGGTGGAGGCGTGAATAGGGCTGAAGCCTCTTCTGGGTGGCCTTTTTCATTGGCAGCCATGGTACTTTCTTCCTGTTCTTTTTCTTCCCGGAGGGTTTCCCTTTAAGCTCAACTACCAAGAAGGAGGCGGCTTGTTTCTTGTTTTAGTTTTTCCCCGGAGGGCTTCCCTTTAAAGTCAACTACCAAGAAGGAGGGCGCTTTCCTTCCCATGTCCATGAGTCGTCAGGGGAAGTCAAACGACTTAGGTGAAGGTCTGGCTTTGGAAGTCCAGCAGGAAACAACAACAAACAACTAAAAACCACAGCACTTTTCTTGGGGTGCCCTATTTTAAGAGACACCCACAGATGACACCGAAAAAACAAGCTGATGAACAATCAATGCCTTTCCACATGA